CAATGTTTCTTCGAAGTCGTCGATGGCTTAATTAAAACCGAAGCACCTTGTTAAAGGAAAATTGCCACCTATTATTTTCATTCGCAATCACAACAAACCCTTTGTCGAGATTCGCACTACGGGGTTTAATAATCAAACAAATAGAGAAAAACTGGCATCGATTTTGTTTCATAATTTCCTTGTAGTTTGTTCTCATTACTGCGATATCACATTTATGTCCGAATCAATAATTTATGACACTCGCTATGAAATATCGGGCTTCAAATGTCGTCCCATATTAAATAAATTACAGCCAACCATATAAAAATCGATCGCTAATATGTTTAATGGAACCGTTTGTGTATTAATGAAATGTATTTCATAAATAAATTCTATACCCAGTAATTAATAATTTCGTAGATTATTATTTGGGAAGTAAATATTTCATTGGTAATCATCATATTCCAGCCATAAATATTTCAAATGCGTACGAATTAACAGCCGCCACTTCATTCACTCCACGCCACCCACCAATTGCCCGCTTTACTTACCGACGATGACGAAGGGAAATATTTTACGAAAGAAAAGTTATACGACGGTTCCAGAGGGTCAGATTTGCGTCAATTTTGAATTTTGTTTTTAATTTTCGTATTGTGATTACAATCAACGTTGCTCATCAATTTAAAAAGAACATTTTGATTTTAAAAATTATATATAGGGTGAATCAGCTTAAAGGGAACACATTGATTTTTTTTTATTTATTTATTAGCTAAAAGTAATGATATTGAATTTACAAATGGAGAATAATAGCCCACGTAAATTCGCTGCTTTACAAGTAACAACAGAAGAAAGTATGTTGCAGAAATACCAATAAATTTTCCTTAACTTTTCAGATTTTGCAGTTTTTTTCTTATTTCCAAAAAATTGTCAAAAATTTGTTTCATTTTTATTAGTAATATACATATATTGAACTCTGCAAAGTGTTTTTTCTGAATTTTGTGACGATTTTTTGTTATTATTGAACTTTCTATTAATATTATTACATGTCAATAAAGTGATGCATACAAAGAACTGTTTCGTTTTTGCTTATTTTTCAGTTTTTCAAATTTTCAACTTTCGATTTTTTAATGTTTGAAGTTCTCGATTTCCGATCCAATTTTTCAGTTTTTTACTGTTTCGATTTCCCAACTTTCCGATTTTCAAGGTTTTTGATTTTTCGATTTTTACACTTTTCGATTTCTCGATTTTTCGATCATTTAAAATTTTTTCTGTTTTTTAGATTTACAATTTATGGTGTTTCTAAGTTTGAATTCTCGATGTTTTCATTAGCCGATTTTCGATTCTTCAGTTTTTAAATTTTCCATTTTTCGACTTTTCGATTTCTCGAATTTTCAATTTCAGATTTCTCAACTTTTCAATGTTTCAATTTTATTTTTCGATTTATATCGGTTTATCAATTTTTTGACACTTCAGTTTTGGAATTTTTGAATATTTTTATTCTTCAAATTTTCGATTTCTGGATTTTACATTTTTGTGATATTTCGATATTTTAATTTTTATTATTTATTTATTTTATTTACATGTATTTAAATTTTAGATTTTAAAATTTTTCGATTTCTCGATTTTCCAGTTCTTCCATTTATCTATTTTTGAATTTTTCTAATTTTCAACCTTCGATTTTTTTATGTTTAAATTTCTCGATTTTCCGACTTTTTAACTTCGATTTTTCAATTTTTTTGAGTCTCCAATTTTTCGATTCCTCAATTTTCCGATTTTTAAATTTTCCCTTTTTCAAATTTTCAATTTTTGGCGTTTCTAAGCTTCCGATTTGTCGATTTTTCGATTTCTCAATTTTTCAACTTTCCATTTTTCGATATTTTTGTTTTGGAATTTTTCAGTCTATTTTTTCTTAAATTTTTCGATTGTAAAATTTGTCTATATCCTAAATATTCAATTTTTGGCGTCTCTATCGATTTGTTGATTTTTCGAATTCTTGATTTCTCTATTATTCGATTTTTCCATTTTTTAATTTTCAATTTTTCAATATTTCAGTTTTGGGATTTTTCGATTGTTCACTTTCTCGATTTCCCTAATTTTCCATTTCTCAACCTTTCTATTTTTAGCTTTCCCGATATTTCAGTCTAATTCCCCCATTTTTTGATTTTTAAATTTTTTAATTTTTCAAATTTTCAATTTTCGGTTTTTCTAAATTTTCAATGTCGATTTTTCGAATTCACGATTTCCGCATTAATCGATGTTTCCATTTTTTTCAATTTTTTGAATCTTCAATTTTTCGATTCCCCAATTTTTCGATCATTTAAAATTATTTCTGTTTTTCAGATTTACAATTTTTGCTGTTTCTAAGTTTGAGTTCTCCATGTTTTGATTAGCTGATTTTCGATTCTTGAGTTTTTAAATTTTCCATTGTTCGACTTTTCGATTTCTCGAATTTTCAATTTCAGGTTTCAAAACTTTTCAATGTTTCAGTTTCAGTTTTATTTTTCGATTTATATCGGTTTATCAATTTTTTGACACTTCAGTTTTGGGATTTTTCAATATTTTTATTTTTCAAACTTTCGATTTCTAAATTTTTTGATTTGTCGATTTTTCAGTTCTTCAATTTATCTATTTTTCATATTTTCGATTTTTTTATGTTTAAATTTCTCGATTTTTCGATCCAATTTTCAGTTTTTTACTGCTCCAATTGTCATTTTTCAATGTTCTGATTTTCGATTTTCCGATTTTTAAATTTTTCTCTTTTTCAATTTTTGGCGTTTCTAAGCTTCCGATTTGTCGATTTTTCGATTTCTCAAATTTTCAGCTTTCGATTCCTCAATTTTTCGATATTTTAGTTTTGGGATTTTTCAGTTTTTTAATTCTTCAATTTTTACATTTTCAGTTTTTCAATTACTCGATTTTTATAATTTTCCATTTCTCAACATTTCTATTTTTACATTTCCCGATATTTCAGTTTAATTCCCCCATTTTTCGATTTTTAAACTCATTAATTTTTCAAATTTTCAATTTTTGGCTTTTCTAAATTTTCAGTGTCGGTTTTTCGAATTCAAGATTTCTGGATTAATCGATTTTTTCATTTTCCCTTTTCTCGATTTAACACAAACAGGTAGGTGTTTCCGTTTTTCGATTTTTCCATTTTTTTTCAATTTTTTAATTTTTTGAATCATCAGTTTTTCGATTTTCCAATTTTTTGATCATTAGCCGATTTTGGATTCTTCAGTTTTTAAATTTTTCGACTTTTCGATTTCTCGAATTTTCAATTTCAGATTTCTCACCTCTTAAATGTTTCAGTTTTATTTTCGATTTATATCGGTTTATCAATTTTTTGACCTTAAATTTTGGAATTTTTCAAATTTATTCTTCAATTATTCGATTTCTGGATTTTACATTTTTTTATTCTTCTATATTTCCATATTTTAATTTTTATTATTTATTTATTTTATTTATATTTAAATTTTAGATTTTTGCAACTTTCGATTTCTCAATTTTTCAGTTTTTTGAATCTTCAATTTTTCGATTCCACAATTTTTCGATCATTTAAATTTTTTTTGTTTTTCAGATTTACAATTTTTGCTGTTTCTAAGTTTGAATTCTCGATGTTTGATTAGCGGATTTTCGATTCTTCAGTTTTTAAATTCTTCGATTTTTCGATTTCGCAAATTTTCAATTTCAGATTTCTCACCTTTTCAATGTTTCAGTTTTGGAATTTTTCAATACTTTTATTCTTCAATTTTTCGATTTCTAGATTTTATATTTTTTTGATTCTTCAATATTTCGATATTTTAATATTTTAATTATTTATTTATTTTATTTATATTTAAATTTTAGATTTTTGCAACTTTCGATTTTTCGTTTTTCAATTTTTTACTTTTAAATTTATGGATTATTTGAAGTTTTAATTTCACCATCTTTTGTTTTTTGACTTCTCTTTATTAGATTTTTTAGTTTTTCAATTACCCGATTTTTCAATCTTCAATTTCCCGTTTGGGCTATTTCGATTTTTCGATCTTTTCATGTTTAGATTTAACGATGTTTCAGTTTTTCAATTAGGTATGCGATTTTTCAATCTTCGATTATTCTGATTTTTTAGGTTTTTGGATTTTCCAAGTTTTAGATGTTTCGAGTTGTCAGTTTTTCGATTTTTCAATTTTCTATTTCTTAAAGTTTGGATTTTTCGTTCCACAATTTTTTGATGTCTCGATTTTTTAAGTTTTTAATATTCCAGTTCTTCGATTTTTGGAATTTCCGTTTTCTAGATTTTTCAATTTTTTCACATGGTAATTTCTCTTAGAAAAATAACAATTTTTACAATTAAGCTCTGCTCCTCGACTTACGACGAATAAAAAAATCATCAGAATTGCGATAGGGTGGGTGGGCGGGGCTTATATTTTGCTTTTTTTTTTAATATACGTAGCCATATTTTCACAACAAGATATTTAATACCTGGTTAAAATGGTATATTTTTGTAAGGAAATATGTCATTATAGAAAGTTTCCATTTTAAACATATTTTAAGTTTGATGTTGTGAAAAGATTTCTTATATTATAGATTTTTCGATTTCATAAATTTTTCGGTTCTTCGATTTTTCAATTTTTGAATTTTTCGACTTTTTCACTTTGTAAAAATGGAACATATTTTTTCGTAAATCTAAATTCTCCACTAACGAGAAAAATTATATCAGACTATAGGATGTTTTGGCGACCCGTTTTAAAAATAAGTATATTTTTTTGAAACGTTTTGCGACAGTTCCAGAGGGTCAGATTTGCTCGAATTTTGTTTTTTATTTTAGTATGGGATTACAATCAACGTTTAAGTAAATAAATATTAAAACCCAACTTGCCTTTAACCCCAGTATCGATATATCTTTCTTGGTACCATCACAAACAATAATATTTTCCTTAAAATGTTATTTCCATTTATAAACCTAACCATCGTAACGTCCCTGGAGGGATTTTCTGCAATATATTTCCGTTCCATTCTGCTATATATCTTTTTTTTTTCAGGACAGCGACGGCGAAAAGAGTGACCAAGATCTTGTCGTAGACGTTGCCAACGAAGTAAGTCTCCATAAATAAAAGTTTATGTGTTAAAGTGAGCCTTTCAGGAAGCTTCCTCGCCTCATGCGAACGGAGAACATGCAACACTTAGTAATTCCAGCGAAATTAGGGAAAATGGTAGCACAAACGGTGATAAAATAAAAGTCGAAAGACCCCCGAGCAGGAGCGGCTCGTCGTCGTCGAGAAGCACACCCTCTCTGAAAAGTAAAGATGTAAGATTATTCACACTGACATCGTCTTTTAAACGACCCGCTGCTAACACGCGTGTGTCACAACAGGTTTGAATTTTTGTCTGTTTACTTTGCTGGTAGGGTTGCTACACACTATATAAAATATCGAACCTTTTGTAATTCACTGCGAGTCTGTAATAATTGAAAATGGGTGAGATTGTTCCGAAAATAACAGTTACTAATTGTAGGAAAAACCCCTGACCCCCGGTTCAAAGCCTCGCTCCACAACCCCGAACTTAGGCTCCACCCCCGGAGCGAGTGGCCCCAAAGTGGGGCTCGGTCAGTATCCCCCCTACTCTCTGGCGGCAGCCCGCGGCAGTGAGCACCTCAGCCCCTACAACAACGTCGCCCCCTCCCCCTATGGCCGCCCCCCGCTCATGGGCTACGACAGCCACCCCCACGCCAGGACCCCTGGAATCGCCACCAACGGATTGAGTTCCATCCCGGGCGGCAAACCGTACGTGCGTCTCCTCCATGTTCCATCACCCCCAATGTCTAGTTCTAGGGCTTATTCTTTCCACATGAACGGCGAAGGGCAGCTGCAGCCCGTGCCCTTTCCCACTGACGCCCTTATCGGGCCGGGGATACCTCGCCACGCGCGCCAGATCAACACCCTCAACCACGGAGAAGTCGTCTGCGCCGTGACCATCTCCAACCCCACCAAGTACGTCTACACCGGAGGCAAGGGCTGCGTCAAGGTCTGGGACATCAGCCAGCCGGGGTCTAAGACGCCGGTGTCACAACTGGATTGCTTGGTATGTCGATACTTACGACGCCTCGGGCACCAATTTTTGTACTTACTTTGATTTTTGCTGCAGCAACGCGACAACTACATCCGGTCTGTGAAGCTGCTGCCCGACGGACGCACCCTCATCGTCGGCGGCGAGGCCTCCAACCTGTCCATCTGGGACCTGGCCAGCCCCACGCCGCGCATCAAGGCCGAGCTCACCTCCAGCGCGCCCGCGTGCTACGCGCTGGCCATCAGCCCCGACTCCAAGGTGTGCTTCAGCTGCTGCTCGGACGGCAACATCGCCGTGTGGGACCTGCACAACCAGACGTTGGTGAGGCAGTTCCAGGGCCACACGGACGGCGCCTCGTGCATAGACATTTCGTCCGACGGCACCAAGCTGTGGACCGGGGGGTTAGACAATACAGTGCGGAGCTGGGACTTGCGCGAGGGCAAGCAGTTGCAGCAGCACGACTTCAGTTCGCAGATTTTCTCGCTGGGGTACTGTCCGACGGGCGAGTGGTTGGCCGTGGGCATGGAGAACTCGCACGTGGAAGTGTTGCACGCGCACAAGCCGGACAAGTATCAGTTGCATCTCCACGAGAGTTGTGTGCTTAGTTTGAGGTTTGCGACGTGCGGCAAGTGGTTCGTGTCGACGGGGAAGGACAATCTGTTGAACGCGTGGAGGACGCCGTACGGGGCCAGTATATTCCAGGTAAAGAACACGAAAAGACTGACTGACTAGGTTGGGTTCAGACTGTATTCAGTACAAGGGGCTTCCGGGATTCTTTGAAATTTCAAAACAAATTAGTGTGGTCAAGCTTGATTCTTTCAAAAACCAATTACAAGGAGCCTCCGAGATTCTTCGCCTGAGAGTCCCAGAGATTTTTGTAAATAATTTCATAAATATCGTAAAAATGAATAACAAAATTCGACAAAAATAAGATTTCTAGCTAAAATTTGATAGTTTCTTTGGTATTTTCGGGCCCGTCAGGTACCGGAAACGCTAGAAAACACAAAAAGAAGCTTGACAAGGAACATGTCTGAGGTTTTTTAACGAATTTCTTCAATCTGCAAACCCCAGAATATGGAAAATCACCCAATCGTCTCCTTTTCGCGAAATAAGTCGAAAACATGTTGAAATATACTTTAGAACTCATAAAATTCGACAAAAATAAGATTTATAGCTATAATTTGATGGGTTCCTGGTATTTTCGAGTCCATAGGGTGCCGGATTCCGCGAAATTTCTTCCAATTCTTTCAAAAATAAACCACCAGGAGTCCCCCAGATTCTTTCAAATTCGTTGTAAATTAAATAAGATTTAAGAATTAACAACACAAGAACTCCCAAGATTTTTTCAGTTCTTTCAAAAATAAACCACGATTTCCTGAGATTTTTTCAAATTCATTGTAAAAATAATAAAACACTAGATTTTTTCAAGTCGTTTCAAAAATACTCGTAATACACATATTTAAAATGGTAAATTTATAAAGGAAAATGTCGATTTTGCAATTACGCTCCACCCCATCGGCGAGGCTTACATGTATTTTGGTTTTTTTCTTAATGTACATAGCCATCTTTTCACAACAAAAAACTTAGAACATGGTACTTTTTGCAAGGAAATATGGATTTTGCAATTATGGGGCGGAGCCTAAATATAAGCCCCACCCACCCGCCCTGTCTCAATTCTGATGATCTTTTTTATTCGTCGTGAACCAAGAGGGCGCAGCTTAACTGCAAAATATTTCTTTACAAGAAATTAAAACATGTTTTTGAGTATCGTGTTCTTCAAAGAATACTATGTATATTAAGAAACAAAAGACAAAATATTAACCCCGCCCACCCACCCCATCTCAATTGTAACGATTCTTATAATTCTTAGAAACTTTAAACACGTTTAAAATGGTAAATTTTTCTAAGTAAATATGGATTTTGCAGTTAGGCTCCGCCCCTAGGTCTGTCAACCAATAAAAATTTCATTACTATTTAGATCAGGGCGAATATGGGTGGCGCTTAATCTTTGGGTTTATTTTTTTCTTAATATATGTACATAGTTTACTTTGTATAACACGATTAGTTAAGAACATATTTCACATGGTAATTTCTCCTAGAAAAAAAAAGGATTTTACATTTAAGCTCCGCCCCTCGGCTTACGACGATTAAAAAAAATCATCAGAATTGAGACAGGGTGGGTGGGTGGGGCTTATATTTTGCTTTTTTTTTCTTAATATACATTGCCATCTTTTCACAACAAGAAACTAGAACACGATACATTTTTGTAAGGAAATGCGGATTTTGCAATTATAGGGCAAAGCATAATTACAAAATCCATATTTCCTTATACAAATTTTCCATTTTAAACATGTTTAAGTTTCATGTTGTAAAAAGAAGTCTACACATATTAAAACAAACAGACAAAATGTCAGCCCGCCCACCCGCCCTGTCTCAATTGTGATGATCATTTTTATTCGTCGTGAACCAAGAGGGCGGAGCTTAACGGCAAAATACTTATTTCTTTACAAGAAATTAAAACATGTTTTTGAGTATCGTGTTGTTCAAAGAATATTATGTATATTAAGAAAAAAAAAAGGCAAAATATTTACCCCGCCAGCCCACCCCATCTCAATTGTAAATTTTGTAAGGAAATCTGGATTTTGCAATTAGGCTCCGCCCCTTCGTCTGCCAACGAATGAAAACTCCATTACTGTTTAGGTCAGGCCAGGTATGGGTGGGGCTTAAACTTTGGCTTTATTGTTTTCTTAATATATGTACATAGTTTTCTTTGTCTAACACGATTAGTCAAGAACATATTTCACATGATAATTTCTCGTTGAAAAATAAGGATTTTACAATTAAGCTCCGCCCCTCGGCTTACGACGATTAAAAAAAAAGTCATCAGAATTGAGACAGGGCGGGTGGGTGGGGCTTATGTTTTGCTTTTTTTTTTTTTCTTAATATACATAGCCATCTTTTCACAACAAGAAACTTAGAACATGGTACATTTTTGTAAGGAAATACGGATTTTGCAATTATAGGTTAGAACCAAATTGCAAAATCGATATTTCCTTATACAAATTTTCCATTTTGAACATGTTTTAAGTTTCATGTTGTGAAAAGAAGTCTACACATATTAAAACAAAAAGGCAAAATGTAAGCCTGCCCGCCCACCCGCCCTATCTCAATTGTGATGATTTTTTTTATTCGCCATGAACCTCAAGGGGGCGGAGCTTAACTGCAAAATACTTATTTCTTTACAAGAAATTAAAAACATGTTTTTAAGTATCGTGTTGTTCAAAGAATACCATGTATATTAGGAAAAAACGGGAAAATATTAACCCCACCCACCCACCCCATCCCAATTGTAATTAATTTTTTAATGCTTAGAAACTCAAAACACGTTTAAAATGGTAAATGTTTGTAAAGAAATATGGATTTTGCAATTAGGCTCCGCCCCTAGGTCTGGCAACGAATGCAAACTCCATTACTATTTCGATCAGGGCAGGTATGGGTGGGGCTTAAACTTTGGGTTTATTTTTTTCTTAATATATGTATGTACATAGTTTTCTTTATATAACACGATTAGTTACGAACATATTTCACATGGTAATTTCTCGTAGAAAAATAAGAATTTTTACAATTAAGCTCCGCCCCTCGGCTTACGACAATTAAAAAAAAAGTCATCAGAATTGAGACAGGGCGGGTGGGTGGGGCTTATATTTTGCCTTTTTTTTTCTTGACATACATAGCCATCTTTTTACAACAAGAAACTTAGAACATGGTACATTTTTGTAAGGAAATACGGATTTTGCAATTATAGGGCAGAACCAAATTGCAAAATCGATATTTCCTTATACAAATTTTCCATTTTAAACATGTTTAAGTTTCATGTTGTGAAAAGAAGTCTACACATATTAAAACGAAAAGGCAAAATGTAAGCCTTCCCGCCCACCCACCCAGTCTCAATTGTGATGATTTTTTTTTATTCGCTGTGAACCAAGGGGGCGGAGCTTAACTGCAAAATACTCGTTTCTTTACAAGAAATTAAAACATTTTTGAGTATCGTGTTCAAAGCATACTATGTATATTAAGAAAAAAAAGGCAAAATACAAACCCCGCCCACCCACCCCATCTCAATTGTAATGATTTTTTAATTCTTAGTAACCTAAAACACATTTAAAATGGTAAATTTTTGTAAGGAAAGTTCCGCCCCTAGGTCTGTCAACCAATGAAAAGTTCATTATTATTTAGATCAGGTCAGGTATGGGTGGGGCTTAAACTTTAGCTTACATTTTTTCTTAATATATGTACATAGTATTCTTTGAATAACACGACACTCAAGAACATGTCTCACTTGGCAATTTCTTATAGAGAAATAATAAGGATTTTGGAATTAAATTCTGCTCCTTTGGCTCTCGACGATTAAAAAAAAAATCATCACAATTGAGACAGGGTGGGTGGGCGGGGCTACATTTTGCTTTTTTTCTTAATATACGTAGTCGTCTTTTCAGAACAAGAAAGTTAAAACATGTTTGAAATGGTAAATTTTTGTAGACAAATATGGATTTTGCAATTAAGCTCCGCCCCTCGATTTGACAACGAATGAAAAATTCATTCGTTGTCAATGGGGCCTAATCTTTGGCTTTCTTTTTCCTTAACATACATAGTAACATAGTATTCTTTGAACAACACGATACTCAAAAACATGTTTTTAATTTGTCGTAGAGAAATAAGGATTTTGCAGTTAAGCTCCGCCTTCTTGGCTCACGACGAATAAAAAAATCATCACAGTTGAGACAGGGTGGGTGGGCGGGGCTACATTTTGCCTTTTGTTTTCTTAATATGTATAGACTTATTTCGACAACAAGAAACTAACAACCTTTCTAAAATGGTAAATTTTTGTAATCAACTCAAATTATCCACTTTTCTTTCTCTAAAAACAACGTCAGCGGGAACAGTAACTACAACGGGAACTTCAACGTCAACATCAAGTTTATAAATCCCATTTTAAGCCAAAATAAACCACTTGGAACCTCCGAGATTCTTTCAAATTCGTTTTTATACAAAATATTAGGATCCTCCGGAGTTTTTTAAAATTCTTTCGAAAATAAAACAATAATGGTCCCCGAAAATATGTCCAGTTCTTTCAAAAATAAAGCACCAAAAGTCCTCAAAATTATTTGAATTTGTTCATGGCTGTTTCAAATTCGTTCGATCTATGAAAATTTGATATTTTAGTTGGCAGTATTGTGATTTGTCATAATAAATTTATTTTAGGTTATAATTAATGACAAGCGAGCATCACTGCCAGTTAAATTGGCTAAATTAATGACAGCACTGACGTCACGGCCAATATTTAAAAAAGGAACGTCATATGAGGGAACCTGACATTAACCTAACAAAAAAATATCATGGCCTACTGCGTGTTGAAAATAATTGTGGCCACCAAGGACTCGAAATTTTTTAAGCCAAAATAAACCACGAAAAATTTCGCGGTTCTTTCAAATTCGTTTTAAAATAAATCATAGCCCCCCCCCAATTATTCTTATTATTAGATTACAAAATGTATGTGTACTTGTTTTGACCTGTTTTTCCTTTTTCAGTCCAAAGAGTCATCGAGTGTGTTAAGTTGCGACATTTCGACGGACGATAAATACATAGTGACGGGATCTGGAGACAAAAAAGCCACCGTGTACGAAGTGATCTATTAAGTATCTCATGTGAAAGTGTTGTCGGGGCCATCACCAAACACAAGACTCAAAAAACGTACCTACATCGATACAATGAGATAATCTGACGATTCGAAAGAAATTTTAATACTGACTTGAGTACATGACATTATTTTAATAAAACCTGCCTGTTGCCTATTTAATTAAACTTGTAAATTGAATAGTGTAGGTACAGCTGTATCATTAAGTAAATTGAGTAAACAGGAAACAAAGCAGTGATAATTATTTATGTTCTATTTTATTTGTGACTAATGTACAATATTTGTTATTTGTTTACTCAAATGTTGTTATTATGTGTGTGAATTAGATGTCTAAAACGGCACAAGTGATTCAATTACTTACAATAATTGACATTTCATTACTTTCTTGATGTTATTACGAAACAAAGATTACGTAGCATATTTTTCGTAATTAAATAAAAATAATTATATTACGACTCATGTTTTATTTACTCGTCAAGAACAAAGTTAGACTGTTTTAAAAATCGGGTTTTCGGAAAACTTGATCTCTGCGGCGGGTGTGAACTGCTCGAAGATGATGATCTCGTTCTCGCCTTGCTGGAGGAAGGGCCCGGGTAAGTAGAGCGATTGTTGTGGACCAATCAGGGCGTGCCTACCAAGAACAAACCCATTGACGATAACAATCCCTTTATCCCACTCTTGCATGTCAATGTAGGTATCAACTGCGTCATCCTCAAGAGTAAAAGTCCCTCGGTACAACCCAGGACCGTTTGCCAGACCTCCATCAACAGAATTCCACTGGAACACCTGCGTATTCCAAGACTTCTTAAATTCCAAAGGAATGATGCTCCAAGAGGACGTCAGTTCCTCGTTATTTAGATACACAGAGTTACTGTCTATCAAACCTTTGAACTGTTGGTACAAGTTTCCAAAATTAGCGCGGCCCCAATTCTCTATAACTATATCTAAAGTGGCATCTTCGATGTCCGTTGACGTCAGGGTGATATTCGAATTAGCTTGTCTGTAGTACCCGAAACTGTTAAGATCAGAGCTGCTTGATAACGAATCTGAGACCAGAACACCGTTGATCAGAATCATCACGGTGTCACGAACGTGACCGGTGATAGTCAACACGGAATCAGCTGGGATGTTCAGGCTGTACTGTCGATAAACCGTGTACCCATAACTTTGCCCAGAACCGTCGTTTATGGGCAGCTGTTCCATTGAAAGAAGCGTGTCGCTGGTGACGATATCAGGCACTAGTTTGGTTATTTCGTCGAAGCTGAGTTGTCCCTCTATGGTGACAGAAGGGTACGCAACCCTCGGTACTAACTCGGGTTGGTCTGGAGTGAGCGTCTCCACGGGATTGTATTTTTTGACCAATTCCTTCACTATCTCGTATTTACCTGTGTAGTCACCAGCTTCTGATAACGGCGCGTCGTAATCGTAACTCGTCGTCGTCGGTTGATATCCCGAATTATCCCCAGCTCCGATATTCGCTCCATTAAGAAACCCGAAATTGGTACCACCGTGGAACATGTACATACTCGCCGACGCAGGATACGCCAAAATCTCGTTATAAATCCCGTAGAAAGTATCATTGTCTACGGTATGGTGCGACTCCGACCAGTGATCAAACCACCCAGTCCAGTACTCCATCACCATGATGGGTTTACCCGGCTGCATGTTCTTCAAAGTATCGAAATTCCACGTCGGACTCCCCCCGAAATTCACGGTCTGGAAAATCAAATCCGGGAGAGTACCCGACGTCCCAGCGCTCGCCCCATCCGACGAAACCAACAACTCCACAATCCCTTGATCCCTCAACAAATCATGCACCTGCCGAATATACTCCAAGTCCTTCGTAGGCGCAGATCCGTACTCATTTTCAACCTGAACCGCGATAATCGGGCCACCTTTAGTAAACTGGAGATCGGTGAGCAATGGCAGGAGTTCACCGAAGTACCGCGTGACGTACCCCATGTAAGTTTGATCGGACGTTCTCACTTTAATGCCTTCTTCGCGGAGCAACCAGCTAGGGAAACCTCCCCATTCCCACTCGGCGCAAATATAGGGACCCGGACGCAGAATCACAAACAGATCTTCTTCTTGGGCGATCTTGAGGTAGGTTTGTAAGTCGAGGAACTGCTCCATGTCGGTACCACCGCTCCCGAAGTCGAAGCGACCATTCTCGGGTTCGTGTAAGTTCCACGATACGTAAGTTTCAAGAGTGTTCAGACCTGCGGCTCGGAGTTTACGAATGCGGTCCCTCCAGTGCTGCGGAGGGATGCGGAAGTAGTGCATGGCGCCGCTGAGGATGGTGATGTTCTTGCCATTGAGGGTGAAGTAGGGTTGGTCGACGGAGAGGCCCGAGGTAATACCATCGGCGGTGTAGTACTCGTATAACGTTGGGAGTTGGGCGCTGGTGCACGCCACCAGGAGCACGAAAACGACAAAGCTTAAAAGAATAAGTTGGTACTTTTACAAGCGAGAGTGAGGGTACTTACTGGTGTAGCATGGTTTGGACGCACACGGGATGTGTAAAGTTCAACGAAAGTACACTTTATATAGAGGTTTATTGATGGTATCGGGTTTATCTCGAGTGGTCAAAAACAACCAAATAGTACGATTTTATCGAAAACAATCATCTATTGTGAAACAATCGGAATACATGGAAAATTATTGAAGATGTTTATGGAGTGTTGAATATAGAATCTTTGGAAAATTTCACTTCAGCTGCGGGTTGGAATTGTTCGAAGATGATTATTTCGTTGTCTCCTGCTTGTAGGTATGGACCAGGTAAGTATAGTGCTTGTTGGGGACCTATGAAGACGTACCGTCCCAGAATAATCCCATTTACTATTACCACCCCCTTGTTCCACGTGCGCATGTCAATAAAACTATCCCTGTACCCATCTTCAGATTCCTCCAGAGTCAAAGTCGCTTTATAAAATGCAGGCCCGTAATCTAGATCCACAGGATTCCAATCAGTGATACCGTTTATCCAGTCTTTGTGGAACTGCATGGGATAAATCACCCACGAGGTCAATTCCTGGTCGTTCAAATAGACACGATTGTCCTGTGTCAGTCCTTTAAATTGTTGGTAGAGATTACCAAAGTGGACGCGCCCGAAGTTCTCAATGACGATGTCCAAAGTGGCGCCTGTCAAATCCTCCGTGGTTAGAGTAATTGTGGAATTTTCCATCCTCCAGTAACCAAAATCGTTGAAATCGTCACTACCGGTCAAACGATTTGAAATCAAAACCCCGTTTAACAAAATCATGACGGTATCACGAACATGACCTGTAATAGTCAACGTGGAACCAGCTGCAATGTCTATATTTTCTTGACGATAGGTTATGTAGCCATAACTTTGACCAGAGTCGTCGTTTATGGGCAGCTGCTCCATCGATAGTGTTGTGTCACTTGTTATAGAGTCATTCGACCTCGCAAGAATATCGTTGAAAATCAGTTGACCATCGAGTGCCAAAGTTGGGTACACTTCTCTCTCGACCAACTCAGGCGGATCCGGAGTTAGTGTTTTGACCGGATTATACTGTGCCAATAGTTCTCTAATTATATCGTATTTAGGGCTATAGTCACCAGCTTCCGTAAGAGGGGCATCGTAGTCATAACTGCTCGTGATCGCTTGGAACGCGGAATTATCACCCGGTCCGTTGTTAGCCCCATTCATGAAACCCCAGTTGGTACCACCGTGGAACATGTACAAGTTGACCGACCCTGGATAAGACACAGTGGCTTCGTAGTTCGATCTGAAGGCACTAGGGTCAGTAGTGTGGTGATCCTCAGACCAATGGTCAGGCCATCCCGGGTAAAATTCCATACACATTAGAGGCTGCCCGGGTTGGAGTTGTTCAAGGACACCGAAAGAAGCAGCCGGGTCGGAACCAAAATTGGCAGTTTGGAATAAAACTCCGGGGAGACTACCACTAGTACCACTGCTAGCACCATCCGACGAAACCAACAACTCCACAATACCGTTGTTTCGCATCAAATCCACCAGTTGTTGAAGGTACACCTTGTCACCGTCGGCATACCCGTACTCATTTTCCACTTGGAACGCTATAACGGGACCTCCGTTCGTGAATTGGTACTCGGCAAGAACTGGCAACAACTGGTTAAAGTACCGCTCCACGTACTTCATGTATGTTTCGTCGGAGGTTCTAACTCTCATATTCTCCCGAAGCAACCAACTAGGAAAACCACCCCATTCCCACTCCGCGCAAATATAAGGTCCCGGACGTAGTATAACCAACAAATCCTCTTCCTGCGCAATCGACAAGAACCTCCCAATGTTCCCAAAATCTTGCAACTCGGTTCCAGATTCCCCGAACTCGTAGACACCGCTTCTGGGTTCGTGGATATTCCAAGCTACGTACGTTTCAACAGTGTTTAGACCCGCGGCTCGAAGTTTCCGAAGACGGTCCCTCCAGAGTTGGGGTGGAACCCGGAAATAGTGTATAGCTCCACTATAAATGAAAATTTCTTTGCCATTGAGGGTGAATTGGGGTTGGTCTACCCCGAGCCCGGACGTGATTCCATCACCCGTGTAGTACTCGTAGATGGTTGGTAAGTCGGCGACGCACGAGGCCAAGGCGAGCAGTAGATGGAAAGCTAGGACACTTGAAATTTTATATTAGTTGTTTATGTGTTGTTTGTGTACTTACTTTCGCCCCATTTTGTGTTTTTACCAGATTAGTTGTGACTGTCAACGGTTAAGTGCGTGTTTAAGTGATGCTGGGGTTGTTATATAGCACTATCTTGAGTGATGATTTTGAGTTTTTCAGACGATAAAGATTTTTATTTCAGTGAGTTATTTAATTAAAGATTGTCATCAAAATATAAAAATAAACAGGGAATAAGGTCATATTGTTTATTACAAGTTTGTTGCTAACTGTGTTTATCTTGAGTGATTAGTAACAAACAAGAAACGTACACAAACAAATTCTTGACAATTTTTAAGGTGTATTGAAAATCGTATCTTTAGAGAACTTACGGCACCTGCGGGTTTGAAGTGTTCAAATATAATTATTTCGTTGTTTCCAGGCTGGAGGAAAGGTCCTGGTAGGTATAGGGTCTGTTGAGGACCAATGAAGGCATACTTGCCAAGAACAAACCCATTGACTATCACCAAACCCTTGTCCCATTCACTCATATCAACGAAAGTATCAGTAATATCTTCAATGTGGATCAACGTGGCCTTATACAACCCTGGTCCTTTTGGTAGATCACCATCTTGCTCAGAATTCCAACCACTTAGCTCATTATTAAACGACTTTTTGAATTCCAAGGGTGAAGTTTTTGCCATTGAGTGTGAAGAAAGTTAGATTCCGAGGTGTTTCCGTCAGATGTGTAATATTCGTACATACTTGGTGGGTCGGCGCATGAGGCGAAAGCGAGAAAGAACTGGAAGACTAAGGTACTTAAGAGAGAGTACTTAGTAATTGAATTTGCGTCTGTTTTGTTTCCATTTTGGGTTTCAACAAGATTGTTCACACTTCAACAGTCGATAGGTAAATGTGTTTGAATTTTTTTGTGCTAAATTATCTTGAGTGCAGATGATAAATAGAATGATATCGTTTGTTTATTGAAATAATATGTACTTCAAAAATACATATAATGGAGAAATTGACAACAAACTCTTACGGGTTACTAAATATGGCATCTTTGGAAAATTTCACTTCAGCTGCGGGTTGGAATTGTTCGAAGATGATTATTTCGTTGTCTCCTGCTTGTAGGAAAGGACCTGGCAAGTACAGTGTTTGTTGGGGACCAATGAAGACGTACCGTCCCAGAACAAACCCGTTCACTATTACCACTCCCTTGTTCCACGCGCTCATGTCAATAAAAGTATCCCTGTAACCATCTTCAGATTCCTCCAGAGACAAAGTTGCATTATAAAATACAGGCCCGAAATCTAGATCCACAGGATTCCAATCAGTGATACCGTTTATCCAGTCTTTGTTGAACTGCAAGGGATAAATCAGCCACGAGGTCAATTCCTGGTCGTTCAAATAGACACGATTGTCCTGTGTCAGTCCTTTAAATTGTTGGTACAGATTACCAAAGTTGACACGCCCGAAATTCTCAATAACGATGTCCAAAGTGACGCCTGTCAAATCCTCCGTGGTTAGAGTAATAGTGGAGTCTTCCATCCTCCAGTAACCAAAATCGTTCAAATTGTCACTACTGGTCAAACGATTTGAAATCAAAACTCCGTTTATCAAAATCATGACGGTATCACGAACATGACTTGTGATAGTCAACGTGGAACCAGCTGCAATATCTATATTTTCTTGACGATAGGTTATGTAGCCATAACTTTGACCAGAGTCGTCGTTTATGGGCAGCTGCTCCATCGATAGTGTCGTGTCACTTGTTATAGGGTCAATCGACCTCGAAAGAATATCATTGAAAGTCAGTTGACCATCGAGTGCCAAAGTTGGGTACACTTCTCTCTCGACCAACTCAGGCGGATCGGGAGTTAGTGTTTTGACCGGATTATACTGGGCCAGTAGTTCTCTAAGTATATCGTATTTAGGAGTATAGTCACCAGCTTCTGAAAGAGGGGCGTCGTAGTCATAACTGGTCGTGGTGGGTTGGAATCCGGAATTATCACCAGGCCCGTTGTTAGCTCCATTCAAGAAACCCCAGTTGGTACCACCGTGGAACATGTACAAGTTGACCGACCCTGGATAAGACACAGTGGCTTCGTAGTTCGATCTGAAGACACTAGGATCAGTGGTGTGGTGACTCTCAGACCAATGGTCAAGCCATCCCGGGTAAAATTCCATGCACATTAGAGGTTGGCCGGGTTGGAGTTGTTCAAGTACGCCGAAGGAAGCAGCCGGGTCGGAACCAAAATTGGCAGTTTGGAATAAAACACCAGGGAGACTACCACTAGTACCAGTGCTAGCACCATCCGCCGTAACCAACAACTCTACAATACCGTTGTTTCGCATCAAATCTACCAGTTGTTGAAGGTACACCTTATCACCGTCGGCATACCCATACTCATTTTCCACTTGGAACGCTATAACGGAACCTCCGTTCGTGAATTGGTATTCAGCAAGAACCGGCAACAACTGGTTAAAGTACCTTTCCACGTACTTCATGTATGTTTCGTCGGAGGTTCTAACTCTCATACTCTCCCGAAGCAACCAACTAGGAAAACCTCCCCATTCCCACTCTGCGCAAATAAAAGGTCCCGGACGTAGTATAACAACAAATCCTCTTCCTGCGCAATCGACAAGAACCTCCCAATATTCCCAAAATCTTGCAACTCGGTTCCAGATTCCCCGAACTCGTAGACACCGCTTTTGGGTTCGTGTATATTCCAAGCTACGTACGTTTCAACAGTGTTTAGACCCGCGGCTCGAAGTTTCCGAAGACGATCCCTCCAGAGCTGGGGTGGAACGCGGAAGTAGTGCATTCCTCCACTATAAATGAAAATTTCTTTGCCATTGAGGGTGAAGTGGGGTTGGTCCACGGAAAGTCCAGAGGTGACTCCATCACCGGTGTAGTACTCGTAGACGGTTGGTAAGTCGGCGGCGCACGAGGCCAAGGCGAGCAGTAGATGGAAAGCTAGGACACTTGAAATTTTACATTAGTTGTTTTTGTGTTGTTTGTGTACTTACTTTCGCCCCATTTTGAGTTTTAACCAGATTAGTTATGACTGTCAACGGTTAAGTGTGTGTTTAAGTAATGCTGGGGTTGTTATATAGCACAATCTTGAGTGATGATTTTGAGTTTTTCAGACGATAAAGATTTTTATTCCAGTGAGTTATGAATTAGAGATTGTCAACAAAAAAAAATAAATAACGAGGAAATAAGGTCATATCGTTTATTACAGATTTGTTACTAACTGTGTTTATCTTGAGTGATTAATAACAAACAAGAAAAATACACAAACAATTTCTTGACAATTTTTAAAGTGTATTGAAAATCGTATTTTTTGAGAACTTCATCGCACCTGCGGGTCTGAAGTGTTCAAATATGATTATTTCGTTGTTGTCAAGCTGGAGGAAAGGACCTGGTAGGTATAGGGTCTGTTGGGGACCAATGAAGGCATACTTGCCAAGAAGAAACACATTGACTATCACCAAACCCTTGTCCCACTCACTCATATCAAAGAAAGTATCAGTAATATCTTCACCGAGGGTCAATGTAGTCTTATACAACCCTGGTCCTTTGGTAAATCACCATCTTCCACAGATTTCCAACCACTTAGCTCATTATTAAACGACTTTTTGAATTACAAGGAATAAATCAACCAGGAAGTTAATTCTTGATCGTTCAAGAAGACATGGTTCTCGTCCACGAGCCCCTTAAGTTGATGGTAAAACAGGCCACCATTAGCACGCTCCCAGTTCTCGATGACGATGTCTAAAGTAACTTCGATTAAATCAGGGATACTTGGTTAAAGTAATTGTTGAATTGTCTAACCTCCAGTAACCAAAGTTGTTCAAATCGTCACTGCTTGTCAACGGGTTTGATATTAAAATCCCGTCTATTAGAATCATCACGGTGTCCCGAATGTGACCCGTGAAGATCAAAGTAGAGTCCGCCGAAAAGCTCAAACCTTGGGGATAAATGAGGTACTCATAACTTTGGCCAGAGTTATCATTTATGGGCAGCTGCTATATGGACCGAGTGGTACTACTTGGTATAGAATCGTCAAATTTAGAAAGAATGTCGTTTAGACTTAGTTGACTCTTAATTGGTACCGCTGGATGGGTTTGACGCTCGATTAGTACAGGTAGTTCCGGTGTCAGGGTTTGTATTGGGTTGCACTGTTCTATTAACCCTTTAATCATGTCGTACTTGCTGGTATAGTCGCCATCTTCAGTCAATGGTGCGTTGTAGTCGTAACTGGACGTGGTTGGAGCAAGTCCTGAGTTATCCCCAGGCCCGATGGTTGCACCATTCAAAACACCCCAGTAGGTACCACCGTGGAGCATATATAAATTAACCGACGCAGGATACGTCAAAGTCGCTTCGTAATCTCGTCTAACCGAACCGTCAGACTTGGTATGGTGACTTTCCGACCAGTGGTCGAACCACCCTGAGTAAAACTCCATCGCCATTAGAGGTTCTCCGGGTTGCATTTCTTCAAGTGCCCCTAATAGCTCGACTGGATATGATTCATAATTCGCAGTCTGGAACAAAAGTCCTGGAAGAGTACCCGCAGTTCCTCTCTTCGGACTATCAGCAGTCACTAGCAACTCCACGATTCCATAGTGTTTGAAAATGTCATACAACTGTTGAAGATACACTTTATCATTTGTCGGACTACTCCCACACTCATTTTCGACTTGAAACGCAACAATCGGACCTCCATTTGTAAATTGGTACTTTGCAAGAATCGACAACAACGTGCTCAAGTACCGCCCCACGTACCTCATGAACGTCTCCTCGGAAATTCTCACATTGAGATTTTCGTATTTAAGCAACCAACTGGGAAAACCTCCCGATTCCCCTTCGGCAAAAAAGTACGGTGCTGAACGTGGCATTACCAACAAATCTTCTTCTTGAGCAGCCGCCAAGAACCATTTCTGGGTTCGTAGAGGTTGCCACGGTGTTTAAACCAGAGGTTCGTAATTTGCGTTAACGGTCTCTTCAGTACTGTGGAGGGATGCGGAAATAGTTAATTTCACCACAATAGAGGGTGAAGAAACGACGGTTTCGCACTTCAGCAGTCGATAGGTCAATATGTTTGATTTTTTTTTTTGTGCTAAATTATCTTGAGTGGAGGTGATAAATAGATTGATATCGTTTGTTTATTGAAATAATACTTCAAAATTACTTATAATAGAGAAATTGACAACAATCTCTTACGCATTACTAAATATAGCATCTTTGGAAAATTTCACTTCAGCTGCGGGTTGGAATTGTTCGAAGATGATTATTTCGTTGTCTCCTGCTTGTAGGAACGGACCTGGTAAGTATAGTGTTTGTTGGGGACCAATGAAGACGTGTCGTCCCAAAACAAACCCGTTCACTATTACCACCCCCTTGTTCCACGCGCTCATGTCAATAAAAGTATCCCTGTAATCATCTTCAGATTCCTCCAGAGTCAAAGTTGCTTTATAAAATGCAGGCCCGAAATCAAGATCCACAGGATTCCAATCAGTGATACCGTTTATCCAGTCTTTGTTGAACTGCAAGGGATAAATCATCCACGAGGTCAATTCCTGGTCGTTCAAATAGACACGATTATCCTGTGTCAGTCCCTTGAATTGTTGGTACAAATTACCAAAGTTGACACGCCCGAAATTCTCAATGACGATGTCCAAAGTGACGCCTGTCAAATCTTCCGTGGTTAGAGTAATAGTGGAATCTGCCATCCTCCAGTAACCAAAATCGTTCAAATTGTCACTACTGGTCAAACGATTTGAAATCAAAACGCCGTTTATCAAAACCATGACGGTATCACGAACATGACCTGTAATAGTCAGCGTGGAACCAGCTGCAATATCTATATTTTCTTGACGATAGGTTATGTAGCCATAACTTTGACCAGAGTCGTCGTTTATGGGCAGCTGCTCCATCGATAGTGTTGTGTCACTTGTAATAGGCTCAATCAACCTCGAAAGAATATCGTTGAAAATCAGTTGACCATCGAGATTCAAAGTTGGGTACACTTCTCTCTCGACCAACTCAGGCGGATCCGGAGTTAGTGTTTTGACCGGATTATACTGCGCCACCAATTCCCTAAGTACATCGTATTTGGGGGTATAGTCACCAGCTTCTGAAAGAGGGGCGTCGTAGTCATAACTGGTCGTGATCGGTTGGAACCCGGAATTATCACCCGGTCCGTTGTTAGCTCCATTCAAGAAACCCCAGTTGGTACCCCCGTGGAACACGTACACGTTGACCGAGCCTGGATAAGACACAGTGGCTTCGTAGTTCGCTCTGAAGATACTAGGGTCATAGACGTGGTGATTCTCAGTCAAATGGTCAGGCCATCCCGGGTAAAATTCCATACACATTAGAGGTTGGCCGGGTTGGAGTTGTTCAAGAATGCCGAACGAAACATTCGTTTCGGAGCCAAAATTGGCAGTTTGGAATAAAACTCCGGGGAGACTACCACTAGTACCAGTGCTAGCACCATCCGCCGTAACCAACAACTCTACAATACCGTTGTTTCGCATCAAATCCACCAGTTGTTGAAGGTACACCTTATCACCGTCGGCATACCCATACTCATTTTCCACCTGGAACGCTATAACGGAACCTCCGTTCGTGAACTGGTACTCGGCAAGAACCGGCAACAACTGGTTAAAATACCGCTCCACGTACTTCATGTATGTTTCGTCGGAGGTTCTAACTCTCATACTCTCCCGAAGCAACCAACTAGGAAACCCCCCCCATTCCCACTCTGCGCAAATAAAAGGTCCCGGACGTAATATAACCAACAAATCCTCTTCCTGCGCAATCGACAAGAACCTCCCAATATTCCCAAAATCTTGCAAATCGGTTCCAGATTCCCCGAACTCGTAGACACCGCTTCTGGGTTCGTGAATATTCCAAGCTACGTAGGTTTCAACAGTGTTTAGACCCGCGGCTCGAAGTTTCCGAAGACGGTCCCTCCAGAGTTGGGGTGGAACGCGGAAGTAGTGTATTGCTCCACTATAAATGAAAATTTCTTTGCCATTGAGGGTGAAGTGGGGTTGGTCTACCCCTAGCCCGGACGTGATGCCATCACCCGTGTAGTACTCGTAGACGGTTGGTAAGTCGGCGGCGCACGAGGCCAAGGCGAGCAGTAGATGGAAAGCTAGGACACTTGAAATTTTACATTAGTTGTTTTTGCGTTGTTTGTGTACTTACTTTCGCCCCATTTTGTGTTTTAACCAGATTAGTTAGTGACTGTCAACGGTTAAGTGTGTGTTTAAGTAATGCTGGGGTTGTTATATATATGACTATCTTTTGAGTGATGATTTTGAGTTTTTCAGATGATAAAGATTTTTATTCCAAATAAAAAAATAAATAAAAGGGGCATAAGGTCATATTGTTTAATACAGGTTTGTTGCTAACTGTGTTTATCTTGAGTGATTACTAACAAACAAGAAAAATACACAAACAATTTCCTGACAATTTTTAAGGTGTTTTGAAAGTCGTATCTTTGGAGAAATTAGGGCACCTGCGGGTTTGAAGTGTTCGAATGTGATTATTTCGTTGTTTCCAGGCTGGAGGAAAGGTCCTGGTAGGTGTAGGGTCTGTTGGGGACCAATGAAGGCATACTTGCCAGGAACAAACCCATTGACTATCACAAAGCCCGTGTCCCACTCATTCATATCAAGGAAATTATCAGTAACATCTTCACTGAGGGTCAACGTGGCCTTATACAACCCTGGTCCTTTCGGTAGATCACCATCTTACACAGAATTCCAACCACCTAACTCATTGTTAAATGACTTTTTGAATTCCAATGGTGATGTTTTTGCCATTGAGGGTGAAGAAAGGTTGGTCCACGGAGAGTTCGGAGGTGTTTCCGTCGGATGTATAATACTCCTACAGACTTGGTGGGTCAGCGCATGAGGCGAAAGCGAGAAAGAACTGGAAGACTAAGGTACTTAAGAAAGAGTAGTAGTTGAATTTGCGTCTGTTTTGTTTCCATTTTGGTTTTCAACAAGATTGTTCGCACTTCAACAGTCGAAAGGTCAAAGTGATTTATATTTTTTGTGCTAAATTATCTTGAGTGGAGGTGATTAATAGATAAATAGGTTGATATCGTTTGTTTATTGAAATGATACTACAAAATTACATATAATGGAGAAATTGACAACAAACTCTTACGGGTTACTAAATATGGCATCTTTGGAAAATTTCACTTCAGCTGCGGGTTGGAATTGTTCGAAGATGATTATTTCGTTGTCTCCTGCTTGTAGGAACGGACCTGGTAAGTATAGTGTTTGTTGGGGACCAATGAAGACGTGTCGTCCCAAAACAAACCCGTTCACTATTACCACCCCCTTGTTCCACGCGCTCATGTCAATAAAAGTATCCCTGTAATCATCTTCAGATTACTCCAGAGTCAAAGTTGCTTTATAAAATGCAGGCCCGAAATCAAGATCCACAGGATTCCAATCAGTGATACCGTTTATCCAGTCTTTGTTGAACTGCAAGGGATAAATCATCCACGAGGTCAATTCCTGGTCGTTCAAATAGACACGATTATCCTGTGTCAGTCCCTTGAATTGTTGGTACAAATTACCAAAGTTGACACGCCCGAAATTCTCAATGACGATGTCCAAAGTGACGCCTGTCAAATCTTCCGTGGTTAGAGTAATAGTGGAATCTGCCATCCTCCAGTAACCAAAATCGTTCAAATTGTCACTACTGGTCAAACGATTTGAAATCAAAACGCCGTTTATCAAAACCATGACGGTATCACGAACATGACCTGTAATAGTCAGCGTGGAACCAGCTGCAATATCTATATTTTCTTGACGATAGGTTATGTAGCCATAACTTTGACCAGAGTCGTCGTTTATGGGCAGCTGCTCCATCGATAGTGTTGTGTCACTTGTAATAGGCTCAATCAACCTCGAAAGAATATCGTTGAAAATCAGTTGACCATCGAGATTCAAAGTTGGGTACACTTCTCTCTCGACCAACTCAGGCGGATCCGGAGTTAGTGTTTTGACCGGATTATACTGCGCCACCAATTCCCTAAGTACATCGTATTTGGGGGTATAGTCACCAGCTTCTGAAAGAGGGGCGTCGTAGTCATAACTGGTCGTGATCGGTTGGAACCCGGAATTATCACCCGGTCCGTTGTTAGCTCCATTCAAGAAACCCCAGTTGGTACCCCCGTGGAACACGTACACGTTGACCGAGCCTGGATAAGACACAGTGGCTTCGTAGTTCGCTCTGAAGATACTAGGGTCATAGACGTGGTGATTCTCAGTCAAATGGTCAGGCCATCCCGGGTAAAATTCCATACACATTAGAGGTTGGCCGGGTTGGAGTTGTTCAAGAATGCCGAACGAAACATTCGTTTCGGAGCCAAAATTGGCAGTTTGGAATAAAACTCCGGGGAGACTACCACTAGTACCAGTGCTAGCACCATCCGCCGTAACCAACAACTCTACAATACCGTTGTTTCGCATCAAATCCACCAGTTGTTGAAGGTACACCTTATCACCGTCGGCATACCCATACTCATTTTCCACCTGGAACGCTATAACGGAACCTCCGTTCGTGAACTGGTACTCGGCAAGAACCGGCAACAACTGGTTAAAATACCGCTCCACGTACTTCATGTATGTTTCGTCGGAGGTTCTAACTCTCATACTCTCCCGAAGCAACCAACTAGGAAAACCCCCCCATTCCCACTCTGCGCAAATAAAAGGTCCCGGACGTAATATAACCAACAAATCCTCTTCCTGCGCAATCGACAAGAACCTCCCAATATTCCCAAAATCTTGCAAATCGGTTCCAGATTCCCCGAACTCGTAGACACCGCTTCTGGGTTCGTGGATATTCCAAGCTACGTAGGTTTCGACAGTGTTTAGACCCGCGGCTCGAAGTTTCCGAAGACGGTCCCTCCAGAGTTGGGGTGGAACGCGGAAGTAGTGTATTGCTCCACTATAAATGAAAATTTCTTTGCCGTTGAGGGTGAAGTGGGGTTGGTCTACCCCTAGCCCGGACGTGATTCCATCACCCGTGTAGTACTCGTAGACGGTTGGTAAGTCGGCGGCGCACGAGGCCAAGGCGAGCAGTAGATGGAAAGCTAGGACACTTGAAATTTTACATTAGTTGTTTTTGCGTTGTTTGTGTACTTACTTTCGCCCCATTTTGTGTTTTAACCAGATTAGTTAGTGACTGTCAACAGTTAAGTGTGTGTTTAAGTAATGCTGGGGTTGTTATATATAGGACTATCTTGAGTGATGATTTTGAGTTTTTCAGACGATAAAGATTTTTTTTCCAGTGAGTTATTAATTAGAGATTGTCAACAAAATAAAAAAATAAATAAAAAGGAAGTAAGGTCATATTGTTTAATACTGGTTTGTTGCTAACTGTGTTTATCTTGAGTGATTACTAACAAATAAGAAAAATACACAAACAATTTCCTGACAATTTTTAAGGTGGTTTGAAAGTCGTATCTTTGGAGAAATTACGGCACCTGCGGGTTTGAAGTGTTTGAATGTGATTATTTCGTTGTTTCCAGGCTGGAGGAAAGGTCTTGGTAGGTGTAGGGTCTGTTGGGGACCAATGAAGCCATACTTGCCAGGAACAAACCCATTGACTATCACCAAGCCCTTGTCCCACTCATTCATATCAAGGAAATTATCAGTAACATCTTCACTGAGGGTCAACGTGGCCTTATACAACCCTGGTCCTTTCGGTAGATCACCATCTTACACAGAATTCCAACCACCTAACTCATTGTTAAATGACTTTTTGAATTCCAATGGAGATGTTTTTGCCATTGAGGGTGAAGAAAGGTTGGTCCACGGAGAGTCCGGAAGTGTAATACTCGTACAGACTTGGTGGGTCGGCGCAAGAGGCGAAAGCGAGAAAGAACTGGAAGACTAAGGTACTTAAGAAAGAGTAGTAGTTGAATTTGCGTCTGTTTTGTTTCCATTTTGGTTTTCAACAAGATTGTTCGCACTTCAACAGTCGTTAGGTAAATGTGATTTAAATTTTTTGTGCTAAATTATCTTGAGTGGAGGTGATAAATAGATTGATATCGTTTGTTTATTGAAATAATACTTCAAGATTACACATAATGGATAAATTGACAACAAATTGTTACGGGTTACTAAATATAGCATCTTTGGAAAATTTCACTTCAGCTGCGGGTTGGAATTGTTCAAAGATGATTATTTCGTTGTCTCCTGCTTGTAGGAACGGACCTGGTAAGTATAGTGTTTGTTGGGGACCAAGGAAAACGTGCCGTCCCAGAACAAACCCGTTCACTATTACCACTCCCTTGTTCCACGCGCTCATGTCAATAAAAGTATCCCTGTAGCCATCTTCAGATTCCTCCAGAGTCAAAGTTGCTTTATAGAATGCAGGCCCGTAATCTAGATCCACAGGATTCCAATCAGTGATACCGTTTATCCAGTCTTTGTGGAACTGCATGGGATAAATCACCCACGAGGTCAACTCCTGGTCGTTCAAATAAACACGATTGTCTTGTGTCAGTCCTTTAAATTGTTGGTACAGATTACCATAGTTGACACGGCCGAAGTTCTCAATGACGATGTCTAAAGTGGCGCCTGTCAAATCCTCCGTGGTTAGAGTAATAGTGGAATTTTCCATCCTCCAGTAACCAAAATCGTTGAAATCGTCACTATTGGTCAAACGATTTGAAATCAGAACCCCATTTATCAAAATCATGACGGTATCACGAACATGACCTGTAATAGTCAACGTGGTACCAGCTGCAATATCTATATTTTCTTGACGATAGGTTATGTAGCCATAACTTTGACCAGAGTCGTCGTTTATTGGCAGTTGCTCCATCGATAGTGTCGTGTCACTTGTCACAGGGTCGTTCGACCTCGCCAGAATATCATTGAAAATGAGTTGACCATCAAGTGCCAAAGTTGGGTACACTTCTCTCTCGACCAACTCAGGCGGATCCGGAGTTAGTGTTTTGACCGGATTATACTGCGCCACCAATTCCCTAAGTATATCGTATTTAGGGGTATAGTCACCAGCTTCTGAAAGAGGCGCGTCGTAGTCATAACTGGTTGTGGTCGGTTGGAACGCAGAATTATCACCAGGTCCGTTGTTAGCTCCATTCAAGAATCCCCAGTTGGTACCACCGTGGAACATGTACAAGTTGACCGATCCTGGATAAGACACAGTGGCTTCGTAGTTCGATCTGAAGACACTAGTGTCAGTGGTGTGATGACCCTCAGACCAATGGTCAAACCATCCTGGGTAAAATTCCATACACATTAGAGGCTGCCCGGGTTGGAGTTGTTCAAGGACACCGAAAGAAGCAGTCGGATCGGAACCAAAATTGACAGTTTGGAATAAAACCCCGGGGAGACTACCTCTAGTACCACTGCTAGCACCGTCTGACGTAACCAACAACTCTACAATACCGTTGTTTCGCATCAAATCCACCAGTTGTTGAAGGTACACCTTATCACCGTCGGCATACCCATACTCATTTTCCACTTGGAACGCTATAACGGGACCTCCGTTCGTGAATTGGTACTCGGCAAGAACCGGCAACAACTGGTTGAAGTACCGTTCCACGTACTTCATGTACGTCTCGTCGGAGGTTCTAACTCTCATATTCTCCCGAAGCAACCAACTAGGAAAACCGCCCCATTCCCACTCCGCGCAAATAAAAGGTCCCGGACGCAGTATAACCAACAAATCCTCTTCCTGCGCAATCGACAAGAACTGTCCAATATTCCCAAAATCTTGTAACTCGGTTCCAGATTCCCCGAACTCGTAGACACCGCTTTTGGGTTCGTGGATATTCCAAGCCACGTAGGTTTCAACAGTGTTTAGACCCGCGGCTCGAAGTTTCCGAAGACGGTCCCTCCAGTGTTGGGGTGGAACGCGGAAGTAGTGCATTCCTCCGCTATAAATGAAAATTTCTTTGCCATTGAGGGTGAAATGTGGTTGATCCACGCCAAGACCAGATGTGATGCCATCACCCGTGTAGTACTCGTAGACGGTTGGTAAGTCGGCGGCGCACGCGGCCAAGACGAGCAGTAGATGGAAAGCTAGGACACTTGAAATTTTATATTAGTTGTTTTTGTGTTGTTTGTGTACTTACTTTCGCCCCATTTTGTATTTTAACCTGATTAGTTCGCGACTGTCAACGGTTAAGTGCGTGTTTAAGTTATGGTGGGGTTTTTATATAGCGCTATCTTGAGTGGAGATTTTGAGTTTTTCAAACGATAAAGATTTCCATTCCAATGAGTTATTAATTAGAGATTGTCAATAAAATAAAAAAATAAAGAGGAATTAGGTAATATTGTTTATTACAGTTTTGTTACTAACTGTGTTTATCTTAAGTGATTAGTAACAAACAAGAAAAGTACACAAACAACTTCTTGGCAATTTTTATGGAGTATTGAAGATTGTATCTTTGGAAAACTTCACCGCACTTGCGGGTTTGAAGTGTTCAAATATGATTATTTCGTTGTTGCCAGGCTGGAGGAAAGGTCCTGGGAGGTATAGGGTTTGTTGGGGACCAATGAAGGCATACTTGCCAAGAACAAACCCATTGACTATCACCAAGCCCTTGTTCCACTCACTCATATCAATAAAAGTATCAGTAATATCGTCACTCAGGGTCAACGTGGCCCTATACAACCCCGGTCCTTTTGGTAAATCACCATCTTCCACAGAATTCCAACCACTTAGCTCATTATTAAACGACTTTTTGAATTCCAAGGGATAAATCAACCAATACGTTAATTCTTGATCGTTCAAGTAGACGTGGTTGTCATCCATGAGTCCCTTAAGTTGATGGTAAAACAGGCCACCATTAGCACGTCCCCAGTTTTCGATGACGATATCCAAAGTAACTTCGGTTAAATCAGAGGTTGTTAAAGTAATTGTTGAATTGTCTAACCTCCAGTAACCAAAGTTGTTCAAATCGTCACTGCTTGACAACGGGTTTGATATCAAAACCCCGTCTATTAGAATCATCACGGTGTCGCGGATGTGACCCGTGATGGTCAAAGTAGAGTCTGCGGTTATGTTCAAACCTTCCTGACGGTAGACACTATAGCCATAACTTTGCCCAGAATTGTCGTTTATAGGAAGTTGTTCCATCGACAGAATCATAGTACTTGGAATGGAAGTGGTCTTTGAAACAATGTCGTTGAAACTAAGTTGACCATCGATGGGTAAATCTGGGTACGCTTGGCGTTCCACTAGTGCTGGAGGTTCTGGTGTTAGGGTTTGTACTGGGTTGTACTGTGCTACTAATTCTTTAATAATGTCGTATTTGCTGGTATAGTCCCCAGCTTCTGTCAATGGTGCGTCGTAGTCGTAACTCGTCGTACATGGTTCAAACTCGGAATTGTCGTCACTAGACTCAATGCTAGCTCCATTCAAAAAACCCCAGTTGGTACCACCGTGAAACATATACAAGTTAACTGACGCAGGGTACGACAAAACATCTTCGTAATTGTTTTTGAAGTCGTTGTCAGTCACAGTGTGATGAACATCAGTCCAGTGGTCAAGCCACCCCGGGTAGAATTCCATCCCCATTAGAGGCTTCCCGGGTTGCAACCCTTCAAGAATACCGAACACTGTGGCTGCATCTCCCCCAAAATTCACAGTCTGGAAGAGAAGTCCCGGAAGGGTACCACTCGTTCCGCTACTAGCACCGTCCGAAGTCACCAATAATTCCACAATATCGTTATTTTTCACTATATCGTACAACTGTTGGAGATATTCTTTGTCGATTTCCGGACTATACCCATATTCATTTTCCACTTGAACCGCTACAATGGGACCTCCATTGGTAAACTGGTACTTGGCAAGAATTGGTAATAATGTGTTAAAGTACCGCTCCACGTACTCCATATATGTCGCCTCTGCAGTTCTAATTTTCACATTTTCGTCTCTAAGTAACCAACTGGGGTAACCCCCCCATTCCCATTCCGCACAAATGTAGGGTCCTGGACGTACTATAACAAGCAAATCTTCTTCTTGTGCAGCCGTCAAGTACCCTTCCAAATCTAGAAACATCTCCATATCAGATCCTCCACTCCCGAAGTCGAACGAACCGTTTCTGGGCTCGTGGAGGTTCCACGGTATATAGGTTTCAACAGTGTTTAGTCCCGCGGCTCTGAGTTTCCGAAGACGATCTCTCCAGTGTTGGGGAGGAATACGGAAGTAGTGCATCGCTCCACTATAGATGGTTATGTTTTTACCATTGAGGGTGAAGTACGGTTGGTCCACGGAGAGTCCAGAGGTGACTCCATCACCGGTGTAGTACTCATAGAGAGTTGGTAAATCGGCGCACGAGGCGAAGGCGAGCACAAAATGAAATGTTAAAATACTTAAAATGAATTAGTTGTTTGAGTCGCTTTAGTACTTACTTATACATAGTTTTATTTTGTATTTTAACTAAATTACTTCATCGAGTGTCAAGATTTTGTGTTCACTTGTTTATGACAGTGATGATGTATAGTTGTATTATCTTGAGTGTGCAGGAGATACTCATTGATAAAATATTTATTTACTATTAACTTGAGATTTCTGGACTCTATGTAATGGGTATCTCGATTGTTCTTCAAAAATCGAAAAATTAAGTGTGTTTGATTAGGATATATTTGATTTTATCGTCAGCGATTGGTAAAAACAAGAGCAAAGGTAAAGTGTACTCTGTTATCAAAAATTAGGATCTTCTAGTGGCAACAATATAAATAAGGAAAACCACACTTGTGACAAGGTTACAGATTGTTAAATATAGTGGGTTCACTTCAGAGGAACGTTCAAAATGTTTAACATGTAGATGTTGTGTCTCCTTTAGATTATCGTTAATAATATGTGGAAGATTGTTAACAAAACAATAAAAGAAACACCGGGCAAGATCATATTGTTTATTGTATTTTTGTTGCCAACTGTATTTATCTAGATTGATAGGTAACAAACAAGAAAAATATCACAAAAAGTCCTTGACAAACGTTTACGGTGTATTGAAGATAATATCTTTGGAAAATTTCACAGAACGTGCAGGTTGAAAGTGTTCAAATATGATTATTTCGTTGTTGCCAGGCTGGAGGAAAGGTCCTGGTAGGTATAGGGTCTGTTGGGGACCAATGAAGGCATACTTGCCAAGAACAAACCCATTGACTATCACCAAACCCTTGTCCCACTCACTCATATCAAGGAAAGTATCAGTAATATCTTCACCGAGGGTCAACGTGGCCCTATACAGCCCTGGTCCTTTTGGTAAATCATCTTCCACAGAATTCCAACCACTTAGCTCATTATTAAACGACGTTTTGAATTCCAAAGGATAAATCAACCAAGACGTTAATTCCTGACCGTTCAAGTAGACGTGGTTGTCATCCATGAGTCCTTTAAGTTGATGGTAAAACCAGCCACCATTAGCACGTCCCCAGTTTTCGATGACGATATCCAAAGTAACTTCGGTTAAATCAGTGGTAGTTAGAGTAATTGTTGAATTGTCTAATCTCCAGTAACCAAAGTTGTTGAAATCGTCACTGCTTGACAACGGGTTTGATATCAAAACCCCGTCTACTAGAATCATCACGGTGTCCCGGATGTGACCCGTGATGGTCAAAGTAGAGTCTGCAGCGATGTTCAAACCTTCTTGACGGTAGACAGTGTAGCCATAACTTTGCCCAGAATTGTCGTTTATAGGAAGTTGTTCCATCGACAGAATCATAGTACTTGGAATGGAAGTGGTCTTTGAAACAATGTCGTTGAAACTAAGTTGACCATCGATGGGTAAATCTGGGTACGCTTGGCGTTCCACTAGTGCTGGAGGTTCTGGTGTTAGGGTTTGCACTGGGTTGTACTGTGCTACTAATTCTTTAATAATGTCGTATTTGCTGGTATAGTCCCCAGCTTCTGTCAAAGGTGCGTTGTAATCGTAACTCGTTGTAATTGGTGCAAACCCAGAGTTGTCACCAGGACCGATGCTAGCACCATTTAAGAAACCCCAGTTGGTACCACCGTGAAACATATACAAGTTAACTGATGCAGGATACGACAGGATGGCTTCATAGATACTCCTGAAGTTATCGTCACTCATAGTGTGATGGCCGTCGCCCCAGAAGTCAAACCACCCTGGCCAGAATTCCATCGCCATTAGAGGCTTTCCGGGTTGTATTTGTTCAAGTATACTAAACATTGTGAGTGGATCCGATCCGAAATTCACAGTCTGGAAGAGAAGTCCTGGAAGGGTACCACTCGTTCCGCTACTAGCACCGTCCGAAGTCACCAATAATTCCACAATATCGTTATTTTTCACTATATCGTACAACTGTTGGAGATATTTTTTGTCAACTTCCGGACTATATCCATATTCATTTTCCACTTGAAGCGCTATAATGGGACCTCCATTGGTAAACTGATACTTGGCAAGAATTGGTAATAACGTGTTAAAGTACCGCTCCACGTACCCCATATATGTCGCCTCCGCGGTTCTAACTTTCACATTGTCGTCCCTAAGTAACCAACTGGGGTAACCCCCCCATTCCCATTCCGCACAAATGTAGGGTCCTGGACGTACTATGACAAGCAAATCTTCTTCTTGTGCAGCCGTCAAGTACCCTTCCAAATCCAGAAACATCTCCATGTCGGATCCTCCACTCCCAAAATCGAACGAACCGTTTCTGGGTTCGTGAAGGTTCCACGGTATATAGGTTTCAACAGTGTTTAGTCCCGCGGCTCGAAGTTTCCGAAGACGGTCTCTCCAGTGTTGCGGAGGAATACGGAAGTAGTGCATAGTTCCGCTGTAGATGCTTATGTTTTTGTCATTGAGGGTAAAGTAGGGTTGGTCCACGGAGAGTCCAGAGGTGACTCCATCACCAGTGTAGTACTCGTAGACAGTTGGTAAGTCGGCGCACGAGCCGAAGGCGAGCAGGAGATGAAATGTTAAAATACTTAAAGCGAAATAGTTGTTGGAGTCTTGTCAATTCTACTTACCCGTACATGGTTTTAGTTGATACTTGAACGACACTACTTCATCGAGTGTCAAGTTTTTGTGTACAATTGATGTTTAGTTGAATTATCTTGAGTGGGTATGCATTGATAAAACTAAATAAAAATAATAATTTATTTACTAAAGACGTAAAACTTTAAAAACAAAGATAAACAAGGAGGAATCACGCTTATAACACGCTTAGAGATTATTAAATATAGCGTCTTGGGAAAATTTCACTTCAGCGGCAGGTTCAAAGTGTTCAAATATGACAATTTCGTTGTCCCCGGGTTGCAAAAACGGGCCTGGCAAGTAAAGCGTCTGTTGGGGACCAATAAAAGCGTACCTTCCAAGCACAAACCCATTGACGATTACCACGCCCTTGTTCCACTCACTCATATCAAGAAAAGTGTCAGTACGATCTTCATCCACACTTAAAGTAGCTTTATACAATCCTGGTCCTTTTGATAAACTCGTACTGTCAACAGAACTCCAACCAGTTAACTTCTTCGTCCACGAACTTTTGAATTCCAGCGGGAAAATCAACCAAGACGATAATTCTTGACCGTTCAAGTACACATGGTTGTCTTCGACCAGTCCTTTGACTTGTCGGTACATGTGACCACTATTACCGCGGCCCCAATTTTCAATCACAATGTCTAAAGTGGCGTCAGTCAGATCCGTGGAAGTTAAACTAATGGTGGAATTTTCCAGTCTCCAGTAGCCAAAGTTGTTGAAATCGTCACTGCTTGATAAGGAATTTGATATCAGGACTCCATCTACTAAGATCATGACGGTGTCACGGACATGACCCGTGATTGTCAAAGTAGAGTCCGCCGAAATGGTCAAACCTTCCTGGCGATAAACGATGTACCCATAACTTTGGCCAGAGTTATCGTTTATGGGCAGCTGCTCCATGGACAGAGTGGTACTACTTGGTATGGAATCGTCAAACTTGGAAAGAATGTCGTTCAGACTTAGTTGGCTATGGATTGGTACTGCTGGGTAGGCTTGACGCTCGATTAGTGCAGGTGGTTCCGGTGTTAGGGTTTGTATTGGGTTGTACTGTTCGATTAACCCTTTAATCATGTCGTACTTGCTGGTATAGTCGCCAGCTTCAGTCAATGGTGCGTTGTAGTCGTAACTGGACGTGGTTGGGGCAAGTCCTGAGTTATCCCCAGGCCCGATGGTTGCACCATTCAAAAAACCCCAGTTGGTACCACCGTGGAACATATATAAATTAACCGATGCAGGATACGTTAAACTCGCTTCGTAATCTCGTCTAACCGAACCGTCAGACTTGGTATGGTGACTTTCCGACCAGTGGTCGAACCACCCTGAGTAAAACTCCATAGCCATTAGAGGTTGTCCGGGTTGCATTTCTTCAAGTGCCCCTAATAGCTCGACTGGATATGACCCATAATTCGCAGTCTGGAACAAAACTCCTGGAAGAGTACCCGCAGTCCCTCTCTTCGGACTATCAGCCGTCACTAGCAACTCCACGATTCCATAGTGTTTGAAAATGTCGTACAACTGCTGAAGATACACTTTGTCATTCGTCGGACTATTCCCATACTCATTTTCCACTTGAAACGCAACAATCGGACCCCCATTTGTAAACTGGTACTTAGCAAGAAGCGACAACAAGGTGCTTAAGTACCGCTCGACGTACCTCATGAACGTTTCTTCAGAGGTTCTTACTTTGACATTTTCGTCTCTAAGTAACCAACTAGGGAAACCTCCCCATTCCCACTCGGCACAAATGTAGGGTCCTGAACGGGCTATAACCAACACGTCTTCTTCTTGAGCAGCCGCCAAGAACCCTTCAAGATCCAGAAACATCTCCAAATCCGAACCTCCGCTCCCAAAGTCGAATGAACCATTTCTGGGTTCGTGGAGGTTCCAAGGTATGTAGGTCGCAACAGTGTTTAGACCAGCGGCTCGAAGTTTACGAAGACGGTCCCTCCAGTACTGTGGAGGAATACGGAAGTAGTGCATTTCACCGCTATAGAGGGTGATGTTTTTGCCATTGAGGGTGAAGTAGGGTTGGTCCACGGACAGTCCGGAGGTGATTCCATCGGATGTGTAGTACTGGTACAAAGTTGGTAGGTCAGCGCTTGAGGCGAAAGCAAGGATCAACTGGAAGGCTAGGGTACTTAAAAAAGAGTAGTCGTATTAGCGTCTATTGTTATAAGTACCTGAATTTTGTTTTCATTTTGGTTTGTTCGCACTTCAGCGGTCGATAGATAAATGCGTTTGAATTTTTTTGTGTTAAATTATCTTGAGTGGATTTATATCGTTTGTTTATTGAAATGATACTTCAAGATTACATGACAACAAATCTTACGGGTTACTAAATATAGCATCTTTGGAAAATTTCACTTCACTGGCAGGCTCAAAGTGTTCAAAAATAACTATGTCGTTGTCCCCGGTCTGTAGAAACGGGCCTGGTAAGTACAGTGTCTGTTGGGGACCAATAAAGGCGTACCTTCCAAGGACAAACCCATTGACTATCACCACACCCCTGTTCCACTCACTCATGTCTATAAAGGTGTCAGTATGATCTTCATCGACAGTTAAAGTGGCTTTATACAATCCTGGACCCTTGGGTAAATCTGAACTGACATTATTCCAATCAGTAAGGTTCTTTGTCCAGGAACTCTGGAATTCCAAAGGGTAAATCACCCAAAACCAAAGCTCTTCGTCGTTCAAAAAAACGCGATTGTCTTCCACAAGTCCTTTGAATTGATGGTACATATTGCCAAAATTGGCACGCCCGAAATTCTCTATCACGATATCCAAAGTGGCGTCAGTTAAATCTTCCGTCGTTAAAGTAATGGTGGAATTTTCGAGTCTCCAGTAACCAAAATTGTTGAAATCGTCACTACTTGACAAGGAACTTGATATTAATACTCCATTTAGCAGGACCATGACGGTATCGCGAATGTGTCCCGTGATGGTAAGGTTGGAGTAGGCAGATATGTTTAGACCTCCTTCACGATAAACAATGTAGCCATAACTTTGACCAGAATCGTCGTTAATGGGAAGCTGCTCCATCGACAGAGTACTTGTGGTTAAGATAATCTCATGCGAGTTTGCGACTATGTTTTCCAAAGTTAAGTATCCATCAATGGATAAAGTTGGGTACTCTTGACGCTCCACCAGTTCTGGCGGATCCGGTACTAGTGTCTCTATTGGGTTATACTGCACCAACAACTCTCTAATTATATCATACTTGCTGGTATAGTCACCAGCTTCTGTCAATGGTGCGTTGTAGTCATAACTCGTGGTAGTAGGTTGAAACTGCGAATTATCCCCAGGTCCGATGTTCGCCCCATTGAAAAAACCCCAATTAGTACCACCGTGAAACATGTACAGGTTAACCGAAGCCGGGTACCCTAGAATATCTTCATAGTTCGCCCTGAAGTCACTATCACTCAAAGTGTGATGACCCTCAGACCAATGATCAAACCAACCTGGATAAAACTCCATCGCCATCACAGGCTTCCCAGGCTGCAGCCCTTCAAGAATATGGAACGAAGTGGCCGCATCTGACCCAAAATTCACCGTTTGAAACAAAACTCCGGGAAGAGTGCCAGCAGTACCACTACTCGCACCATCAGACGTAAATAGCAACTCCACAATACCATTACTCTTCATCAAGTCCACCAAACTTTGAAGATACACTTTGTCAATGTCTGGGTTATAACCGTACTCGTTTTCCACCTGTACCGCGATAATCGGACCTCCGTTAGTAAATTGGTACTTAGCTAGAATCGGCAATACGTTTCCGAAGTACCGTTCGACGTACTTCATGTAAGTTTGTTCGGACGTCCGAACTTTGAGAGTGTCTTCTCTGAGTAACCAACTGGGGAAACCTCCCCATTCCCACTCGCCACAAGTATAGGGTCCTGGTCGTACTATCACTAGTAAGTCTTCTTCAAGTGCAGCCGTCAAAAACCCTTCTAGATCAAGAAAAGCTTCCATGTCCGTTCCTCCACTCCCAAAGTCGAAGTAGCCGTTTCTGGGTTCGTGGATGTTCCAAGCTAAGATTGTTTCGACTGTGTTTAGACCAGCGGCTCGGAGTTTGCGAAGACGGTCCCTCCAGTGCTGCGGAGGGACGCGGAAGTAGTGCATAGCGCCACCATAGATGGTTATATTTTTGCCGTTGAGGGTGAAGTAGGGTTGGTCGACGGAAAGCCCGGAGGAGATTCCATCACCGGTGTAGTACTCGTACAGAGTGGGTAAAGCGCACGAGGCGAAGGCGAGCAAACACTGGAAAATTATAGTACTGGGAAAAAATGAAGTGTGGCGAAATCGTGATTAGTAGTACCTGTAACTTAGTTTCATTTTGTGACTGCGAACAGGTTAACTGTTTGTGGTTGGTTATATATACTGATTTATCTTGATTGCTGATTCAAGAAGTACTAGGTGATAATTTGCGGTACTTCATTTTTGAACAACAAGACGGATAACCAATATGGCGGCTTTAGACAACTGAGAAGCGTTTAAAAAAAAATTGATGAGGTCATAATCTGTTTATCATGGACTTATTTTTAACTAGTTAACAACAACCCTACAAAGCGCCGATGCACTGTTTATTATTTGGGTTCCTTATCTCTAATTCGTCATAAATGATAAGCGCCAAGTTTTTATAAAAAAGCACTTTGAAATGAGAACGTACTTCCTCTAATACAATAATTCCAGCAATTAGCTACTGAAAAATGTTGACAGCATGTGCTCAACTAACGCTAAGTAGAAGAATGATTCATAATTAACTTGCATTTTAAGTGTTGCGGCCTTGATGTGCGATTTATTCCACACTTTAAAAAAACTCGAACGTTTGTGAAGTAATATGAAAAAAAATCGGATACACACATTATAATTAATAACCGTTATTTAGCTTTGAGGAAGAACAAAACAACTGAATGATTATGTATTTCTTAATTGTGGGATTATATAACTTTTTTTTAATGAGTAGTTTTTTGTAATTAAATGTTAAACTATTTTTGTAAATTTACGAGAGTATGCAACACAATATACACCAATTGTTGCAATAATTTAATCGACGAAATACTTGTCAGTTTATTTATTTTGTGATATAAAAATACTTGGAGATAAAAGAACACTTGAAAGCGGAAATTATGATGTCATTTTTATGACTGATATTATTTTCATGACGTCTCAAGGTCTTTTCAGATTGTTTCAAAAACAAAATACAAAGGAAATTTCTTTAAAAGGAAAACACCAGAACCCTCTCCCCCACACCAAGATTCTTGTCATTCTTAAAAAAGAAAGAGATTTTTTCACATTATTAAAATAAATACGCTAGGGTCCCCTAAGACCCTTTCAAACTATTGCAAAATCAAAATATAAGAGATCCTTAAGACTCTTTCAAACTTCCAAAAAAGAAGCTTGCATCGTTCTTTCACATTCTTTTAAAAAGCCCTCAAGATTCTGTTATTCTCAAAAAAAGATACTAGGAGCTCCTAAGCCTTTCAAACGATTTCAAAAACAAAACACCAAAGAACCTTCAAGATCTTTTCACATTCTTAATAAAGGATACAAGGGACCCCAAAGACTTTCAAACTATTTTAAAACCAAAACACAAATGAGCTCCCAAGATTCTTTACATTTTTTACAAAAACTAAAAACTATATATTTCAAAAGAAAACATTGCAGCCTTTAACAAAATTTAAGATAACTAACTCTTTTGGTTTTCTTTTTTAATTAATACATTGAGATTTCTTTTTAATTACTTAAGAATATATTTCACATGGTAATTTCTAGTGGAAAAATAAGGGGTTTACAATTAAGCTCCTCCTCTCAATTTACGACGAATAAAAAAAATCATCACAATTGAGAAAGGGCGGGCCTACAATTTGTCTTTGTGTTTTAATATGTGTAGATTTCTTTTCACAATATGAGACTTGGAACATATTTAAAATATTAAATTTGTATAAGGAAATATCGACTTGCAATTAGGCTCCGCCCCATAATTCCAAAATCCATATGTCCTTGCAAAAATGTACCATTTTAACCATATTCTAAGTTTCTTGTTGGAAAAAGATGGATATGTATATTAAGAAAAAAAAAGGCAAAATATAAGCCCCACCCACCCACCCTGTCTCAATTCTGATGATTCTTTTTATGCGTCGTCAACCGAGGGGTGGAGCTTAATTATAAAATCCTGATTTTTCTACGAGAAATTACCCTGTGAAAAAGTAATCGTGTTATACAAAGAAAACTATGTACATATATTAAGAAAAAAGACAAAATATAAGCCCCGCCCACCCACCCTGTCTCAATTGTAATGATTTTTTTTAATCGTCGAAAATCAAAAAAGCGGAATTTAATTGCAAAATCGTTATTATTTCTCTAAAAGAAATTGTTTTTTAATTTTTAAAGTTATAAAAGTTTTCCGATTTCTCGAGTCCTCAGATTCTTCTTTAATAAATTTTTCAATTTTCCGAATTTTCAAATTTTCGATTTTCCACCTTTTTATTTTTATCGGATTTATCGGACCATACTTCAAAGTTCTGTCTAAATAACCTTCTACAATTTTTTTAGCTTTGTTTTTCTTGGTAGCGTCATCAAAATTCCAAAAACAACATAATTATAAAACGCCAATGTCGCCAGCAAACCTGAAAATAACTACTTGTACACAATACCACAGGGCCCCACCTTGAAAATTTCCCGGTGGACCCCCATGTCCTCAATCCGGCGCTGGTTATGGCATAATTTTTTAAAGAAGAACATAATGTAAACAAAATGATAATTTCCGCTTTCAGGTGTTCTTTTATCTCCAAGTATTTTTATATCACAAAATAAATAAACTGACAAGTATTTCGTTGATTAAATTATATTTTAACAATTGGTGTATATTGTGTTGCATACTCTCGTTCAAAAGGCTCTCGACGATTAAAAGAAAATCATCACAATTGAGATAGGGCGGGTGGGCGGGGCTAATATTTTGCCTTTTTTCTTAATATAGTAGTCGTCTTTTCAGAACAAGAAACATAAAACATGTTCGAAATGGCAAATTGTTGTAGACAAATATGGATCTTGCAATTAAGCTCCGCCCCTCAATGTGACAACGAACAACAAATTCCTAACAACTGAGAATTAAGATCGGGGCGGGTATGGGTGGGGCCTAATCTTTGGCTTTATTTTTTCCTTAATATACATAGTATTCTTTGAACAACACGATAGTCAAAAACCTGTTTTTAATTTCTCGAAGAAAAATAAGGATTTTGCAGTTAAGCTCCGCCTCTTTGGCTCATAACGAATAAAAAAAATCATCACGATTGAGACAGGGCGGGTGGGCGGGGCTTCATTTTGCCTTGTTTTCTTAATATGTGCAGACTTTAGCAGATAAAATAAGATCGATTTTGGCAAATGACATATCCTCTAAGAAACGAATGGGTGGGTGGGCGGGGCTAGTATCTGCTAGGATAAGACTGATTTTGGCAAATGACATTCTCTAAGGAAATAGAAGGTAGGTGGGCGGGGCTAGTACCCACTAAAATCAGTTTTATCTTAGCAGGTACTAGCCCGCCCACCCACCCTCTCTTTTCTTAGAATGTATCTCATTAGCCAAGATCAGTTTTATCTTATCAACTGATAAGATAATGTTAAAAAATGCGTCAAAAAAAGTTCACGTTTATTTTATAGAAAAAAGCAAAAGTGGCCAGTTTGCCTAAAAACATGATAAAGTATCTTAAAATAGATGAAAAAACAGGTAAAAAAGCTTAAATAGATGAAAAAAAAATGTGTGCTGAAAGGTACCATTTTACTTTCTGACTTCAGTTTAGAAATTTCATCTAAAATGCCCGATAATCCAATCCCTAAACCCGAGTTATTTAGATGAAAATAATTGGATTTGAAATAATAAACAATGCTTTTGGAATCACCAAAAATTATATTTCGTAAAAATGAATTAAATCGGCAAAATCTGGATGTCTAGGACAAAAATTCAACAGGGGTTCATAAAACACATGTGCAGAAGTATTTTATTTTGATTATCTGCACGATATTCGTAAAACACATAGAAAATTTAACAGCTGGTTCAGTAGTTTCGGAGATTCTAATAAAAATCCGGACAGACGGCAGACAGACAGACAGACAGACGGACGGCCGGAAACGGGCGACGTAATAGACATTTAACAATTTATTTCTTTTTTAAGAGTCCGTGCACGAATGTCCTAAAAACATTAAAAATAATCATCAAATTTCACAATTTATCTAGAGATTAGATGACAAGCAAAATTTGATAAGGCTTAACAGTGATTCAGGGTTTACACCACCTTGACGGAAATTCTTTTATTACTTTGAGGCAGATAATAACGTTATCAGATGTTGCGATGTACATGTCGAAAAATAATATTATTATTTATTATTATTTTTTTAGGAATAGATTACCTTTTGGTTTCACATTTTTGTAATGTCGGTGGATTTTCTGACAGTTATTGGATTAGTGTATTAAAGGTTGCGGCTTAATTGGTATTAATGACGTCATGATTTGAAGTGTTGATAACAAAAAACGGACACAATAAATTCGTGATTTATAAACAAACACACTCGTGTCCTCTTTAGATGTTTTCATAGTTCATGAGAATGGGAAATTTGTTTACTGAAGCAAATACGCGAAATATCTGATTCCATGTATTATTTATTGATTAGGTGCCTTATCTGAAGTGAGATAGCGATAAGGCGAATTTTTCGCCAGTCCGATAACGCAGCCCATCATTCCGGTCTAATTCCAGCAATAAACTCCTGAAAAATCCTTCCAGCAATCTGTTACGAATCGAATTAACAGTAACTAGAACCATGATTCATAATTGGCGCCAACGTCACGTGTTGCGTCCTTGATACGCGAGTGCCTCCTGTGATGAAGTTTGTTCTGTGAGTTGATAATAAAAAAAATGGTGGTTGCTAGCCCTCTTCTGCAATGCATATCCATCAAATCGCAATGAAATGGGACCTTTTCGGCTAAGTGCGCCGCCCAGCAGCCTTCCCTTATCAGTCTAGGAGTGATAGTGACGAGGTACGTGTAAACCTGGAAAGTGTGTTCGCCTGGTCATATGGGCGGATACAGCAGTTGTGTTTGGCTGTTATTATGGGTGTTGTTGCACAAACTGTCATATTCGTACCAACATGTCATTGCGTTGGACGAACTCATTCAATTAATTATTCCAATTAGCCAGTTGTTCTCGTCGAGAAATGATTGGCGTTCGACAACAAGCAGCGCCTGCAGACGCAACATGTGACCCCGTTGTGACGTTTATTAGTTTGTCGGGCGAGCCCCAAGCCGCCCCCGAGGAGCCGAGCCATTATTAATAGCCGCGGTTAGTTGCAGATGCTGAACGGCCGGAATGCGGGGGTGTACCTGAGTCCGCCTCTGAAGATGCGGGCAGGTGCTGGGAGCGACCCTGGAAGCAACCCCGTCGGCTCCCGAGATCGAGTGATCGAGTAGGCTGCGCTTTTGACAGTTCGACATGCTGCCAACCACGGAAAACAACAGGTACATCGTGCAGGTGTACGTGGGGGCCCTGTCGGCGCTCTACGAGGCCCTGTCGGTGGAGGCCAGCAAGCAGACGACCTCCGAGGAGATCGTCTCCTGCATCGTGGAGCGGCTGCTTTTGAGCGAGAACGTGACCTACGAGCTGGCCGAAGTGATCGGTGATGATTCAGGGGAGGAGTGCAAGGAGCGCCGGCTGGCCCCCTCGGAGAACCCGGTGCAAGTGATGATGTTATGGCCGAAAAACCGCACGGACCAGTCTTCCTATCGGTTCTACTTAAGAGAGAAGGTTAGTTGATTTTTTTAAATGTGTGACCGCGAAACATTCAGTTTGAAGGGTGGTTTTTACGCGTCATTTTTAATTTTGGATATTTATAAATGTGTTTGTGTTTCTAACTTGCTATAAAACACGAAAATAAATCTGTTTATGTTACGTTTCGCCCCCGTTTCTGTGGGTTTGAAATCCAATACATAATTTTTCTACAATTTTTGTTTTTGTCATTGAAGGTTATGTCATTTAAAGAATCTAATAATTAACAAAAAAAAAAAAAAAATAATAATAATGAGCAGTTTTTTTGGCATTGTAAAAGTTTGTTAATTTACAGGTCTTTTCTATGTATTAGTCGGCATTTTTCAGGATTCTTCAGTTCAAAATAATTTCATTTTGATTTTAATTTACTGTTTAATTATTTGTTTTAGATTTCTATTCTCTTCTGTATCTTCTTGATTTTTTCTGTTGTAGATATTCTGAGATTTAGCCATGTGTGGATTCGTGACCTCATTTGATAGTAACTTTATAATTTTCTTTTTGCTCTATTGCGAGCTGAAAACGTCGATTGTAGTTTGAAAAAGGTGATATTGCTATAGTTTATAAATTTTTGTCGTCCCTTCATTACTTGTTGCTCATTTAGTGAAAGAGCGGGGTATTGAGGATTACAAACTAATTAAAGCCAAAAGTAAACGTGGTATAATCATATTTTTGTAATAATTTTAGATTTGTTTTTATCTATTTTTTATTTTCGCACACTATACTCTAACTAGCAGGAACCCTAGTTGTTAGCAATAATCGAGGTCATTTGGACTACTAGGAGGTCTATTGGTTGCAAGTTTTGTCGACTTTATTAACTTAATATTGATTTTATCGTGTGATCCGCAGAACTTTTATTAAAATTCTCAGTTGAATGACATACATTCTTATATAGGCGGATTCATAAACCACAAGTTTAGAATTGTTGGTGGGAATAATCAGGCAATTTTGATTATCGTTTTACTACCTACACGATATTCCTAAAATACCAATAAAACTTAATAAAAGCCAGTTCAATTTATTTTGATTTAATCAGCATGTCAAAAGTCGTGATATATGCATTATATTTTCGTAATTCGAAAAGAAAATTTAAAAAAAAACAGTATTTTTTGAAAAAATGGGAACCTTCATTATCGACTTTTTTGTGTTTTTTTTTATCCCGTTATTCTCTTGAGGATCTTGCTATAATCTCCGAAACTAGTAAACGAATTACTTTGAAATTTTAGTAGTCGTTTATGCGACCCAACATAATACTGCGAATTTGATAAAATTTTAACACTAATTATCCAGAAATTGGAAATTTTTTCTTCCCCTCTAAAAAATTAAGGACGTCTTGTCAAAAATTTAAGAAAATACGGCTTGGGTGATGATGCATAACTCATGCTTTAGTCATATTTTTCATTTTTTACTTACCTTTGCGTAAGCTAATCATCCCCACCAACAATTTGATGACGTCATCTCCAAAATTTATAATTAAAAGGTTTTTAATTTTACAAAATAAGATACTCCTGTGCTTGTGGTGTGTGAATCCGTGTCGAATTTTCACCGTAGACATCCAGATTTTTTAGAAAAAAATTAAAACTGAATAACATAATTTGCAGTATAACTTTGGAACTGCAAAACCGATTGCTCGGAAATTTTGTAAATATTTTAAGGTTATCGTAATCATGGTAAATCGTTAAGTAAAATTTATTGGTTTACCCCCTCCCAAAAAATTAATCTCAAAATTTTGCCGAACAAATCCTATCCGAAGTGTGCCAAAATAAGTTTTACATTAGCAAGTACTAGCCCCGCCCACCCGCCCTCTATTTTCTCAGAGGGTATGGCATTTGGCAAAATAAGACTTATCTTAGCAAGTACTAGCAAATACTACCCTCTGAGTAACTAATAATAGTACTTAGCAAGATAAGACTGATTTTGGCAAATGACATCCCCTGAGAAAATAGGGGGCGGGTGGGCGGGGTTAGTACTTGTTCAGATAAAACTGATTTTGGCAAAAAATATACTTTAGGGGCGAGGCAAGTTCTGTCGAAAGAGCTTTTGATCATTTTTTTTTAATTCGTAATGTTTAAATTTTTTGAATATAATAATTATTGTTACAAGGTAGAAAGCGACATTAAAGAATCATTATATCAAAAAATATGGACAAAAAAAATCACTGATTTTAGTCATTCTTTTTTTTTGTGTGTAATTTGCTTTTCAAATTACGAAAATCTCAGGTGACTATTAATGATGGAAGCAAATTTTTCTGGTGGGAATTCTGAATTATTAGCAGCCATGCTGAAATGTCAGTGCACAGTTGTCAATTTTGACATGACCACGCCTAACAAATGTGTTCATTGGTTGAGGCGATGGCAGCCACTGACTTGGTGTCATAAATGTCAATTTGACAATCAGGTATGCCGTCATAAATTTTAAATATGTTGTCAACTTGACAAAAGTTTGAACCGAAATAAAAACTTGACTAGATTTTTTTTTTAATTTTGCTTTCCGAGTGTAAGCTAGGGAAATATTGTACAAGGGTCTTATGTTTTCTGGCGTTTCATGACATCCAGAACACGAAAAAGTAGGTCTCCTAGTCTGCCCCTTTGTGTCGATTTTCTTAGACAGTTAATTTCGGAAACTATTGGACTGATTGTTGTCAAGTTTTATTTGTACATATACTAGGAATATCATAGTGGTAAAACGCTATGCAAAGTTAGTTTAATAAAATTCATAACTTTTGGGTTTTCTTGCGACTTTTAGAGTTTTAATTTCAAATAAGAAAAGCTAAAAATTGAAAAATCAAATAAATCATGACTGATTTTTTGCTTCCCATAAACCTTAGAGTACGAAAAAAGTAGTCTCCATTTCTGTCTGTCTGTCTGCCTGGTGTCTGTATCCATTTTTATTAGACACGTAATCTCCGAAATTGCCGGACCGATTGTTGTCAAATTTCAAAGAATTCTGTGTTTATTTGAATTAACGGTGATACAACAAAATAGTCCTGTAAGTGTGGTGTATAAATCCGCTTTGAGTTTTTCCCTAAGCGTTCAAATTTTTGCAAAAACAATGCAGGTTATAATAACACCGTACCGTCAAGCATCCCGGTGGTGGTCTAGTGGTTACGAGTCAGGAATTCGGACCGGACGTCGAGGTTCGATTCCAAACTTGGCCTTTTAGTTTTTTTTTTTTTTTATTTTTTCTCCCGTATTATGTATTATCTATGTTTATGACGTTATAACAGTTTTCACTGATTAAATTACCCCACTTTCTCGAAAAGGTGAGAATACTTCCCTCTTTATTTAAAAATGTAAAATTTTCTCGGGGGCTCAAGTGTAGTTTTTTAAGAATGTGAAACCTTCTCGGGGATCCCAATTGTCTTTTTGAAAAATGTAAAACCTTCTTGGGGGCACCAAATGTATTTTTTGAAGAATGTAAAACCTTCTCGGGTGTCCGAAATGTCTTTTTTAGAAATGTAAAACCTTGGGGTCCCCAAGTATATTTTTTTAAGAATGTGAAACCTTCTCGGGAGTTTCAGTTTCCTTTCTTAGAAATGTAAAACCTTCTTGGGGGCCCCAGCTGCTTTTTTTTTAATGTGAAACCTTGTCGGGGGTCCCAACTGTCTTTTTTAAAAATGTAGAACCTTCTCGATGAAGCCCAATTATTTTTAATGTGAAACCTCCTAGGAGATCCTAACTGTCTTTTTTTAAAAATCTAAAACCTTCTCGGGGGCCCTAAATGTATTTTTTTTTAATGTTAAACCTTCTCGGGGGTCCTAATTGTCTTTTTTAAAAATGTAAAACCTTCTCGGGGGCGCCAAATGTTTTTTTTTTTAATGTGAAACCTCTGGGATCCCAATTGTCTGTTTTAAAAATGTGAAACCTTCTCGGGGGACCCAAATGTAATTTTTTTTAATGTCAAACCTTCTAGGGAATCCTAACTGTCTTTTTTATTAAATCTAAAACCTCCTCGGGGGCCCCAAGAATATTTTTTTAAGAATGTAAAACCTTCTCGGGGGGGTCCCAATTGTCTGTTTTAAAAATGTGAAACCTTCTCGGGTCGCCAATTTTTTTTTTTAATGTGAAACCTTCTCGGGGGTCCCAATTGTCTTTTTTAAAAATGTAAAACCTTTTCGGGGGCGCCAAATGTTTTTTTTTAATGTGAAACCTAGGGGATCCTAACTGTCTCTTTGAAAAATCTAAAACCTTTTCGGGGAAGCCCATTTTTTTTTAATGTGAAACCTTCTAGGGAATCCTAACTGCCTTTTTTTCTAAATCTAAAATCTTCTCGGGGGCGCCAAATGTTTTTTTTTTTAATGGGAAACCTCTGGGGTCCCAATTGTCTTTTTTAAAAATGTGAAACCTCGGGGGACCCAAGTGCAATTTTTTTTTAATGTCAAACCTAGGGAATCCTAACTGTCTTTTTTTCTAAATCTAAAACCTTCTCGGGGGGCCCAAATGTATTTTTTTTTTTAATGTAAAACCATCTCGGGGGCCCCAAGAATATTTTTTTAAGATTGTCTTTTTTAAAAATGTATAACCTTCTCAGGGGCCCAAGTGTTTTTTTTTTTTAAGTAAAACCTCGGGGGCGCCATATGTTATTTTTTCAATGTGAAACCTCTGGGGTCCCAATTGTCTTTTTTTAAAAGTGTGAAACCTTCTCGGGGGATCCAAGTGTGTTTTTTTTTTTTTTTTTAATGTAAAACCTTGGGGGCGCCAAATGTTTTTTTTTTTTTTTTGTAATGAGATATCTTCTCGGGGGTCCCAATTGTGTTTTTTAAAAATGTGAAACCTTCTCGGAGGACCCAAGTGTATTTTTTTTAATGTAAAACCTTCTCGGGGGCGCCAAATGTTTTTTTTTTTAATGTGAAACCTCTGGGGTCCCAATTGTATGTTTTAAAAATGTGAAACCTTCTCGGGGGACCCAAGTGTAATTTTTTTTTAATGTCAAACCTAGGGAATCCTAACTGTCTTTTTTACTAAATCTAAAACCTCCTCGGGGGCCCCAAGAATATTTTTTTAAGAATGTAAAACCTTCTCGGGTGGGTCCCAATTGTCTGTTTTAAAAATGTGAAACCTTCTCGGGGGCGCCAAATGTTTTTTTTTAATGTGAAACCTAGGGGATCCTAACTGTCTCTTTTAAAAATCTAAAATCTTTCTGGGGAAGCCCAATTTTTTTTTAATGTGAAACCTTCTAGGGAATCCTAACTGCCTTTTTTTCTAAATCTAAAATCTACTCGGGGGGCGCCAAATTTTTTTTTTTTTTAATGGGAAACCTCTGGGGACCCAATTGTCTTTTTTAAAAGTGTGAAACCTTCTCGGGGGACCCAAGTGTTTTTTTTTTATGTAAAACCTTCTTAGGGGCGCCAAATGTTTTTCTTTTGTAATGAGATATCTTCTCGGGGGTCCCAATTGTCTTTTTTAAAAGTGTGAAACCTTCTCGGGGGACCCAAGTATAATTTTTTTTTAATGTCAAACCTAGGGAATCCTAACTGTCTTTTTTACTAAATCTAAAACCTCGGGGGCCCCAAGTTTAGTTTTTTTTTTTTTATGTAAAACCTTCTCGAGGGCGCCAAATGGTTTTTTTTTAATGTGAAACCTCTGGGGTTCCAATTGTCGTTTTTAAAAGTGTGAAACCTTCTCGGGGGACCCAAGTATAATTTTTTTTTAATGTCAAACCTTCTAGGGAATCCTAACTGTCTTTTTTACTAAATCTAAAACCTCGGGGGCCCCAAGTTTTTTTTTTTTTAATGTTAAACCTTCTCTGGGGCCCCAAGTATTTTTTAAGAATGTGAAACCTTCTCGGGCGTCTCAATTGTCTTTTTTAAAAATGTAAAACCTTCTCGGGGAAGCCCATTTTTTTTAAATGTGAAACCTTCTAGGGGATCCTAACTGTCTTTTTTTAAAAATCTAAAACCTTCTTGAGGGTCCCAAGTGTATTTTTTTTTAATCTAAAACCATCTTAGGGGCCCAAAGTGCCTTTTTTTAAGAATATTAAATCTTCTTGGGTCCCCCAACTGTCTTTTTTTAAGGTGAAACCTTTTTTTCTATTACACTGTGACTAGTACCTTCTATATTATTTTTACTCCACAGAGGTTATCACGAAAAAGTAAAATTCAGCAAAATCAAATTTTATAATTTTTTAAATAAGCAGTATTTGTTGGAAGCAAGGCAAGTTCTGTCGAAATAACTTTCGACATTTTTTAATTCCGATTTTTCCCAACCCTGGTGGATATGGCATTTGTCGTGGTTCAGAAGCGTTTTTGCGTAAATAACTCGACAAATTTTTCCCACTCTTCTAGGAGTCATTTTCATTTTTCTGCAGTTATACTAATTCGATTGTGTTTAATTTGGGCCTTGTGTACACATTCTTATCACTTGTTATCAGGTTTATCTTCTTGCTTTATTGTCGCCATTTCTTTTGTGCCTCTGATCGCCATATAGTGGTAAGTTCGTGTTTCTGCGATATATTGGGGTTGCCACAACTTGTATAATTCGAAAAGTTGGTCCTCCACTTCTTTGTGTTTGTCATCTGGCTGTAAATTGATGATGAAATTGTGGTAAGGTACTGAGATTCATTTAATTTAGAGAGTAAATGACGTCATCTCCAAAAATCATTAATACACTATAGGTGCCAAAATTAAACCTAAATATTGATGGCCGAATTGAATGTTTATTAAAAACCTAACTTGAAATGTGATCTTCCTGCTATGAAGCCATTTATATTTTTAGTTTTCTCGGGAATAGCTTACCTGTTTTTTGTTGGTTCAGATTCAGAAACGACTAATTTAATAAAGTTAGCGTGTTTGTGATTACCAAATGTTGCATAATAAATCTTTATTGAAAAATATACGTTAAAAGGCAATGTTGTGCCTTAGAGGCGAGGGATTTTTTTTTTTTTTATTTTCATACAGGGGTAATCTATTTTTAATTTTCGCCTTCTTTGTGTTCAGTCCTTTTATCGGTCGTGACGTTTAAGAAAATTTTCTCCCGTTTTTTCCATTTTGTCCTTGTGTTTTAAATAATCTACGTTTGACATCAAAACCTAATTTTTTTGAGTTTTCGCTCTTCAAGTTCATGATGTCCCCTGTTCATAGATTATACAAGTAAACAAACTGCACGTGTGAACTTCTACTAAAGCGATTGCTTTCACAAGGTCGTCCATTTAAAAATATTATGCTCGCGATTTTTAAGAATCATTTAAAAATATCTCTGATTGAAGCACATCGATGATATTTTTATGGCAGCTTAAATCAGTTGGAAGATTTATAAATATCCAAAAATTAAAATTTTTCAAGTTTGTACACCACCATGAATCTATAAAGGGTGTTTTGAACTGGACCGGTCTTGGAACTGTAGTGTAGAGTTTTATGAATTTGTAAAAAGTTCATCGAATCAAGTCTCAATTTTGTCTAAAACCTTTCTAGGTAAGCGACTACGGGTGGCAAGACCATTTCGTCATGGACCCGCAACTCATCAAGGACTATTTCCACCGGTTTTTGTACCAACCTAAAGACAGAGAATACCCCGACTTGTGTCAGTTGCCCGACCTAAACGAACAAACTTTACTTGACAATCTGCGGGCGCGGTTCGTAGCTGGCCACATCTACACCTACGTGGGGTCCATCCTCATCGCCCTCAACCCCTTCAAGTTCTACCCCATTTATAACCCCAAGTACGTCAAACTGTACCAGAACAGAAAACTCGGCCCCAACTTGCCCCCCCACATCTTCGCCGTCGCAGACACCGCCTACTACTGCATGCTGAAGGACCGAAAAAACCAGTGCATCGTCATCAGCGGCGAGAGCGGCTCGGGAAAAACCGAAAGTACAAACTTCCTCCTGCACCACCTCACGGCGCTCAGCCAGAAAGGCTCCCACGGCAGCGGCGTCGAGCAGACGATCCTGAGCGCCGGCCCCGTGCTGGAGGCCTTCGGAAACGCCAAAACCGCCCACAACAACAACTCCAGCCGCTTCGGCAAGTTCATCCAGGTCAACTACAAGGAGAACGGGATGGTGCACGGCGCCGTCGTCCAGAAGTACCTACTGGAGAAGTCGAGGATTTGCTCACAAGGCCGCAACGAACGCAACTACCACGTGTTCTACTACCTGCTGGAAGGCGCCACCGAGCAGGAGAAACAACTCCTGCACTTGAAAACCCCGGACCAGTACTACTACTTGAACAAGTCGTGCTACACGCTGGAGAACGTCGACGAGAGCTACGAGTTCTCCAGGTTGAAGCAGTCGATGGAGATGGTGGGCTTCACCGCGGAGAAGCAGCGGCGGTTGTTCTCGGTGCTCTCGGCGGTGTTGTTATTGGGGAACGTGGAGTTCCAGCCGAGACGGCCTGCGTACCACCACGACGAGTCCGTCGGGGTGAAGAACCCGGAGGTGGTGTTCTTGATTTCCGAGCTGTTGCGCGTCAAACAGGAGACTCTTTTGCAAGCTTTGACGGCGAAGAAGGCGCGAGCTTCCGGAGAGACGCTGGTTATTACTTATAAGTTGCCTGAAGCTATAGCTAGTCGGGACGCTATGGCGAAGTGTTTGTACGGTGCGCTCTTCGACTGGATCGTCCTACAAGTGAATCATGCGCTGTTGTCGAAGAAGGACACGCTTAGGGAACATCAGGGGAATTCGATCGGGGTCTTGGACATTTTCGGGTTCGAGGATTTCGGCTTGAACAACAGTTTCGAGCAGTTGTGTATCAATTACGCGAACGAACATTTGCAGTATTATTTTAATCAACACGTTTTTAAGTATGAGCAGGAGGAGTACAGGAAAGAGGGGATCCGTTGGAATAATATCGACTTTATGGATAACACGGGATGTCTGCACTTGATCGAAGGGAAACCCAACGGGTTGCTGTGTCTCTTGGACGATCAGTGCAAGTAAGTAGATTTGAAATTAAATTGAATCCAGATAACTTCGTTATTTGTAGTTTCCCCGGCGCCACGAACGAAACCCTCCTTCAGAAATTCAACACCGTTCACAAAGACAACAAATTCTACATAAAACCGCAGAAGCGCGAGGGCGCCTTCATCGTCATCCACTACGCCGGTAAAGTCAAGTACCAGGTGACCGACATGCGCGAGAAGAACCTCGACCTGATGCGCCAGGACATCGTCGGCGTGCTGAAGAACAGCTCGATGGCGTTCGTCCGCGAGCTGGTGGGCGCCGACCCCGTGGCGGTCTTCCGGTGGGCGATCGTGCGCGCTTTTTTTCGCGCCTACTTCGCCTTCCACGAGGCCGGACGCAAGCACAGGCAGGGCAGAGTGGACGGCAACAAGAACAACATCCAGCAGCGCTACCAACGAAACCACGTCCCCAACGAAAATATCATAAGGTTCGTTTCCGGGCTTTGCGCATGCGCAAAGTGGAGCGTTTGGAGAGTTTAACAGTTTGAGTGGTTGTTCTAAAAATTTTTTTCTTTGTTGTATTACGATTGACGATTTCATTGTTGTGTTCGGTTCTATAGCCATCTCGTGACAGTTTCTGCTGTGAACCTCACAGTTAACAGAATTGCGTAAGTGATTAACGGTTGACGTTCTGTCTTATTTTCATGTTCATGTTCCTGGATTTGTTCCGATTTTTTTCATAACACCAAGTTGTTTTCGTGGTTTTTTCTGTACAGCCAGTCCCCGATAATGTTTCGATTTGGTTTTAATTGTTTTGTCATCCATCATCTACATAGCATGAGTTTTATGATAATAATAATTGCATGAGTTTTAATTTCATCAACTAACTGTTGTAGAGATCATAGAAGTAGATCCGGAATGTCAGAATAGAGTTTTTTATTGTAGGCTCTCGCATTACGTCATAGTGTGACGGAGGGGTTATACGTTTAGGCATGTATTCGTTCCCAAAGGTAGTCCTAGTATGTCGTACGAAGCGTTCCATGTCAAAGCAGTGGCGGCTCGTGAGGTTTAAGCCGAGTGGCTATATCATTTAACTATTAAAAAAAAAATCTTCTTTCCTTTCAATCGGCAAATTTATCAATGATGTTTTCGTGAAATTTTTGATTTTTAAAAAGCTCACTTGTATAGTTTTCTTTAAACAACACGATTACTTAAGACCATGTTTCACATGAAGAAAAATGAGAATTGCCAATAAGCTTCGGTCCCATGCTCACGACGAATAAAAAAAATCGTCGCAATTGGGATAGGGCGGGTGGGCGGGGCTTATATTTTGTATTTTTTTTTATATGCGAAGTCTTCTCACAACAAGAAACTTAAAACATGTTTAAATCAATTCGAGTTTCGCTTATACTTGCTAAGATTGACAGATTTTGCCAAATAACATATCCCCTAAGAAAATAAAGGGCGGCTATTTCTTGACTAGAAGACAGTAAGAAAAACTTAAACTTAGCCCCGCCCACCCACCCGTTCTTTTCTTCTTCTGAAATAAGAAATGAATTTTTTTTAGCAAACAATATAATAAAAAAATACGATTGGCGTTCTTTTTCTCTTTTTAGTAGTCCAGGCTCTATTACTTTCTTGTCACTTTACATAAGAACATATAATTAACTCCGCCCACTTAACCCGCCTTCAATTTAGTGATTCATTATATGAATTTAAGATTGATCTTATACAGATGAACAGAAATAAAATCGATAAAATGAGAATAGGGTGGGCTGCTAAGATAAGACTGACTTTGGCAAATAACACCCACTGAAAAAATATAGGGTGGGTGGGCGGGGCAATAACTTGCTTATAAAATTAAAAGCTAAGCTCAGCCCCGCCCACCTCTTTTCTCCATTCCTCCCACGTACTTTATTTATTGTAAAATGGGAATTAAATTCTATTTTGACAAGCGGTAGAATCTAAGAATTAAAACAAAATCAAAAGATTAATTTGTGGATTTATTTTAGAATTAAAGCTTCATTCATATAGGTAAATTGAGAAAAGATTGAAAAATTGTTTTTTTTTTCTGAACTTCAAAATTCTTTTATGGTGATTTTAAAATTGCAGTGAAAAATTAATAAGTAGATTTACGACCTTTGGATTCGAAGATAATAATTACGAGTCACTAGAATGAAGAGGGGGTGGGTGGGGCTATTTATTGCGTATAGAAGACTGCAAGAAAAGTTAAACTTAGCCCCGCCCACCCACCCGCCCTTTTTTTCTTATATAAAAAGAAATGCATTTTTTATAGCAAATAGTATAATAAAAAAATACGAAGAACATATAATTAACTCCGCCCACTTACCCCGTCTTCATTTGGTGATTCATTGTATCTGAATGAAAGGGATTTTATACTGATGAACAGAAATAAAATCATCAAAATGAGAATTAGACGGGTGAGCGGGGCTGGTACCTGCTAAGATAAGTCTGATTTTGGCAAATAACACACCCTAAAAAAATAGAGGGCGGGTGGGCGGGGCTATCACTTGCCAATATAAAACTGAACAATATTTAGAGTAGTCTCGAATGAATTGTTTGAAAATTTTTAGACAACTTTTTCAAAAATGGAATTTTCCACAATGTACATAATGTGCATAACTACAACCGTGTTTCCAGAACTCCGACTGAAATATCACATTTTTTTTTTAATTTCAAAAAATTCTAATTTCACACCGATTTTCCGAAAATATTGCTACGTGACCCTAACCACACTATATTTTTGGAATCAGCACGTCAATATCTATAACCTTGAATTTTTTTAAAATTTTTAGAAGACTTTCAAAAATTAAATTTTCCTCGAGAACTGATATATTACGATCACATCACATTACATGGAAAGTATCAGGAAAGGGTATGTCATTTGTCAAAATCAGTCTTATCTTGGCAAGTATTAGCGCCGCCCACCCGCCCTTTGTTTTCTTAAAGAGAATGTCATTTGCCAAAAACAGTTTTATCTTGACAAGACCTAGCCCCGCCCACCCGCCCTTTTTCTTTTCTTAAAGAATAGGTCAACTGCCAAAATCAGTCTTATCTTGGCAAATACTAGCCCCACCCATCCACCCTTTTTGTTTTTCTTAAAGAATGGTTTATTTGCCAAAATCTGTAGAGAATATGAAAAATTGAAAAAATCAAATTAAAATATAATTCTTAGAGAGTATCTTATTTGCCAATTCAGTCTTATCTTGGCAAGTATTGGCCCCGCCCACCCACCCTTTATTTACTTAGAGGGTTTGTCATTTGCCAAAATCAGTCTTATCTCTGCAAGTATTAGCACCGCCCACTTTTTCGCTTAGAAAATAGGTCATTTGCCAAATCAGTCTTATCTTGGCAAGACCTAGCCCCGCCCACCCGCCCTTTTTTTTCTTAAAGAATAGGCCATCTGCCAAAATCAGTCTTGTCTTGGCAAATACTAGCCTCACCCACCCACCTTTTTTTTTTTTTTTTTCTTAGAGAATAGTTTATTTGCCAAAATCTGTAGAGAATATGAAAAATTGAAAAAATCAAATTAAAATATAATTCTTTAGGAGTATCTTATTTGCCAAATCAGTCTTAACTTGGCAAGTATTAGCCCCGCCCACCCACCCTTTATTTACTTAGAGGGTTTGTCATTAATTTGCCAAAATCAGTCTTATCTCTGCAAGTATTAGCACCGCCCAACCGTCCTTTTTTGCTTGGAAAATAGGTCATTTGTCAATTCAGTCTTATTTTGGCAAGACCTAGCCCCGCCCACCCGCCCTTTTTTTTCTTAAAGAATAGGTCATCTGCCAAAATCAGTCTTATCTTGGCAAATACTAGCCCCACCCACCCACCCTTTTTATTTTCTTAGAGAATAGTTTATTTGCCAAAATCTGTAGAGAATATGAAAAATTGAAAAAATCAAATTAAAATATAATTCTTTAGGAGTATCTTATTTGCCAAATCAGTCTTAACTTGACAAGTATTAGCCCCGCCCACCCACCCTTTATTTACTTAGAGGGTTTGTCATTAATTTGCCAAAATCAGTCTTATCTCTGCAAGTATTAGCACCGCCCACCCGTCCTTTTTTGCTTGGAGAATAGGTCAGTTGCCAAATCAGTCTTATCTTGGCAAGACTAGCCCCGCCCACCCGCCCTTTTTTTTCTTAAAGAATAGGTCATCTGCCAAAATCAGTCTTGTCTTGGCAAATACTAGCGCTACCCACCCACCCTTTTTTTTCTTAGAGAATAGTTTATTTGCCAAAATCTGTAGAGAATATGAAAAATTGAAAAAATCAAATTAAAATATAATTCTTAAGGAGTATCTTATTTGCCAAAATCAGTCTTATCTTAGCAACTACTAGCTCCGTCCACCTACCCTTTTTTTTCTTAGAGAATAGGTCATTTGAAAAACAGTCTTACCTTGGCAAGTATTTATATTAGTATATAAAGGGCGGGTGGGCGAGCCCTTTATTTTCCTACAGAGTTTGCCATTTGCCAAAATTAGTCTTATCTTTACAAATACTAACCCCACCCACCAGCCCTTTTTTCCTTAGAGAATGGTCATTTGCAAAATCAGTCTTATCTTATCAAATACTAGTCCCGCCCACCCGCCTTTTTTGTTCTTAGCGAATGGTTTATTAGTCAAAATCTGTAGAGCGAATTAAAGTTAATAGGCATACTCTACGTTTTAAGGCCAGTCGCTACGTTTTCTGCATGGAATTTTCGGTACTTTTTCTTTTACTAGCAAACGTGTTTTTAAAAATCAATATTTCAATTATTTAAGGAAATTTCAGAACACGGTTTTCAACACTGTATTCAGCTTACAAAACTTCAGAAATCGTACCAGATATATTATCGACTTTTTTTGTTAGAAGCCATAAAAAAGTTTGGATCGTAGAAACCGCTAACCGTTAATTTTTACTATATCTCAGTTCCAATAAATAAAGTTGAAAGTATATCTCGTACGATTTATAAAGTTTTGTAAGCTGAAAACCGCGCTCCAAAATTTCCATAAATTACTGAAATATTGATTTAAAAATTTTATAACAATATGTGTAAGTCGAACGTAGCGCGACTCCTCTTAATCCCGTGTTAAATTAATCGAGAATTAAATATTTAATTCGCTTTTCTATAAACCGGTCCTAGTTTTTTTTTGTCGAAAAAATGGAGGAATAATAAGGTGCAAAATAAATCCTACATTTAAAAATAAATTGTTTGAAGTAATCCAATTTATTTGTTGATCTGACGAGCCGCCACTGTATCATCGAAATCATGTTAATAAAGTCATAAGATTTTCTCTGTTGTGTGCGTCGTGTTTTTATTTTAAAATGCACCGGCTGTTTACCCACACGCTTGAAAGTGTGGGCAATTTCATTATTGATTAATTCGAATAAACTTGTACAGTTTGTTGTAAATAACGCTCCTAATAGCATAAGTAGTTGTATAAAGATTGATTGAGAGGTAGTTCAGCCGTAGACTAAACTGTGTTTGAATTGTGATATAGCAAGCAACGAAACATCCTCTCAATCAATAGACTTGGAAGAAACAACGAAAACGAAGTTCCTAGCAATAATAACTATAACAGACTCTCGTGGCCGCAATTTTATCAACGAAATAGAGGTAGCGGAGCCGGTAATAAAACAGTAGATGACGAACGAAGAAGGAAAGATCCATCAGGAAACAACCCTAATTCGGCTTTAGAGAGGGTTTTGTGTCCGGACGAAGCAAGAGCCATTCAGAGAGCAAATCAAATAGTAATGTATGTAAACAATTCAAAAAAGCACACTATTGGTGGAGGCCACGTAATTTTGGTGCAAAAAAAAAGCTTGCGAAAACTATAAACCGGTCAAAAATATTTAGGACTGGATTATGGTTTTCGCGCAATTTTCGGGGAGCTGCCTACACGGCTTGGAAACACCACATTCAAGTAGCGTTCCAACTATTAACTTTAGTTTCTCATCGTACTAACAAGCATGGGTTTTGCATGTTTCGTACTACACGCTTCACTCCATCTTCAATTCTATACTAAAGTTGTTTTCTGTCTTAGGAAGAACAAGTCTTTCCGGCCACGCGAGCGCGGTAAGAAGGGTTTAAAAAATTTGCAGTCTGTGAAGACGTTAGCGGGGAGGACGGGAATCACGGCGACGAACCAAGGCCAGTTGGGGAAAGCGCGAAAACAACCCATGACCGTGACAGCCCAGTTCCAACAGTCCCTTCATTCCCTAATGGACACACTAAACCAAGCGAACCCTTTCTTCATCCGGTGCATCAAATCAAACGGAAATAAAGTACCCAATCAGTTCGACGATGAAACGGTGCAGAGACAACTCAGGTACACCGGAATGCTCGAAACCGTCAGGATCAGACAAGCCGGCTTTAATGTCCGTCTGACGTACGACGAGTTCATACAACTATACAGGATTTTGCTCCCGAAAGGTCTGCTTAGTTCGCAAAATGACGTGCGGGACTTCCTGGCAACGCTCAATCTAGACAGAGATAACTACCAGTTAGGGGGAAGTAAGGTGTTTTTGAGAGAGTCAGAGAAACACAAGTTGGACTGCAAGCTGCATCAGCAAATCATGGCGAGCATTGTGACTCTACAGAGGTGGTTTAGGGTTTGTTTGGAAAGGAGACGGTTCCTGAGAATCAAGAGCGCCGTAATTACCATACAATCGTACTGTAGGATGTATTTAGTTCAAAAGTATGCCAAAAGAGCGTCTGCCGTTTTAAAAATTCAAAAAGCGTGGAGAGGATACAAGTGTAGGAGTTGGTTGCAGAAGTTGAAAGAAGGAATCGTTGTGTTCCAAGCGCATTGCAGAGGCTACAGTGTGCGAAAAATGAATGCCGATCGAATCACTCAAAATAGGATAGTTAGACAAGTTAAAGTGAGCTGGAGTTTGTTGCAAAGTTTGGTTTATTTTAATTAATTTGATATTGTAGGTTACTGCTTCCACACCCATTCATATTTTAGATAAAAGTTTGTATAATTCTGACGAGTTACCGAGAGCGAAAGACCCCGATTCGGACGAGTATGTTGTTCGTTTATTTAGGGTTTGTTCTAATTGGTTGTTGTAGGAGCGGGGGTTACCAGGATGACGGCGATCTCGACCACACCCACAGTCGATTAAGTTTGAGGTCGACGCTGTCGCTGCCTGCTCACACGTCTCCGACGTATTTTCTCTATCATCCAACTAATCGGTAAGCTGATTAAAAACCGACCGATTTCAAATTAAACGGTCTACTACGCCACTGGTAACAAAGTCATTGGTCTTTGGGTACGCCACTGGTAACACTGTCATTGGTAGGCTGCGCGCGCCATAACTGTCATTCATGTTGTTTGTAGGTTACATCTCACTACAAGTTGTCGTTCGCCTATAACTTTATATATAGAGTTTGAAATAGTGTTGTCGGAGGTGTGTGTCAGTGATGGCACAACTGAACATTGATCGCTTTAGCTCAGTAGGCTGATCTGCTCAGTGACGTGCGGTCACGTGGTCGATCCAGCAACCAATGGACTCTGACGATGCCTTAGTCGCACGTCAGTCATCCTCTGGTTTCTTGAACGTCCGCCATTTCCAAATTTTGGGGGGTCACGGATGGGTTTCATATTTCAAACACCTCCAAATATTGGCACTGCAGTTTTCACGTAGTTCGCCATTTTTAGAGATTCTTTTTGTTTGATTTTTTAGTGCGATTTAAAAACGAGTTTTTTGAATATTTCTAGATTGGTGAATGTTTTCGAAAAAAAATTGGTCGAAAATTATTTCGACAGAACTTCCCTCGCCCTTGAAGTATAGTCCGCCAAATCACGTACGGAGCAATATTTTCGGAATAATTGGTGCGAATTTTTTGAAATTTTTAAAAATCGCGATATTTCAGTGGGCGGTTTTGGTAAAATGGTTGTAGTTATTATGTACATTGTGGAAAATTCCATTTTTGAAAAAGTTGTCTAAAATTTTCAAAAAATTCATTCCAGAGACTACTCTAAATATTGTTCAGTTTTATATTGGCAAGTGATAGCCCCGCCCACCCGCCCTCTATTTTTTTAGGGTGTGTTATTTGTCAAAATCACTCTTATCTTAGCAGGTACTAATCCCTCCCACCCGCTTTATTCACATTTTGATGATTTTATTTCTGTTCATCAGTATAAAATCCCTTTCATTCAGATACAATGGATCACCAAATGAAGGCGGGGTAAGTGGGCGGAGTTAATTATATGTTCTTCTACAAAGTGGCAAGAAACTATTAGTACCTAGGCTGTAAAATGAGAAAAAAAGAACGCGAATCGTATTTTTTTATTGTACTATTTGCTATTAAAAATGCATTTCTTTTCTCATACGAAAAAAAGAACGGGTGGGTGGGCGGGGCTAATGGACCTTTACAGCGAATTTTTTTTTTAATTATTTTTAAAAAGTACAACAATAAATAACTCTACTGTCATAATTAATTTTTATAATTTTCACTTGGGTGCCATAAAAAAAATAATGAAATATTGATAATTTTAAACTTTCCGCCTACATGACGTCAGCAGCCCAAAACTCGCCTGCCACGTGATAAATCGTGGATCTTCGTTACTTTCCGCCATTTTTTTGCAACATTTTTCGTAACCTGGAAGTTTAGGTAATCTCATCTACCAATATGGTTATATATCGTATAGTACTTACGACATTGTGTAATAATAAAGTAAATGAACACTGATGTGATTACACCACTCAAACATGAAGGTAAAGTGAGGTTATGGGTGTTTTTAAAAAGTCGCCTAGAGGCCGACAACACGTTTTACGCGATTATTTTCAGGTGATTACGGAAAAAGTGGGTGTGGTTCGTAGCAAATGAGAAAGGGAAGGTCCGTGACGTCAGCATTAAAATTGTATTCGAATGTTTATGGTTTGTTTTAATGATTACGGAAAAACAGAGAGGTTTTACCTAATAATTGAACTTTGTAATAACACATTTTATTGCTAAAAAGTGATAAAACTTATTTAAACAGTAATTCTGAATGTACTGTAAAGGTCCATTTAACTTTTTTCTTATAGTCTTTTATAAGCAAGCAATAGCAATAATCCCGCCCACTTTTCATTCTAGTGTGACTACTCGTAATACTATTAATTATTCTCTTCGAATCCAAAGATCGTAAATCTACTCATTAATTTTTCATTACGAAAATATTGGTTTTCAAGAAAATTTAATCCCTTGACTCAAAAACTATCGAAATTGTTTCGAAATAATTTTACGTATTTTTTTTTATTATTCTACTATTTGCTATAAAAAATGCATTTTTTGTCTCATACGAAAAAAAGAACGGGTGGGGGGGCGGGGCTAATTTAATTTTTTTCTTATAGTGTCTTTTATAAGGAATCAATAGCAATAACCCCGCCCACTTTGCATTCTATTGTGACTACTCGTAATATTATTAATTATTCTCTTCAAATCCAAAGATCGTAAATCTACTCATTAATTTTTCACTACGAAAATTTTGGTTTTTAAGAAAGTTTAATGCCTTGACTCAACAACTATCGAAATTTTTTCGAAATAATTTTACGTATATTTTTTTATTATGATACTATTTGCTATAAAAAATGCATTTCTTGTCTCATACGAAAAAAAGAACCGGTGGGTGGGCGGGGCTAATTTAATTTTTTTCTTATAGAGTCTTTCATAAGCAAGCAATAGCAATAATCCCGCCCACTTTTCATTCTAGTGTGACTACTCGTAATGCTATTAATTATTCTCTTCGAATCCAAAGATCGTAAATCTACTCATTAATTTTTCACTACGAAAATTTTGGTTTTTAAGAAAATTTAATGCCTTGACTCAACAACTATCGAAATTTTTTCGAAATAACTACGTATTTTTTTTTATTATTCTACTATTTGCTATAAAAAAGTGTATATGTACTTTATCAATACCACTATTTATGTTATTCAGCAAGTCCTTGGATACTGGTGTATTTCCTGATGTTTGGAAACTGAGTTATGTTAAACCTATTTTTAAATCTGGTCAAAGGAACAAAGTTGACAACTATAGAGGTGTTTCCAATCAATCGGTTATCCCTAAAATTTTCGATTCCATCATAGCTAAGCAGTTACAGTGGGCAGTTTCAAAATTACTTACTAATCAACAGCATGGTTTTTGTAAAAATAAGTCAACATTATCCAACCTTTTGGAATATTATTCGTTTCTCAATGAATCATTTGCGAATAAATGTCAAGTGGACGCTGTTTATACAGATTTCGCAAAAGCATTTGATCGAGTGGATCACAATGTATTAATTTCAAAGCTTAATAGACTTGGTTTTAGAGAATATTCCATAAAATGGGTTAAATCGTTTCTTACTAATAGGTGGCAACAGGTTAAAATTGGCAACCACATTTCTGATTATTTTGAAGTTACATCTGGAGTACCCCAGGGCTCACATTGTGGTCCAATTTTATTTCTTCTTTTTATAAATGACTTGAGTTATTGTATTAAATCTTCAAAATTTCTATTCTATGCAGATGATCTAAAGATATATAAACAAGTTTCATCCATAACTGATTGTCAGGAATTACAAAAGGATTTAAATAATATATATGAATGGTGTGAAACAAATTTTTTAAAACTGAATTTAAATAAATGTCATAAAATTACATTTTCTAACAAAAAAAATATGATCGATTATGATTATTATATTGGGAAAAGTTTGCTCAAGCCTGTTAGTGAAATTAGAGATCTCGGCATACTTTTTGATAATAAACTCTCTTTCAAAAGTCATTATCGATACATATTTAACAAGGCTCTGCAGATGTGGGGATTGATTTGGCGCCATTGCAAGGATATGAGCTCTCATGCACTTAAAGTGCTATATTGCTCTCTCGTGCGTTCTGTTCTGGAATATGCTTCTTCAGTTTGGCATCCAACATGCGACACTCATATTTCATTGTTAGAGCGTGTTCAAAAAAAGTTTTTGAGGTCTATTGAATTTAAAGAACATCATCTACATCAACAAGGTGAATATGAATGGGTCATGAGCTTCCTCAATATTAAATCCTTGGAGATACGTAGAGATATAACGGATTTATGTGTTCTTCACGCCATTATTAACAACCATATAGATAGTAATGACTTATTAGCCAAACTAATGTTTAGGGTTCCAAATAAAAACTGCAGAACTACTAGATCTTGTAAAATTTTCAGAATTAACAAAGCATCTACTAATATGTCAACTAACCACCCATTGCGAAGAATGATGAAACAAGCAAACGAACTATCTAATTTTGTAAAATTTGATATTTTTAACTCAAACCTTGTTGTATTTAAGAGAATGATAAATAATCTTGTATAATTCGGATAATTTAAAATTGTTTCTTTTTGTGTTTATTGTATGATCATTGTTATAAAGATAATTAATTAAGTTAATCATATACCTTATGTATTTGTAAGTTTAATTTTCTTACTTTTTGTAATTGGAGTTATTCCGTAATAAACTAATAATAATAATAATAATAAAAAATGCATTTCTTTTCTTATACGAAAAAAAGAACGGGTGGGTGGGCGGGGCTAATTTATTTTTTTTTCTTATAGAGTTTTATAAAGAATCAATAGCAATAACCCCGCCCACTTTGCATTCTATTGTGACTACTCGTAATCCTATTAATTGTTCTCTTCGAATCCAAAGATCGTAAATCTACTCATTAATCTTTCGCTACGAAAATTTTGGATTTTAAGAAAATTTAATGCCTTGACTCAACAACTATCGAAATTTTTTCGAAATAATTTTACGTATATTTTTTTATTATGATACTATTTGCTAAAAAAATGCATTTCTTTTCTCATACGAAAAAAAGAACGGGTGGGTGGGCGGGGCTAATTTAATTTTTTTTCTTATAGTCTTTTATAAGCAAGCAATAGCAATAATCCCGCCCACTTTTCATTCTATTGTCACTACTCGTAATACTATTAATTATTCTCTTCAAATCCAAAGATCGTAAATCTACTCATTAATTTTTCGCTACGAAAATTTTGGATTTTAAAAAAATTTAATCCCTTGACTCAAAAACTCTCGAAATTTTTTCGAAATAATTTTACGTATTTTTTTATTATTCTACCATTTGCTAGAAAAAATGCATTTCTTATCTCATACGAAAAAAAGAACGGGTGGGTGGGCGGGGCTAATTTAACTTTTTTCTTATAGTCTTTTATAAGCAAGCAATAGCAATAACCCCGCCCACTTTTCATTCTAGTGTGACTACTCGTAATACTATTAATTATTCTCTTCGAATCCAAAGATCGTAAATCTACTCATTAATTTTTCACTACGAAAATTTTGGTTTTTAAGAAAATTTAATGCCTTGACTCAACAACTATCGAAATTTTTTCGAAATAACTTTACGTATTTTTTTTTTTATTATTCTACTATTTGCTATAAAAAATGCATTTCTTATCTCATACGAAAAAAAGAACGGGTGGGTGGGCGGGGCTAATTTAATTTTTTTCTTATAGAGTCTTTTATAAGGAGGCAATAGCAATAACCCCGCCCACTTTTCATTCTATTGTGACTACTCATAATACTATTAATTATTCTCTTCAAATCCAAAGATCGTAAATCTACTCATTAATTTTTCACTACGAAAATTTTGGTTTTTAAGAAAATTTAATGCCTTGACTCAACAACTATCGAAATTTTTTCGAAATAATTTTACGTATTTTTTATTATTATTATTATACTATTTGCTATAAAAATGCATTTCTTTTCTCATACGAAAAAAAGAACGGGTGGGGGGGCGGGGCTAATTTAATTTTTTTCTTATAGTGTCTTATATAAGGAATCAATAGCAATAACCCCGCCCACTTTGCATTCTATTGTGACTACTCGTAATATTATTAATTATTCTCTTCAAATCCAAAGATCGTAAATCTACTCATTAATTTTTCACTACGAAAATTTTGGTTTTTAAGAAAGTTTAATGCCTTGACTCAACAACTATCGAAATTTTTTCGAAATAATTTTACGTATATTTTTTTATTATGATACTATTTGCTATAAAAAATGCATTTCTTGTCTCATACGAAAAAAAGAACCGGTGGGTGGGCGGGGCTAATTTAATTTTTTTCTTATAGAGTTTTATAAAGAATCAATAGCAATAACCCCGCCCACTTTGCATTCTATTGTGACTACTCGTAATACTATTAATTATTCTCTTCGAATCCAAAGATCGTAAATCTAGTCATTAATTTTTCGCTACGAAAATTTTGGATTTTAAGAAAATTTAATGCATTGACTCAACAGTTATCGAAATTTTTTCGACATGATTTTACGTATATTTTTTTTATTATGATACTATTTGCTAAAAAAAATGCATTTCTTTTCTCATACGAAAAAAAGAACGGGTGGGTGGGCGGGGCTAATTTAATTTTTTTTCTTATAGTCTTTTATAAGCAAGCAATAGCAATAATCCCGCCCACTTTTCATTCTATTGTCACTACTCGTAATACTATTAATTATTCTCTTCAAATCCAAAGATCGTAAATCTACTCATTAATTTTTCACAACGAAAATTTTGGTTTTTAAAAAAATTTAATCCCTTGACTCAAAAACTCTCGAAATTTTTTCGAAATAATTTTACGTATTTTTTTATTATTCTACCATTTGCTAGAAAAAATGCATTTCTTATCTCATACGAAAAAAGAACGGGTGGGTGGGCGGGGCTAATTTAACTTTTTTCTTATAGTCTTTTATAAGCAAGCAATAGCAATAACCCCGCCCACTTTTCATTCTAGTGTGACTACTCGTAATACTATTAATTATTCTCTTCGAATCCAAAGATCGTAAATCTACTCATTAATTTTTCACTACTGGTTTTCAAGAAACTTTAATGTTTTGACTCAACAACAATCGTAAATTTTTTCGAAATAATTTTGAAAGCTCAATTCAGTTAAAAAAACAATTTTAAAATCACCAAAAAAGAATTTCGTATTTTCGGAACGAAATTTCCAATTCTGTGGCTTAACACAACTAGGTTAATTTAAAAAATATATATTTGAAAACATCCAAAATTCGTTCTCGATTTAAAAAATACAATTTTTCTGTTTTTTTCTCAAATTTTAAAACTAATCCACAAATTAATCTTTTGACTTTGTTTTAATTCGGAGATTGTACCGCTTGTCAAAATAGAATTGAATTCCCATTTTACAATAAATAACATAAGTCAGAGGGATGGAGAAAAGAGGTCGGCGGGGTTGAGTTAGCTTTTTTCTACAGAATTTTAGAAGAAGTAGCCCCGCCCACCCACCCTCTCTTCATTCCAGTGACTACTCTTAATATTGTTTAGTCTTATCTTGGCAAGTGATAGCCCCGCCCACCCACCCTATATTTTTTAGCAAGTGTGATTTGCCAAAATCAGTGTTATCTTAGCAGGTACTAGCCCCGCCCACCCGATTCTCATTTTAAAGATTTTACTATTTGTGTTCATCAGTATAAGATCAACCTTTAATTCAGATTACGCTCATTGAATTAGTAAAATGAAGGCGGGGTAAGTGGGCGGAGTTAATTATATGTTCTTCTGTAAAGTGACAAGAAACTAATAGAGCCTAGACTATTAAAACAGGTAAAAATAACGCTAATCGCATTTTTTTTGTTATATTATTTGCTACAAAAATGCATTTTTTATTTCAGAAGAAAAAAAGGTACTGGTGGGTGGGCGGGGCTAAGTTTAACTTTATCTCACAGTCTTCTAAAAGCAAGAAATAGCCCCGCCCACCCACCCCCTCTTAATTATTCTCTGTTAATTATTATTTTCAAAATCTGTTTTCTGTTAAAAAAACTACAATTTGAAATTCACCATAAAAAAATCCACGAATTTGGAGAATCTTTAAGTGTAAATTAACATAAATCTAATTATTAATTTTTCACCACGGAAATTTTTGATTTCCAAGAAAAAATTGATATTTTGACTCAGTGGTTTAATTAAGTTATCATGATTTTCTTCAAAATATTTTTGAAAGCACAGTCTCCAAAATATTGTTTTTTGTAAAAAAATACAATTTCGTATTCACCATAAAAAATTTAGCGAAAATTAATTTCCTGCAAGGATTTTTAAGTATTTTGTTAATCAGAATTGAGTATTAATTCGTTGTGCTCTTTATCATCTATAACCCTTTTTTGTCGTTTCAGTCTCGAAGACACGAAACGCGAAGGCATCCTCCTCGACACCACCACCAAGCGCAAGATCAGCAAAGCCCACAAGACCATCGACTACTCCGAGCTGGACTTCGAGCCCGACCCCAAAGGCAGCGAGGAATCGCTGACCTCCCAACCCAGCCTGGAGTCCCAGCAAAGCACCGACTCCCACATCCTCGGCCGGCCCAAACCCAAGCACGCCCAATGGTCGACGCAGAGCACCCGCAGCGAGACCGACTCGGAAAGTTTCCCGCACTCGGCCACGCCCACCATCGGCTCGGCCAAACAGTCCTCTTACAGCAGTTTCTCCTCAGAGGAGGTGTTCAGGAACGACGAGATTTCGCCGAAAGCGCAGTTGACGCGAGCGCCCCACGTCACGGGCTCCGGGAAACGCAACGACGGTTTGAAGAGCCTGCCGCCGGTGCGGCGACAAAGAGACGTGTACAGGATAAGCGACGGGAAGGAGGAGGTGTACTGCGGGTTCGACCACACCCCGAACAAGCTGGAGCAGGTATGGGTTGGTTGTAGTGTTCGTGGTGGTGTTCTAGCTTGAGGTTACAGATTCTGGGCAAGCCGGAGGCGCCGGTGCGCAACACGAGAAAAGGGAAGCGCGGGCACGTGAAGAGTCTGGGCGAGGAAGTGACGGACAGCGGGAGCATGGACAAAGCGGGGATTTTGGGGACGATCGAGGAGGCGAAGACGCTGCACAAGGACGACTTTTTGCCGCACGAGTTGAAGCCGTCGTTGACGCCGAAGCGGCAGAGGCACAACATCGGGTTGGATCTGCGGAGGAGGAACAGCGACCCGGCTACGAAGGCCAGTTTGGTGGTGAGCGAACACCCCACCGGGAGTCCGCAGAGCAAGAACCAGGACGACGTCAAGTGGATGAATAGCACGAGTTTTAGCATCGCGGGGCATAGGTTTAGGAAGATACACAGGTTACAGAAGGACGATTTGTGTGCCTTCTGTAGTGATAAGGTCGACGTTTTCCTCACTCACGTGTACAAGTGTTCAACGTGCAAGAAAATTTTCCACACCAAGTGTATACAGAATAAGAGCGTGTTCCAAATGCCGTGCGATCAATCCATGCAGAGTTCGGATAGCGGGAAGAGCGGCAGGCGGAAGCAGAGGAAGCATTCGAGGACGCCGTACGATTTTCGCAAGGAGGATGGAAAGTTCAACCTCACAGGTAAGGCTTGTGGAAAGTTTCGTGTGTTGTTTTAGTCTCTAGTGCGAAAAACACTCCGTGTGCTCGCTACGGCCGTAACAACCGGTTAATTTCATTGGTTGTGCTAACCTCAATGATTATTACTTTTTCTATATAATTTTCAGATTTAAATTTGTTTTCCTAATATTGTCAATTAACCCTGATTTTAATAGCGAATTGTTCTAAGGCTATAATGGTATCGGTTTCGTACTACTACTATTTATTGTAGGGATTAGTCCACCGATAATTACCTGCGTCAGATAAGGGATTTAAAATGACGGGTTCTATGGGCTACCTGTTATGGGTTTGGGTGGACCAGAAAAATGGCTAAAGTTTGTTTGACCACAAATTTTAAATATTCTGCCCCTGTTTACTCAATTATTTATAAAAATATTTTGTTCATGTAAAGTACACTGGATTTTTTGTTATGTGTATTAATTTGTCTTTTTGAAAATTTAAAATAGATCCATAAATAGGGAAAACTAGATAAATAAAATAAAACGTTTTTAGTTTTTTTAATAAAGTGGACAAGCACTAAAATTCATGGTCTGAAAGTTTTGAATTCGAACCGAGAACTTCATGAGATTTCCTAGAGTGATTAAAAAAAAAACACGAATATATGCTAATGAGTTTTTAGCAGGAATTTTCAAGTGAAATTTTGACATTGTTTTAAAAATTACTTAAATCTTAAAAATTATCGATACTCCTCCCACTCGCACAAGCTCAACCTTAATAAATGATTTCATTGGCTCCTAGAAGAGGGGCGGTGTTTACAATTTCACCTGATTGTGTTTTAATGGGATAAAAAAAATTGAAATGAAAAAAGGAGTTTAATTTTTTTGCAGTCTTACAAACAAACAGTAGTCCCGCCCACCCACACCAATCAAACGATATTGTAACCGAAAATAAATACTGATAACTTTTAAATGTTTCAGTTTTTGATTTTACAAAATTTCGGTTTACAATTTTATGATTTTCGTTTGTTTTTTAAATGGGAAATTTTTCAAATTTTAATTTTAATAACAATTATAATTTTTAAAATTTTTTCGCTTTTTCAATTTTAGGACTTTGGAATTTTTCCATTTATTCGATTTTTCGATTTTTAATTTTTAAATTTCTCGGTCTTTCAGTGTTAAGTTTTCCGACTTTACAATTTTGACGCTCTATAATTTTTCGATTTTACAATTTTTGTGTGTTCCAGTTTTTCTTCTTTCCAATTTTTCAGTTAAATAATTTTTTCAATTTTTAAGTTTAAGTATAAAATGAAAACTTCGAAAAGTCTAGAGATTAAAAATTCAGAAACTTAAAAATTGAGAAAACGCAATATTGTAAAATCGAAGTAGTGAAAATGAAAGAAATCGGAAAATCGCATACTAATTGCAAAATTGAAAAATCGCAAATCGAAGAAACGAAAAAATGATAGTTGAAAAAACGACGTTCTTAATTTATAATTTAAATTTTCTCGATTTTTAATTTTTTAATTTTTCGATTTTAGTTTTTTGATATCACAATTTTCCGGTTTTTTATTTTCTTCATTTTTTCGATTTTTCGAACTTCCAACTTTTTGTTTCTTCAATTTTCCATGTTTTCGATATTACAATTTTTTTATTCTTTCGAGTTTTCAGTTTCGCAATTTTTAATTTTCGTTTTTTCATTTTTTAGTTTCCTCACTTTTTCAAGTTCTTGATTTTTATTTTTTATTTTCCCGCTTTTTTGCTCTTTAAGTGTAAACGCTGTCGGTAGTCGTTTAAAAAAAGTAAAGATGATATTTAAAAAAATGGTATGCTAGATCTATTATTCTATTATTAAATCCAACTGTCGTCTCAGAAAATATTGATAACATTCTATGATTTTTCAGCTGTAGATGTTTCAGTTTTTAGATTTTTCAAAATTTGGATTTTCAATTTCACGAGTTTTCAATTTTTCGATTTTACACTGTTCTGATTTTATAATTTTCGTTTTTTTCAAATTTTCGATTTTTCATTTCCTCAATTTTTGATTCACAATTTTCTAGTTTTGATTTTACATATAATATAATTTATCTAATAATAATTAGAATTTTTCCATTTTTCAATTAATGGATTTCAATTTTCTGACTTTACAATTTTGACGATCTATAATTTTTCGATTCTACAAATTTTACAATCGAAAAAATGCAACATTGTAAAATTGGAAAATCAAAAATGGAAAAACGAAAAAGTATAACTATAAAATGAAAACTTTGAAAAATCCAGGGGTTAAAAATTCAGAAAATTAAAAATCAAAAAAAGGCAATATGTATTGTAAATTCGAAGTAGTGAAACTTAAAGAAATCGAAAAATCGGATATTGAAAAATTGAGGAAACGAAAAATTGAAAAATCCAAAAACGAAAAAATCGAAGAAATAAAAAAATTGAAAAAAATATAGTTAAAAAACAAGATTCTTAATTTATAATTTTATTTTTGTCCATTTTTAATTTTTCAATTTTTCAATTTTTTGTTTCTTCAATTCTTTAATTTTTGGGTTTTTCATTTTTTTGGTTTTCTCAATTTTTCAAGTTTTTGATTTTTATTTTTCATGTTCCCGCTTTTTTTACTATTTAACTTTGTCAATTTTAGGAGTTCAGAATTTTTCCATTTTTCAATTAATGGATTTTATTCATTTATGCGAATTTTAATTTTTAAATTTCTCGATCTTTCAATTTTGCAATTTTTGAATTTTCTAGGTTTTCGATTCGATCCGTTCAAAAAACGAAAAAGTATAAATTGAAAACTTTGAAAAATCCAGAGATTCGAAATTCAGAAACTTGAAAATCAAAAAATCGGATAATTGAAAAATTGAGGAAACAAAAAATTGAAAAATCCAAAAACGAAACATTTTAATGTCGAAAAATTGCAAGATTGAAAAATTGCGAATCGAAGAAATGAAAAATTGAAAAAAATTATAGTTAAAAACGAGGTTCTTAATTTATAATTTTATTTTTCCCAATTTTTTATTTTTCAATTTTTCGATTTTACAATTTTCTGATGTCACAATTTTTCGTTTTTTCATTTTCTTAATTTTTTCGATTTTTCAATTTTTTGTTTCTTCTATTTTTTAATTTTTAGATTTTTCATTTTTTTGGTTTCCTCAATCTTTCAAGTTCTTGATTTTTATTTTTCATTTCCCGCTTTTTTACTATTTAACTTTCCCAATTTTAGGAGTTCAGAATTTTTCCATTTTTCAATTAATGGATTTTATTCATTTATTCGATTTTAAATTTCTCGATCTTTTAATGTAGTTTTTTGCCTTTACAATTTTGACGATCTATAATTTTTCGATTTTACACCTTTTGGGTTTTCCAGTTTTTCGATTCAATTAATTTTTTCTTCTTTCCAATTTTGCAGTTCAAATCATTTTTTTCAGTTTGTAAGTTTCTCGATTTTTATTTTTGCAGTATTTCGATTTTAGAACTTTTTGAAGCAAAAGAATCGAAAAAATGCAACATTGTAAAATTGGAAAATCAAAAATGGAAAAACGAAAAAATATAAAATGAAATTTAAAAATCCAGGGGTTAAAAATAAAAAAAAGGCAATATTGTAAATCGAAGTAGTGAAAATTATAGAAATCGAAAAATCGGATAATTGAAAAAATCGCAGAAATGAAAAATTGAAAAAATCATAGTTAAAAAACGAGGTTCTTGATTTATAATTTTATTGTTCTCCATTTTTAATTTTCCAATTTTTCGATTTTACAATTTTCTGATGTCATAATTTTTCGTTTTTTCATTTTCTTAATTTTTTCGATTTTTCAATTTTTTGTTTCTTCAATTTTTTAATTTTTGGATTTTTCATTTTCCCGCTTTTTTTACTACTTAACTTTGCTAATTTTAAGAGTTCAGAATTTTTTCATTTTCCATGGATTCCATGGATTTCATTCATTTATTCGATTTTTAATTTTTAAATTTCTCGGATCTTTTTTGCCTTTACAATTTTGACGATCTATAATTTTTCAATTTTAAATTTTTGAGTTTTCCAGGTTTTCGATTCGATCCGTTTTTTCTTCTTTCCAATTTTTCAATTCAATATATTTTTTTAATTTTTAAATTTCTTGATTTTTCTACTTTTTGAAAAAAAAAATCGAAACAAAATTGCAACACTAAAATTTAAAAATTAAAAATCAAAAAACGAAAAAGTATAAAATGAAAACTTTGAAAAATCCAGAGATTCGAAATTCAGAAACTTGAAAATCGAAAAATCGGATAATTGAAAAATTGAGAAAACGAAAAATTGAAAAATCCAAAAACGAAAAATTTTAATATCGAAAAATTGCGAATCGAAGAAATGAAAAATTGAAAAAAATTATAGTTAAAAAACGAGGTTCTTAATTTATAATTTTATTTTTCTCCGTTTTTAATTTTTGAATTTTTCGTTTTTTCATTTTCTTGATTTTTTTCGATTTTTCAATTTTTTGTTTCTTCTATTTTTTAATTTTTAGATTTTTCATTTTTTTGGTTTCCTCAATCTTTCAAGTTCTTAATTTTTATTTTTCATTTCCCGCTTTTTTACTATTTAACTTTCCTTCCCAATTTTAGGAGTTCAGAATTTTTCCATTTTTTAATTAATGGATTTTATTCATTCATTCGATTTTTAATTTTTAAATTTCTCGGATCTTTTTTGCCTTTACAATTTTGACGATCTATAATTTTTCAATTTTACAATTTTTCAATTTTCCAGTTTTTCGATTCGATTCATTTTTTCTCTTTCCAATTTTGCACTTCAATAATTTTTTTCAATTTGTAAGTTTCTCGATTTTTAGTTTTTCAGTATTTCGATTTTTGAACTTTTTGAAGCCAAAGAATCGAAAAAATGCAACATTGTAAAATTGGAAAATCAAAAATGGAAAAACGAAAAAGTATAAAATGAAAGCTTTGAAACATCCAGAGGTTAAAAATTCAGAAACTTAAAAATTAAAAAAGGCAGTATTGTAAATCGAAGTAGTGAAAATTAAAGAAATCGAAAAATTGAAAAATCCAAAAATGAAAAATTCTTCTTTCTAATGTCTCAATTTTTCGTTTTTTCATTTTCTTAATTTTTTTCGATTTTTCAATTTTTTGTTTCTTCAATTTTTTAATTTTTGGATTTTTAATTTTTTTGGTTTCCTCAATTTTTTAAGATCTTGATTTTTATTTTTTATGTTCCCGCTTTTTTTACTATTTAACTTTGCCAATTTTAGGAGTTTTAAATTTCTCGATTTTTTAATGTTACAGTTTTTTGACGATCTTTAATTTTTCAATTTTACAATTTTTGAGTTTTCCAGGTTTTCGATTCGATCCGTTTTTGCTTCTTTCCAATTTTTTAATTCATTAATTTTTTTCAAGTTTTTAGATTTTTCTACTTTTTGAAGCAAAAAAAAAAATCGAAAAATTGCAACACTAAAATTTAAAAATTAAAAATGAAAAAACGAAAAAGTATAAAATGAAATCTTCGAAAAAGAGATTCGAAAGTCAGATTTTTCAATTTTTCGGTTTTTCAATGTTCTGATTTTCTAATTTTCATTTTTTGCAAAATTTTTAGTTTTTCGTTTCTACAGTTTTAGATTCACAATTTTCTAGTATATATATAATGTAATTATAATTAAATTTTTTTTTTCACATTTTCAATTTTACGAGTTCAGAATTTTTCCATTTTTCAATTAATGGATTTCATTGATTTAAGACTCGATTTTTCAATTTTTCGATTTTTAATTTTTAAATTTCTCGATCTTTCAATGTTACAGTTTTCCGACTTTACAATTTTGACGATCTATGATTTTCCTATTTTACAATTTGTGGTTTTTTCAGTTTTTCGATTCGATTAGTTTTTTTTTTTTGAATATAAAGTAGGTCACTACAAATTTTTCATTCATTAATTTTTTTCAATTTTTAAGTTTCTAGATTTTTAGTTTTTCAATATTTCGATTTTTCGTTGCTTCAGTTCTTCGATTTTCCAGCTTTTCGATTTTTAATTATTTCAACTTTTTGAAGCAAAAAAAAATCGAAAAATTGCAACATCATTAAATTGAAAAATCAAAAATGAAAAAAAAATTAATAAATAAAAACTTTGAAAAATCCAGAGATTAAAAACTTATAAACTTAAAAATCGAAGAAATGAAAAATTGAAAAAGTTATAGTTAAAAAAAGAAGTTCTTAATTTATAAGTTTAATTTTCTCAATTTTTAATTTTTCAATTTTTCGATTTTACAATTTGTTGATATCAGAATTGTTCGGTTTTTCAATTTTTTATTTTATTCGATTTTTCAATTTTGCAATTTTTCGATATATTTACAATTTTTGGTTTCCTCAATTTTTCAAAGTTTTTGATTTTTATTTTTTATTGTCCCGCTTTTTTTATTATTTAAGTGTAAACGCTGCCGGCTGATATTAAAAAAATATATTATCCTAGATTCTATTATTTGTCACTATAAAATCCAACTTTCGTGTCAGCGCCAGTAAGAATAAGTAATCAAAACTGAATAGGGGTGGGTGGGCGGGGCCACTTATATATTATTCTTTATTTTAATTTTTGACATTGTTTTAAATCTTGAGTCTACCGTTTGTCAAAACAGAATTCAAGTCCCATTTTACGGTAAATATGGAGGTGGGCGGGACTAAGTTTAACATTTTATGATTTTCTAACTTTTAGATGTTTCAGTTTTTCAATTAATCAATTCATTAGATTTTTCAATTTTTCGATTTTTAATTCTTAATACAGTTTTCCAACTTTATAATTTTGACGATCTATAATTTTCCTATTTTACAATTTTTGAGTTTTCCAGTTTTTCGATTCGATTGTGTTTCTCGATTTCTATTTTTCAGTATTTCGATTTTTCGTTTCTTCAGTCCTTCGATTTGCAATTTTTCAATTTTTAATTTTCGATCTTTCAACTTTTTGAAGCAAAAAAGTCGAAAATTGCAACATTATAAAATTGAAAAGTCAAAAATGAAAAAACGGAAAAGTATAAAATGAAAACTTTGGGGATTAAAAGTTCAGAAACTTAAAAATCGAAAAAACGCAATATTGTAAAATCGAAGTATGTAGTGAAAATTAAAGTCGGAAAATCGCAAAATTGCAAAAAAATTGAGGAAATGAAAACTTAAAAAAATCCAAAAATGAAAAATTGAATTATGATTATAATTTTAATTTTTCGATAGCACAATTTTTCATTTTTTCATTGTTTTTACTTTTTTCGATTTTCCAATTTTTTTGTTTCTTGAATTTTTCGATGTTACAATTTTTGATTTTTTCGATTTCAGTGTCGCAATTTTTAATTTTTGAATTTTACAGTTTATTGGTTTCCTCAATTTTTCTACTGCCGGCAGTAGCTTAAAAAAAAATTGTAAAAATGACATTAAAAAAAGTGTTATCCTAGATTCTATTATTTGTCAATATAAAATCCAAATTTTGTCTCGGAGTCAATAAGAACGAGTGATCAGAATGGAATAGGGGTGGGTGGGCGGGGCCACTTTTGACATTGTTTTAAACCGCTTGTCTTGAGAAAGGTGGGCGGGGCTAAGTTTAGCTTTTTGCAGTCTTATAGGCAAGCAGAAGCCCCGCCCACCCAAACTTTTGGTCGTGTTATTGAGTTTTCTAGCAGGAATTTAAAACGTCATCAATGAAACGATACTGTAGCCGAAAAGATACCAATTTTTGAGGTTAGCACAATAATTAATTTTAACAATGAAATTCCACATAAATGTTACGACCATAGGGAGCGCAGCGGATCCCAGATTTTAGTTGCCCATGCTACGTAGTTATCGTTGCAGGTACCTCCGAGTTCACGGACCGCACCGACCAGATCATCACCGGCTCCGAGGAACTCACCCGCATGCAGCAGTTCATCACCGACAAGATAATGAAAATCGAGAACGACGTCGGCGAGAAGCACAGCGACGTCGATCGCCTCTTCAAGCAGGCGCTTCGCGAATTCAAAGACAACCTGGTGCAGATCTACAGCGCGGCGACGAAGCACGGCTTCGAGGCCGGCTGCATCCGATACAAGGACCTCATAACGAACTTCATGCAAGCGATGGAGACTGTTTGCCAAAGAGAACAAAAAGAGAACGACAAGGACTTCCCGGTGACGATGGGCGTGAACGCGTTCCGGGGCTTCATGGACGAGTTCATGTCGACACGCGCCGAAGACAAACCGAACAAAACCAAAAGGAAAAAGGAGAAGAAGAGGAAAGTCGAGACGATCAAACACAAAGGGCACACTTTCTTGCTGACAATCATTAACATTCCGACGGCCTGCGAGATCTGCAATTCGTTTTTTATGTGGCCGATCGAGAGGGGGTTGGTCTGTCAGTCGTGTAAGCTGACGTGCCATAAAAAGTGCTACAACAACGCGGCGAGCAAGTGCAACAAGGAGTCGGGCTGCCAGGAGGAGAACCGGAGGGTGTTCGGGGTGCCGCTGGTGGCTCTGATCACCGAAAACAACAAAATCCCTCTTGTTATAGAGAGGTTGCTGCGGACGATCGAGATGTACGGGTCGTACACGGAAGGAATCTATCGAAAGTCGGGGGTTAGTTCGAAGATCAAAGAGCTGAAGGTGAAGATGGACGAGAACCCGGAGGAGATCGACTTCGAGAAGTACCAAGTGCACGTGTTGGCGTCGGTGCTGAAGTGCTTTCTGAGGGAGATGCCGGAGCCGCTGCTCACGTTCGAGTGCTACGAGAATTTCATCACGGCGGCGAATTTGGAGGACGCGCAAGATCGCGTCACGACGCTGTACGATATCCTGAAGAAGCTGCCGCCGCCGAACTACGACCTAATGGAGCGGTTGGTGTTCCACCTGGCGAGGATAGCGCTGCACGAGGAGGTCAACCGGATGAGTGCGGCGTCGCTGGCCATCGTGTTCGCGCCTTGCGTCTTGAGGACGAATAAGGTGGTGCCGGCGCAGGACAGTCTCCAGGACATCGGGAGCCAGACCCAGTGCATCGAGACGATCATCAGCGAGCAGTTGCGGAAAGTTAGGGCCACGCTGGACGACATCGACACGCTTGACACGGCTTGTCAGGCCGCCACCAACCGGCTGTCGTCCCTGAGGAGCTCGAAGGTGATTGTTGCATTATTTTAATTTTTCGTTTCTTCAATTTTTCGGATTTAAAATTTCGTTTTTCGATTTTCCAAATTTTGGATGTTTCAGTTTTTAAATTTTGCGAATTTCACGAGTTTTCAATTTTTAATTTTTCATTTCTGTTTATTTTCTTTACTTTTTCTATTTTACAATGTTCTGATTTTCTAATTTTGTCTTTCTTTTTTTTTGTTCCCAGTTTCCAGTTTTAAAATCACATGTGTTGATTTTATATTTTTTGTTTCTTCAATTTTTCCATTTTGTAATTTTTCGGTTTAAAATTTTTCGAATTTTCAAGTGTTCGATTTGCAGTTTCACGAGATTTTAATTTTTCTATTTTTAGATTTTTCAATTCTTCAATTTTTCGTTTTTTCAATTTTTGATTTGAATTTTTCTAGTTTTCATTTTAAGTATGTCTGTGTAATCATAATTATTGTAATTTTAAAATTCTTCATTTAGAATTTCACGAGTTTTCAATTTTTCTATTTTTCAATGTTCTGATTTTATAATTTTTTGTCTTTTTTTTTTTTGATGTTTCAGTTTTTAGATTTTGCAAATTTTCGATTTGTACTTTCACGAATTTTCAATTTTTGTATTTTCAAACGTTCTGATTTTATTTTTTTATTTTTTTTTCAATGTGATTTTATCAATCAATCAATATCATTTTTCGGTTTAAACTTTTTCGAGTTTTCAATTTTTGATTTGAATTTTTCTAGTTTTCATTTTAAATATGTATCAAATAATTATTAAGATTTTAAAATTCTTCGCTTCTTCAATTTCATGATTTTAGAATTTTTTCATTTTTCAATTAGCGGAATTTAAAACGTTTCAATTTTTTTGATTTTTCGGTTTTTCTATTTTTAGATTTTTCAATTTTTCAGTTTTTAGTTTCTTCAATTTTTGATTTTAATTTTTCAAGTTTTCATTTTAAATGCGTGTCTGATAATAATTATAATTTTAAAATTCTTCACTTCTTCAGTTTTACGATTTTTAGAATGTTTTAATTTTTCAATTATTGGATTTTAAAACTTTTTCAATTATTTGATTGCTCAGTTGTTCGGTTTTTAGTTTTTCAATGTTTCGATTTTTCCCTTCTTCAGTTCTTCGATTCTGCAGTTTTTTGGTTTTTCAGTTTTTCATTTTTTCAGATTTTTTAGTTTTCGATTTTCAATTTTTCGAATCAGAAAATTGGAAAATTGCAACATTGTAAAATTGAAAAAGCAAAAGTAAAAAACGAAAAATTATAAAATGGGAACTTTGAAACCGAACTTGAAAAATGAAGAAACGAAAAAAATTGAAACAAAGTTATAAAATCGAAAAACATTGAAAAATAAAGGAAATGAAGAAATTGTAATATAAAATCTTGAAAATCAAAATTAAAAAATTGAAAACTGAAAATAAAGTCAAGAACTTGAAAAATTGAAGAAATGAAAAATTGGAAAAAATTTGGGAGTTGAGAAGTTGAAAAAAAAATCAGTTTATAACTTTTCATTTACCCAATTTTTAATATTACGATTTTATAATTTTTGGATTTTGCAATTTTTCGGTTTAAAATTTTTCGAATTTTCACGATTTCGATTTGGAGTTTCACCAGTTTTTAATTTTTCTATTTTTAGATTTTTCCGTTTTTCAATTTTAGATTTTTTAATTTCTCGATTTTTCAGTTTTTATTTTCTTCAGTTTTTGATTCCAATTTTTCAACTTTTTATTTTAGATGTGTCTAATAATAATTATAATTTTAAAATTCTTCACTTCTTCAATTTTACGATTTTTAGAATGTTTAAATTTTTCAATTATTGGATTTTAAAACTTTTTCAATTATTTGATTCCTCAGTTGTTCGGTTTTTAGTTTTTCAATGTTTCGATTTTTCGTTTCTTCAGTTCTTCGATTTTGCAGTTTTTCGGTTTTTCAGTTTTTCAGATTTTTTTAGTTTTCGAATTTTAATTTTTCGAATCAAAAAATTGGAAAATTGCAATAGTGTAAAATCGAAAAAGTAAAAGTAAAAAACGAAAAATTATAAAACGGAAACTTTGAAACTGAGCTTGAAAAGTTGAAGAAACGAAAAAAATGGAAACAAGAAGCTATAAAATCGAAAAATTGAAGAAATGAAAAGTTGGAAAACATTGGGAAGTCGAGAAATTAAAAAAATTGAAAATGTCAGTTTATAATATAATTTTTAATATTTCGATTTTATAATTTTTGGATTTTGCAATTTTCCGGTTTAAAGTTTTTTTAATTTTCAAGTTTTCGATTTGGAGTTTCACGAGTTTTTAATTTTTCTATTTTTAGATTTTTCCGGTTTTCAATTTTAGATTTTTTAGTTTCTCGATTTTTCAGTTTTTAGTTTCTTCAGTTTTTGATTCCAATTTTTCAACTTTTCATTTTAGATGTGTCTAATAATAATTATAATTTTAAAATTCTTCACTTCTTCAATTTTACGATTTTTAGAATGTTTAAATTTTTCAATTATTGGATTTTAAAACTTTTTCAATTATTTGATTGCTCAGTTTTTCGGTTTTTAGTTTTTCAATGTTTCGATTTTTCGTTTCTTCAGTTCTTCGATTTTGCAGTTTTTCGGTTTTTCAGTTTTTCATTTTTTCAGATTTTTTAGTTTGCGATTTTCAATTTTTCGAATCGGAAAACCGGAAAGTTGCAACATTGTAAAATTGAAAAAGCAAAAGTAAAAAACGAAAAATTATAAAATGGAAACAAAGTTATGAAATTGAAAAATAAAGGAAATGAAGAAATTGTGATATAAGATCGTGAAAATTAAAATACAAAAATTGAGAACAGAAAATAAAGTCAAGAACTTGAAAAATTGAAGAAATGAAAAATTGGGAAATTGAAAAAAAAAATCAGTTTGTAACTTTTCATTTACCCAATTTTTAATATTTCGATTTTATAATTTTTGGATTTTGCAATTTTTCGGTTTAAAATTTTTCGAATTTTCACGTTTTCGATTTGGAGTTTCACGAGTTTTTAATTTTTCTATTTTTAGATTTTTCCGTTTTTCAATTTTAGATTTTTTAATTTCTCGATTTTTCAGTTTTTATTTTCTTCAGTTTTTGATTCCAATTTTTCAACTTTTTATTTTAGATGTGTCTAATAATAATTATAATTTTAAAATTCTTCACTTCTTCAATTTTACGATTTTTAGAATGTTTAAATTTTTCAATTATTGGATTTTAAAACTTTTTCAATTATTTGATTCCTCAGTTGTTCGGTTTTTAGTTTTTCAATGTTTCGATTTTTCGTTTCTTCAGTTCTTCGATTTTGCAGTTTTTCGGTTTTTCAGTTTTTCAGATTTTTTTAGTTTTCGAATTTTAATTTTTCGAATCAAAAAATTGGAAAATTGCAATAGTGTAAAATCGAAAAAGTAAAAGTAAAAAACGAAAAATTATAAAACGGAAACTTTGAAACTGAGCTTGAAAAGTTGAAGAAACGAAAAAAATGGAAACAAGAAGCTATAAAATCGAAAAATTGAAGAAATGAAAAGTTGGAAAACATTGGGAAGTCGAGAAATAAAAAAAATTGAAAATGTCAGTTTATAATATAATTTTTAATATTTCGATTTTATAATTTTTGGATTTTGCAATTTTCCGGTTTAAAATTTTTTTAATTTTCAAGTTTTATATTTGGAGTTTCACGAGTTTTTAATTTTTCTATTTTTAGATTTTGCGTTTTTCAATTCTTCAGTTTAAAGTTTTTTCAATTTTAGATTTTTTAGTTTCTAGTTTATTTTTAATTTTACATTTCTTCAATTTTACGATTTTGAATGTTTTAGATTTTGCGATTTTTCGATATACAGTTTCACGAGTTTTCAGTTTTTTATTTAAAATTTTTCGAATTTTCAAGTTTTCGATTTTGAGTTGCACGAGTTTTTAATTTTTCTATTTTTAGATTTTTCCGTTTTTGAATTCTTCAATTTAAAGCTTTTTCAATTTTAGATTTTTTAATTCCTAGTTTTTTAATTTTACGTTTCTTCAGTTTTTGATTTGAATTTATCTAGTTTTCATTTTTTCGTTAATGTATCTAATCATAATATTAATTTTAAAATTCTTCATTTCTTCAATTTTACGATTTTGAATGTTTCAATTTTTAGATTTTGCGATTTTTCGATATGCAGTGGCACGAGTTTTCAGTTTTTCATTTTTTTGTTTCAATTTTTAGATTTTGCAATTTTTCGACTTAAAATTTTCGATTTGCAGTTTCACGAGTTTTTAGTTTTTCATTTTTTCTTTGTTTCTTCAATTTTTAGGTTTTACAAAGTTTCGATTTGCAATTTTACGAGTTTTCAATTTTTCTATTTTTCAATGCTCTGATTTTATAGTTTTTCTTTTTTTTTTCATTCTGAAATTTTTCAATCATTCGATTTTTCAGTGTTGTGATTTTATAATTTTTTGTTTTTAATTTTTTTTTGTTTCTTCAGTTTTTAGATTTTGCAATTTTTCGGTTTAAGATTTTCGAAGTTTTCAATTTTTCGATTTTCCAATTTTTTGATGTTTCAGTTTTTAGATTTTGTAAATTTTCGTTTTGTAATTTCAAAAAATTTCAATGTTTCAATGTTCTGATTATGTAATTTTTCTTTTTTTGTTCTTTGTGGAATTTTTCAGTTATTCGATTTTTCAATTTTTCGTTTCTTCAGTTTTTGATTAGAATTTTTCTAGTTTTCATTTTAAATATGTATCTAATAATAATCATTATAATTTTAAAATTCTTCACTTCTTCGATTTCCTGATTTTAGAATTTTTTTATTTTTCAATTAGTGGACTTTAAAACGTTTTAATTTTTTTTGTTTTTCGGTTTTTCTATTTTTTATTTTTCAATTTCTCGATATTTAATTTTTCGAATAAAAAAATCGGAAAATTGCAACATTGTAAAATTGAAAATATAAACTTATAAAATCGAAAGAAACATTGAAAAATAAAGAAAATGAAAAATTGAAAGATTTAAAAATTAAAAACTAGTGTCGGAAAATTGTAAATTGAAAAATTGAAAAAATTAAAATTTACCATTAAACGAGGTTCTTAGTTTATAATTTTTCAGTTTTTCGATTTTACAATTTTTTGATGTCATAATTTTTCGTTTTTTCTTTTCTTCTCTTTTATCATTTTTTTATTTCAGGATTTTTTGTTTTTTTAACTGTAATTTTTCGATTTTATATAACAATGTTTCGTCCTTTCATTTGCTTCATATTTGGAATCTTGTCTCAATTTTTCAAATTTTCAATCTTTGAATTTTTATTCCCTCGATTTTTCAATTTTTTTATTTTCCAATTGATGGGTTTCTCAATTATCCTATTTTCCTATTTCTTTAATTTTCAATATTTCGTTTTTTCTATTCTGCACTTTTTCGATTTTGAAGCTTCTCAATTTTTAAGCTTTCCATTTTTGAATTTTTCGTTTTTTCAGTTTTTAAGTTCTTGATTTCCAGTTTTTTGATTTTTCATTTTATAATTTTTCGTTTTTATTTTTTTTTATTCTTCAGTATTACAATTTTGCAATTTTTCCAGTTTTTTTATTGAAAGTTGAAAATCGAAAAATTAAAAATTGAAAAAAATTTGGTGGTTAAGAAATTGTAAAATTAAAGTTGAAAAAACAATTTTTAATTTTTCAATTTTACAATTTTTTGATGTCAAAATTTTTCGTTTTTTCTTTTCTTCTCCTTTATCCTTTTTGAATTCACTTTTTTTTTGTTTTTCCATTTCTTTATTTATTCCATTTTTCCTAATTTTTCGATGTGCAATTTTTTATTTTTTCGATTTTTCAGTTTGTCAATTTTTATCCCGCTTTTTTATTTTCATTTCTTTTCTTTTATTTTTCCAAAATTTTATTTTTTCAAAATTTCGATCTCTGATTTTTTAATTCCTCGAGTTTCTAATTTTTAAATTTTTTAATTTGGCAATTTTTTGATTTTACATTTTCTACTTTTTCGTTTTTTTATTTTTGATTTTTCAGTTTTATAATTTTGCAATTTTTTCAAATTTTTTGATTCGAAAATTTGTAAAAACGAAAAAACAAAAAACGCGAAAGCGTAAGAATGGGAAATCCAAAAAATTGTAAAGTGGAAAAATTGGATCATTCAAAGATCGAAAAACTGAAAAATTAAATATAGAGAAATTGAAAAATTAAAAATTCAAAAATTTAAAAGTGAAAAAAATTTAAAATTATTAGTACGCACTTAAAATAAGAAATAGAAAAAAGCAAATTAAAAATTCTAAAAGTTGAAAAATCGAAAAATTAAAACTCGAAAATTCGTGAAACTGCAAGTCGAAGAATTGAAGAAATGAAAAACTGAAAAAAATTTGAAAGTTAAAAAAACGATGTTCTTAATTCATAATTTTTTAATTTCTCAATTTTTAATTTTTCGATTTTCCAATTTTTTTGTCACAATTTTTCGTTTTTTCTTTTCTTCTCTTATTATTTTTTGATTTTACATTTTTTTTTGTTTTTCCTTTTCGATTTTTCGGATTCTCAATTTTTCAAGTTCTTGGTTTTTATTTTTCATTTTCCCGCGTTTTTATTGTTTTATTTATTTCATTTGCTTTATTTTTCCTGTTTTCTAAATTTTTCAAATTCTCAATCTTCGATTTTTTAATTCCCCGATTTTCCAATTTCTTCAATTTTCAATATTTGGATTTCACAATATTTCGTTTTTTCTATTTTGCACTTTTTCAATTTTTAAGTTTCTCAATTTTTAAGCCTTCGATTTTTGAATTTTTCGTTTCTTCGTTTTTTCATTTTTGATTTTACAATTTTGCAATTTTTTGGTTCGAAAAGTTGAAAAATCGAACCCTTAAAAAATTGAAAAATGAAAAACCAAAAACTGAAAAAGCGAAAAATTGCCAAGAAAAAACGCGTAAGCGAAAGATTGGAAAACCCGAAAATTGTAAAATCGTCAAAATTGGAAAGTCGATAAACTATCATTCAAAAACTGAAAAACTGAGAAATTAAATATGAAGAAATTGAAAAATTGTAAAAGTTATTACATATTTAAAATGAAAAAAATTGAAAAATCGAAAAATTTCACTTGAAAAATTAGAACATTGAAAAACCAAAATATTGAAGGAATGAAAAACTGAAAAATTCAAAGATCGAAAAATGCTAAAAACATCAAATGGAAAAAGTGAAAATTTTTTAAAATTATTACATATTTAAAAAATTAAAACTAGAAAAATTGCAAATCAAAAATTGAAGAACGAAAAATTAAAAAATTTAAAAAAATTACAAATTTTACACTGAAAAAAGAAAAATTTGAAAATTAGAACATCGAAAAACCGAAAGATTCAAAATATAAAGAAAATAATAAATTGAAAATTGCCAATCGAAAAATTAAAAATGGAAAATTCCTGAAATTGCAGTCGAAAAACTGAAAAATTAAAAAGTAAAAACTCGAAGAGTTGCATATGGTAAACTCGAAGAAACGAAAAATTGCAAATCGAAAAGCTGAAGAAACAAAAAAATGGGCAAAACAGACTAAATCACAGAAAATATGTTTGTTTGCAGGTGTTCACCCCCGACGAGCTCCTGCCGACCAGCCAGCCCCAGCAGCAGACCAACGACGAGGAGCACCTGCTCGTGGACCACATCCAGGAGATCCAGAAGGAGAAGGAACACCTCACGTCGACGCTGCCGATATTAACGCACGCCGTGTCCGACGACGACATGCTGTCGACCGACGGGGACGGCAGCCTCGACGACATCTCGTGCATCGGCGAGCAGGAGAAGCCGCGGGTCGCCGTCGTCAGGTCCATCTCCGGGGGCGACGCGCCGCCGCCGCTCCCCATCAAACTCAAAAGACAGTTATCGTCCGACGTTACTAGTGTGAAAGTGGTGGAAGATTGCGAGGATCCGATCATGGTGTAAAAAGTGTACATATTCGTGTTGTACATTGACGGGAACAAAGATTCTAGGTATACAGAAAAATCTATTTTTTAAAAGAAGTGTGATACACACCTGAGCATTTATTTGTGTATATTTTCATAACAGTTTTCGCCAAGTTGAAGTGATATAGATGTGTAAACCATGACATTTTAAGTGCAAATTTTTGTCTGTTTCTCTGTTGACACTTGTGATTTCTTCAAATTTGTGTACTATTTGATAGGCAGGGTATCTGTTTGCTAATAGGAGTGTTGTAAATTTGTACTTTTAGATGTAGACGAAACTTATGTAACTGAAACGCTTATTATTGATTGACTTGATGGAGAGAATGTTTTAGGGAGTACTCTATTTTATTGTTGGGGAGTTTTCGCGGTCGTTGCCAAGTTTTTTCGGTATCTTCCAGATGAGTTCCTTTTGTATTTTTTGGACCAACTTGGTTTTAGTAATGTTTAGGCGACAGAAGAGCAAAATGAACAATTTTTATAACGAAACCAAAAAAACTAAATCAAAACGTAGCAAGAGTAACTAGAGTACATAACACAAGCGAGATAATGAGCAATTTTTCGTCAACATTCGGATCAAGGCTATTACTTAAATTACAATACTCACGTTTCCTTCTTTATTTCTTAATCAATCAGCTGGTGGAAAGAAAACCAAAGCAATATAAAGTTCATAAATGATAGGAACTCTTCTTTAATTAATACTTTAGAATGTGCAATTCGATTACATAATTTAGGTTAGATTGTTTAAGAAATAAAACCCTTCAAGTTAGATATTTATTCTTCAATATTTATTGAAAGCGAAAAGCATTTTATATTGTATTACTGTTATATAATTATATTAAAAACTATATTTTAACAGAAGGTAATTTATTATCTCGTGTTGTTAAAATCATCCGCGGTAGGGGGTCCTACTGTGTGCACTTGTTCAATCATGTATCAATTGTTGGGTCATCACATTTTTTGGTTCCTGTTTACTAGGAATCGAGACGTTCTAATATTGTTAAATGTGTAAAATATCGAAGCATTTGTTGTTTAAATGCAATAGTTACGTCAGTCATAAGTTTTAAAGTTGAGAACAAGTTATTTAGCTAAGCATGCTTGTTTTTTAATTAGAATAATGTTTAGTTTACTAACATTTTTTACCGTCGTATTTATTTCTTTCTCCATTCCAAAAGTTAAGCTCAATGACTGCATTCCTATCAATGTGAGCCGCCCCCTTTTTTTATAAACAGCACAACTTGATCTTTGGAGTTTCTGTTCGAGGACTAACGTTGCCAATACGATAGGGCATTTTCAGAAAATGACTGAATTAATATTTCTAGTTTTTCTCATACTATAAATGTTGGTTAAGTAAACGTTTATAACTAAATTAATAAATATACCAAATGTTAACAATAATGACAATTGTATATCAATATAAATAAAATACTCTAAATTTAATATGCTAATAATTTTGTAAATAAAGATCAAATATCGACTCGATTTTCATTTCCTCCAGCACGAGCACTTCCGAAAAAAACAACATTTCTAATAGCTTTCTATAATCGAACTGAATAAATTACATCAATTTCATTACTGAAACAATAATCATTAACGTGCTTGGGCGATAAGCACGCAACTATTAACACTTTTTAATTTAATTCATTAGTGTGTCAAGTCGCAGAATGAAGAAACCGAAGTCAGATTTGTGCTACTTAAAACCCCTTTACACTTTGTGCAACTTTTTAGCTATAACGCCTCCGCACTCCTACGGAAGCTGCGTCACTTCGGTGTCGATACGGTTCAAAATTTACACGCTCCTCCACATCGCAATCGACTTGTTACTCTACGTCCACTCGTCATACGGTCGAGAAAACTACATCTACCAAACCATGGACGTAACTGTAGCCCTTACCGACAAAATCGCCAATTTCATGCTGACTTTCTTCAACGTGATGCTGCGAGTCGTGCTGATTTTCGCCAACGGGAAAACCACGAAGTTGTTTTACAACCAGATGTACGAATTGTCCGTGCACGATTTGTTCGAGGCGTGTTCGCCAAGAGTGTTTAGAATACACTTCGCCATTTTTAATTTTTACATGGTGGCGTTGATCCTCTCTGACGCCTATTTGTGGATCAACTCGGTAGGAGTGCGGATGTTTCAGTACTACGTAGGGCGCAGCTTCACTTACTACATGTGCAACCTCTCCATTTTCCTGATTTTCCACTCAGTTTTACCCATCAAGCACTTTTTCGCTTCGTTGGGTACGTTTCTGGAAACTTTGGTCAAAAATTTGGTTTGTAGCGACGACGATGCTCGCAAAGAGTATGTTCTATCCGAGTTCAGAATACAGAGCGTTCCGGTCAAAGACAACTGCTACGACTTACGCAAAGTGCGAAAGTACTACAACAATATATGCGACATGGTTGACAATTTCAACCAAATTTATGGTCTAGCGATTTTGATGGTGATCATCGTTGTCATTACATACGTTCTAAATTTGACTGACTTACTCTTGGTTTATGGTGTAAGCAAAGACAAAAACATCGGTGGTGCTAGTTATGGTACCGACTTGATAATACTGTGTGGTTTTTGGATGGTGACCCTCTTGGTGAGTAATTTACTAGTTTGAAACGACTTATTTGTTTGTAGATGTTCACGATTTTGCTAGCTTATGGATGCGCTGGTGCCATAGCTAAGTCCGAAAATGTGGCAAAAATTTGTTTCTTTTGGATAAACGAGATCCCGTCGTTACCGACTTCTCACAGGGACCAGGAGCTAAAAGAGGAACTTTCGTTATTGGTGCAACAATCCACTTCACGTTGTCCGAAATTTTCGGCAGCTGGCTTTTTCCCCGTCGATTTCACCCTACTAGGGTTCATTTTTGGCACCGTGACGTCATACATCATTATATCGATTCAATTTATAGACCACTGAAGATTACTACTATTATTGTTTTTAGTTTTACTGGTGACAACGACGTTTTGAAAAAAATATATTGTGTTTGGAATTTTGATGACACTACCAAGAAAAATAAAGCTACTAAAAAATTGTGAAAGGTTAAGGTTTCTTTAAAAAAATATAAAATTAGATTGTGCGATTTTCATTTGTGATGACTGTTAACCTCAACGTGGCGTGATTAATTTCTCCACAATATTGACAAATGACATATCCTGTAAGAAAATAAAGGGTGGGTGGGCGGGGCTAGTACCTGTCAAGAGGGGACTAATTTTGGCAAATAAACACTAAGAAAAAAAAGGGGGACTCTACTACCAATTCACATGTTATGAAAAGAAGTCTACACATACTAAAACAAAAAGGCAAAATGTAAGCCCGCCCACCCACCCGGTGTCAATTGTGATGATTTTTTTTATTCGCCGTGTATCAAGAGGGCGGAGCTTAACTGCAAAATACTTATTTCTTTACAAAAAATTAAAACATGTTTTTGATTATCACGTTGTTCAAAAATTACTATGGATATTTAGAAAAAAGGCAAAATATAAACCCCGCCCACCCACCCCATCTCAATTGTGATGAATTTTTTTATTCTTAGAAACTTAATACACGTTTAAAATGGTAAATTTTTGCACAGAAATATGGATTTTGCAATTAGGCTCAGCCCCTCGGCTCACACGAATAACAAAAATCAACAGAATTGAGACAGGGTGGGTGGGCGGGGCTTATATTTTGCCCCTTTTTTTCTTAATATTCATCTTTTCACAACAAGAAACTTAGAATATGGTTAAAATGGTATTTTTGTAAGGAAATACGGATTTTGCAATTGTGGGGCGGAGCCTAATTACAAAATCAATATTTCTTTATATAAATTTTCCATTTTAAACATGTTTTAAGTTTCACGTTGTGAAAAAAAGTCTACACATATTAAAACAAAAAGGAAAAATATATGCCCGCCCACCCGCCCTGTCTCAATTGTGATGAATTTTTAATTCGCCGTGAACTAAGCGGGGGCGAAGCTTAACTGCAAAATACTTATTTCTTTATAAGAAATTAAAAACATGTTTTTGAGTATCATGTTGTTCAAGAATACTATGTATATTAAGAAAAAAAACGAAGTCTACACATATTAAAACAAAAGGCAAAATGTGAGCCCGCCCACCCGCCCTATCGCAATTGTGATTTTTGTTATTCGCCGTGAACCAACAGGGCGGAGCTTAACTGCAAAAGACTTATTTCTTTACAAAAAATTAAAAACATATTTTTGAGTATCGTCTTGTTCAAAGAATACTATGTACATTTTGAAAAAAAAGGCAAAATATAAGCCCCGCCCCCCACCCCATCTCAATTGTGATGATTTTTTTATTCTTAGAAACTTAATACACATTTAAAAAGGGTATATTTTTGTAAGGAAATATGAATTTTGCAATTAGGCTCCGCCCCTAAGTCTGCCAAAGAATAAAAACTTCATTACTATTTAGATCAGGGCAAGTATGGGTGGGGTTTTAATCTTTGGCTTTATTTTTTTCTTAATATATGTACATTACTTTTCTTTGTATAGGGACTGACATATTTCATATGGTAATTTCTCGTAGAAAAATAAGGATTTTACAATTAAGCTCCACCCCTCGGCTTACGACGAATAAAAAAAAATCATCAGAATTGAGACAGGGTGGGTGGGCGGGGCTTATATTTTGTCCTTGTTTTCTTAATATATATATCCATCTTTTCACAACAAGAACTTAAAATGGTATATTTTTGCAAAGAAATATGGATTTTGCAATTGTGCGGCGGAGCCTAATTGCAAATATTTCCTTATACAAATTTTCCATTTTAAATATATTTTAAGTTTTACGTTATGAAAAGAAGTCTACACATATTAAAACAAAAGGCAAAATCTAAGCCCGCCCACCCACCCGGTCTCAATTGTGATGAATTTTTCATTCGCAGTGAACCAAGAGGGCGGAGCTTAACTGCAAAATACTTATTTCTTTACAAGAAATTAAAAACATGTTTTTGAGTATCGTGTTGTTCAAAGAGTACCATGTATATTAAAAAACTAAACAAAATATCAACCCCGCCCACCCACCCCATCTCAATTCTGATGATTTTTTTATACTTAGAAACTCAATACACATTTAAAATGGTAAATTTTTGTAAGGAAATATGGATTTTACAATTAAGGTCCACCCCTCGGTTTACGACGAATACAAAAAATCATCAGAAATGAGACCGGGTGGGTGGGCGGGGCTTATATTTTGTCCTTTTTTCTTAATATGCGTCGTCTTTTGAGAACAGGAAGTTTAAAATAGTAAATTTTTGTAAACAAATATGGATCTTGCAAATTTTCAATCTTCGATTTTTTAATTCCCCGCTTTACCAATTTCTTCAATTTTCAATATCTGGATTTTACAATATTTCGTTTTTTATATTTTTCACTTTTAAGTTTCACAATTTTTAAGCTTTCGATTTTTGAATTTTTCGTTTCTTCGTTTTTTCATTTTTGATTTTTCAATTTTACAGTTTTGCAATTTTTTGATTCAGAAAGTTGAAAAAGCGAAAAACTGCCAAGAAAAAACGCGAAAATGAAAGATTGGAAAAACCAAAAAATTGTAAAATCGTCAAAATTGGAGAGTTGAAAAACTGTATTATTTAAAGATTGAAAAACTGAGAAATTAAATATCGAGAAATTGGAAAATTAAAAATCGAAAAATTTTATAATCGTAAAATTGAAAAAGCGAAAAATTGTAAAAATTATTACAATTTTAAAATGAAAACTAAACATATTGCAAATCAAAAATTGAAAAAAATTCAAAAGTTGGAAAATCGAAAAATTGAAAAAGTTCACTTGAAAAATTAGAAAATTAAAACATTGAAAAACCAAAATTTTGAAGAAATGAAAAACTGAAAAATTGAAAAATTAAAAATGGAAAATTCCCGAAATTGCGAGTCGAAAAACTATCATTCAAAGATCGAAAATTCTAATCGTCAAATGGAAAAAGTGATTTTTTAAAAAATTATTATTATCACATACTTAAAATGAAAACAAGAGGGCGGAGCTTAATTGCAAAATACTTATTTCTTTACAAGAAATTAAAAACATGTTTTTGAGTATCGTGTTGTTCAAAGAGTACCATGTATATTAAGAAAAAAACGCAAAATATCAACACCGCCCACCCACCCCATCTCAATTGTGATGATTTTTTTATTCTTAGAAACTCAATACACATTTAAAATGGTAAATTTTTGTAAGGAAATATGGATTTCACAATTAAGCTCCACCCCTCGGCTTACGACGAATAAAAAAAATCATCAGAAATGAGACCGGGTGGGTGGGCGGGGCTTATACTTTGTCCTTTTTTCTTAGTATGCGTAGTCGTCTTTTGAGAACAAGAAGTTTAAAATGGTAAAATTTTTGTAAACAAATATGGATCTTGCAAATTTTCAATATTTGGATTTTACAATATTTCGTTTTTTCTATTTTGCACTTTTAAGTTTCACAATTTTTAAGCTTTCGATTTTTGAATTTTTCGTTTCTTCGTTTTTTCATTTCTGATTTTTCAATTTTACAGTTTTGCAATTTTTTTATTCAAAAAGTTGAAAAAGCGAAAAATTGCCAAGAAAAAACGCGAAAACGAAATTGGAAAAACCCAAAAATTGTAAAATCGTCAAAATTGGAGAGTCGAAAAACTGTATTATTTAAAGATTGAAAAACTGAGAAATTAAATATCGAGAAATTGGAAAATTAAAAATCGAAGAATTTTATAATCGTAAAATTGAAAAAGTGAAAAATTGTAAAAATTATTACAATTTTAAAATGAAAACAAGACAAATTGCAAATCAAAAATTTAAAAAAATTTAAAAGTTGAAAAATCGAAAAATTGAAAAAGTTCACTTGAAAAATTAGAAAATTAGAACATTGAAAAACCAAAATATTGAAGAAATGAAAAACTGAAAAATTGAAAAATTAAAAATTCCCAAAAAACTCATTCAAAGATCGAAAATTCTAAAATCGTCAAATGGAAAAAGTGATTTTTTTTTAAATTATTATCACATAACTAAAATGAAAACAAGAGGGCGGAGCTTAATTGCAAAATACTTATTTCTTTACAAGAAATTAAAAACATGTTTTTGAGTATCGTGTTGTTCAAAGAGTACCATGTATAGTAAGAAAAAAAGGCAAAATATCAGCCCCGCCAACCCACCCCATCTCAATTGTGATGATTTTTTTATTCTTAGAAACTCAATACACATTTAAAATGGTAAATTTTTGTAAGGAAATATGGATTTTACAATTAAGCTGCACCCCTCGGCTTACGACGAATTAAAAAAATCATCAGAAATGAGGCCGGGTGGGTGGGCGGGGCTTATATTTTGTCCTCTTTTCTTAGTATGCGTAGTCGTCTTTTGAGAACAGGAAGTTTAAAATGGTAAATTTTTGTAAACAAATATGTTTCTTGCAAATTTTCAATCTTCGATTTTTTAATTCCCCGATTTACCAATTTCTTCAATTTTCAATATTTGGATTTTACAATAATTCGCCATTTCTATTTTGCACTTTTAAGTTTCACAATTTTTAAGCTTTCGATTTTTGAATTTTTCGTTTCTTCGTTTTTTCATTTTTGATTTTTAAATTTTACACTTTTGCAGTTTTTTGATTCAAAAGTTGAAAAAGCGAAAAATTGCCAAGAAAAAACGCGAAAACGAAAGATTGGAAAAACCCAAAAATTGTAAAATCGTCAAAATTGGAGAGTCGAAAAACTGTATTATTTAAAGATTGAAAAACTGAGAAATTAAATATCGAGAAATTGGAAAATTAAAAATGGAAGAATTTTATAATCGTAAAATTGAAAAAGTGAAAAATTGTAAAAATTATTACAATTTTAAAATGAAAACTAGACATATTGCAAATCAAAAATTAAAAAAAATTTAAAAGTTGATAAATCGAAAAATTGAAAAAGTTCACTTGAAAAATTAGAAAATTAGAACATTGAAAAACCAAAATATTGAAGAAATGAAAAACTGAAAAATTGAAAAATTAAAAATGGAAAATTCCCGAAATTGCAAGTCGAAAAACTATCATTCAAAGATCGAAAATTCTAAAATCGTCAAATGGAAAAAGCGAAATTTTTTAAAATTATTATCACATACTTAAAATGAAAACAAGAGGGCGGAGCTTAACTATAAAACACTTATTTGTTTACAAGAAATTAAAAACATGTTTTTGAGTATCGTGTTGTTCAAAGAGGACCATGCATAATAAGACAAAAAGGCAAAATATCAACCCCGCCCACCCACCCCATCTCAATTGTGATGATTTTTTTATTCTTAGAAACTCAATACACATTTAAAATGGTAAATTGTTGTAAGGAAATATGGATTTTACAATTAAGCTCCACCCCTCGGCTTACGACGAATAAAAAAAAATCATCAGAAATGAGACCGGGTGGGTGGGCGGGGCTTATATTTTGTCCTTTTTTCTTAGTATGCGTAGTCGTCTTTTGAGAACAGGAAGTTTAAAATGGTAAATTTTTGTAAACAAATATGGATCTTGCAAATTTTCAATCTTCGATTTTTTAATTCCCCGATTTACCAATTTCTTCAATTTTCAATATCTGGATTTTACGATATTTCGTTTTATCTATTTTGCACTTTTAAGTTTCACAATTTTTAACCTTTCGATTTTTGAATTTTTCGTTTCTTCGTTTTTTCATTTTTGATTTTTCAATTTTACAGTTTTGCAATTTTTTTATTCAAAAAGTTGAAAAAGCGAAAAATTGCCAAGAAAAAACGCGAAAACGAAAGATTGAAATACCCAAAAATTGTAAAATCGTCAAAATTGGAGAGTTGAAAAACTGTATTATTTAAAGATTGAAAAACTGAGAAATTAAATATCGAGAAATTGGAAAATTAAAAATCGAAGAATTTTATAATCGTAAAATTGAAAAAGTGAAAAATTGTAAAAATTATTGCAATTTTAAAATGAAAACTAGACATAATGCAAATCAAAAATTGGAAAAAATTTAAAAGTTGGAAAATCAAAAAACTGAAAAATTTCACTTGAAAAATTAAAAATGGAAAATTCCCAAATTGCGAGTCGAAAAACTATCATTCAAAGATCGAAAATTCTAAAATCGTCAAATGGAAAAAAGTGAAATTTTTTAAAATTATTATCACATACTTAAAATGAAAACAAGAGGGCGGAGCTTAATTGCACAATTCTTATTTCTTTACAAGAAATTAAAAACATGTTTTTGAGTATCGTGTTGTTCAAAGAGTACCATGTATATTAAAAAACTAAACAAAATATCAACCCCGCCCACCCACCCCATCTCAATTCTGATGATTTTTTTATACTTAGAAACTCAATACACATTTAAAATGGTAAATTTTTGTTAAGGAAATATGGATTTTACAATTAAGGTCCACCCCTCGGTTTACGACGAATACAAAAAATCATCAGAAATGAGAACGGGTGGGTGGATGGGGCTTATATTTTGTCCTTTTTTCTTAATATGCGTCGTCTTTTGAGAACAGGAAGTTTAAAATGGTAAATTTTTGTAAACAAATATGGATCTTGCAAATTTTCAATCTTCGATTTTTTAATTCCCCGATTTACCAATTTCTTCAATTTTCAATATTTGGATTTTACAATATTTCGTTTTTTCTATTTTGCACTTTTAAGTTTCACAATTTTTAAGCTTTCGATATTTGAATTTTTCGTTTCTTCGTTTTTTCAATTTTGATTTTTCAATTTTGCAGTTTTGCAATTTTTTAATTCAAAAAGTTGAAAAAGCGAAAAATTGCCAAGAAAAAACGCGAAAACGAAAGATTGGAAAAACCCAAAAATTGTAAAATCGTCAAAATTGGAGAGTCGAAAAACTGTATTATTTAAAGATTGAAAACTGAGAAATCAAATATCGAGAAATTGGAAAATTAAAAATCGAAGAATTTTATAACCGTAAAATTGAAAAAGTGAAAAATTGTAAAAATTATTACAACTTTAAAATGAAAACTAGACATATTGCAAATCAAAAATTGAAAAAAATTTAAAAGTTGGAAAATCGAAAAATTGAAAAAGTTCACTTGAAAAATTTGAAAATTAGAACATTGAAAAACCAAAATATTGAAGAAATGAAAAACTGAAAAATTGAAAATTCTGGAAAAACTCATTCAAAGATCGAAAATTCTAAAATCGTCAAATGGAAAAAGTGAAATTTTTTAAAGTTATCACATATTTAAAATGAAAACAAGAGGGCGGAGCTTAACTGCAAAATATGTATTTATTTTTTACAAGAAATTAAAAACTGTTTTTGAGTATCGTGTTGTTCAAAGAGTACCATGTATATTAAGAAAAAAAGGCAAAATATTAACCCCGCCCACCCACCCCATTGTGATGATTTTTTTTATTCTTAGAAACTTAATACACATTTAAAATGGTAAATTTTTGTAAGGAAATATGGATTTTACAAATAAGCTCCACCCCTCAGATTACGATGAATAAAAAAAATCATCAGAATTGAGACCGGGAGGGTGGGCGGGGCTTATATTTTGCCCTTTTTTCCTAATATACGTAGTCGTCTTTTGAGAACAAGAAGTTTAAAATGGTAAATTCTTCTAGACAAATATGGATCTTGCAATTAAGCCCCGCCCCTCGATCTGACAACGAATGAAAAATTCATCACATGGGGCTTAATCTTTGGCATTATTTTTTCGTTAATATGCGTAGTATTCTTAATTCTTTGAACAACTGGATACTCAAAAACATGTTTTTAATTTCTTGTAGAGAAGAAATAAGAATTTTGCAATTAAGCTCCGCCCCCTTGGCTTACAACGAATAAAAAAAAATCATCACAATTGAGACAGGGTGGGTGGGCGGGGCTACATATTGCTTTTTTGTTTTCTTAATATGTGTAGACTTATTTTGGTAACAAGAAACTTTAAACATGTCTAAAATGGTAAATTTTTGTAGCAACTGCAACGGGAACTTCAATGTCAACAGCAAGTTTATACATCCCACTTTACTCGCTGCGCTCCTATTCTAAGGGTGTTTGGTTTTTTTAAATCTAGAGATTTATGCTTACAATAGAATCGAAACGACTTCCCTTAGAGTCTTTACTGTACACTTCTATGAGAATAAATGTGGAATAAATAATAATATTTAAAGCAGATAACTAACGGGAAAAATGTAGACAATTTCAATTTCTAAGAGTATGCTTAACTTCGACTGTTTATGTTTATACTTCGACCGAATTTTTTTAGGAGGCAATAAACGAAAAAATTTTGATTAACGATCTACTATGCTTACACTTGTAAGTTTTTAAAGCATTCGGTTTTACAATTTCAAACTTAAATAAATTGTAAAATTTTACAGTTTTAATTTTTTTTCCAAAAATTTGGATGTCTAGAATAAAAATTCAACCGGGGTTCATAAACCACATGTGCAGGCGGAGTATCTTATTTTATACAATGTAAATAATATTTACTACTGTTAATTTTGGAGATGACGTCAACAAATTGTTGGTAGGGAGAATTAGCCAAATTTTGATTATCTACAAGTTATTCATTAGTGGACATTACTTCATCGCATGTCGACAGAATTAATTTCTAAAGAAACTAATTAGCATGAATCACGATCCCATGAATTGTTAAAAGCAATGTCTTTAAAGGACGAAATTTCTCTCCAGTGATGTCTAAATTCACGAACTATTCACACACTTTTGTAAAAACATGTCAAACTATTTTACTAAGTGGTATTCAAGAAGTGAACAAAACAGACTCTCGTTCGTTGAAGAAAACCTACTGCTTTGTGTTGCTAGTACTGATTTTTCATTACGTAATAGTAAGTCGGGTCAAAATTGACGTGTACAGAAACATGAAAACCGTCGACGTCTTGTTTGATACCACCTCTTTCACAAACGAAAATATCGCCTGCTTTGTAATAGTACTAAACAAGTATAGAAACTTTGATAAAAATCAAAATTTGTATAAAATTTTGAACCTAATAAAACCTCAAGTCAAAATTTTTGAAATAGGCGTCCTTGCTGTAAGTTTTCTCTTGTATTTTTTACTTTCATGCAAAGCCAGCGATTACATTGTAACGATCACACTCTTCCTCGACTTTTATTCAATGGAATTAATTTTGACCATCCTGCTACAAACCATGGACTTCCTCATTTCGACCACAATGGACGATTTCTTCACCCTTCCGGCTCCAGAAGTCCAGCGAACCAACAACGGCGATTTGCTCATAACCGGGTGGGTTAAAGCCACCTTAAACCACAAGAAACACCACGACCCCATTAAAACCGTCCAGAAAATCGGCTCAATTTTGTCACCCAGAGCTTAACCCTTTTCGGCCAAGTGTTCGCCTGGTCTCTATTTTTCGCGTCTTTTTGCTTTCTACCGGAATTTTTACGACTACGTAATAGTAAACAGTTTCACTTGGGCGAACTTTTTAAAACTTGTCTACCTTTCCATTGTTTGGGTAAGTGCTAAAATTGGATTTTGGAATAATAATTAACCCAAATTTTAGGTTTTGTTGGAGGTGACGGTGCGTCGGATTGCGAGGAAGTTTAAAGGGGTTTGGAATCGTTTATTTAAATATTTGTTACACAATTCGGAGAGTTGGGTGGAAATTGGATTTATCAAACAAATTATAGCACATATCAATAAATATACCACAAAATTGGCTATTACTCCATTCAATTACTTACAACAATAACCTCGAACGAAAAAAGTCAAAGGCTCAGTGAACCATGGAACATCAAACAGACTTCTCATACATAAAACCTCTTTACCTATTTTGCAACGTTTTTGGGCTTCTTCCGCCACACTCGTTCGGAACGCAACCCACCTCGGTCTCGCTTAATTTCAAACTATATACACTTTTGCACATGGTCACTGTTTTCGCCGTGTATGTGTATTCATCTACAGGCAGAGCAAAATACTTGTACGACAATCTGGACGTCACGGTGGCACTAACCGATAAACTGGCACATCTAGTACTCATGATTTTGAACCTGTTGGTACGAATTACGTTCGTGTTTTGCAAAGGTACAACGACTAAGGTGTTCATCAATAAAGCGTACCACCTATCCAGAAAGAACCAGTTCCGCTGCTTCACGAGGAGGAGTTTTTGGGTTCAATTTGCGATTTTTAATGTCTATATGTTGGCGATTATAGCGTATGATGCTTATGTGTGGACTTCCACAGTGGGGTTGAGTATTTTCAGGTTCTATATTGGAAGGAGTTTTTTCTATTATGTGTGTAACGTCGTTGTATTTGTGATTTTTGAATCCGCCTTTTTAATCAGGGATTTGTACAAGTCATTAAACGAGGTTTTAGAGGTTGGTGTTAAGGGTTTAGTGGTCACGAATGGTTACGTTTTAACTGAGTTTAATATCAAGGCTATAACTACTGTAGTTTATCCAGAGTGTGATTTAAGAAGAGTGCGAAAGTACTACAATGCGATTTGTGACCTTGTGGACAATTTTAACACCATATACGGTTTCACTATACTGTTAGTGATTATTTTTATAATTTCTTACACCCTTAATTTGACGAATTTACTGACAGTTTATGCTATGGACTCCTCAAAGAATATTAATGGCTCTAAATATGGTAACAATTTAATAGTGTTGAATTTTTTGTGGATAGTAACTATGTTGGTATGTAGATTAATTTATTTTATGTGTATTTTTGTGTTTAATTTTTAGATTTTCGCCTCTCTTTTGGCACATTCATGTGCCAATTCTATCTGTCAGTCTGAAAATTTGGCAGCTGTTTGTTTCACCTGTTTGAACGAAATTCCCACAATCCCAAAAACACCCAAAGAACAGATTTTAAAAGAAGACGTTTTGTTGTTGGTTCAACAATTAATGGCACGGAAACCGAAATTTTCGGCTGGGGGATTTTTCGCCGTCGATTTTACGTTGCTGGGGTTTATTTTAGGAAGTGTTACCTCCTACGTGATTGTGTCTATACAATTTATACAAAAATGAGTTGATTATTTGCTTGAGAAATCACTATTTTAACAATTTTCTTATCATAAACCTTGATATGATAAAATTGTGCATACTTATCCTTGTCTTCTTTCAATGTTCAATCCAAACCACGATGACTGCGCTTCCTTTCCTTAATGTCTTCAAACTCAATCACAATTTTCTTCTTTGATTTAAACCTCCTATAACTAATTTTGAGTACCAAAATAACAACAAAAAACACACAGAATTACCAATATTTAACCCCCGCGCTGTCAAACATCACCTTAGCCGCAACCGTACTTTTTTTATGTGCGTGTTTATCCGACAAATACACCACTTCAGTGATTCCATGTTGGATAATAAGCTTGGCGCACTCGTTACAAGGAAACAACGTGACATAAATAACGCAGTCGTTCATGGTCCCAGTGGTGTTGGCAATGGCGTTGAGCTCGGCATGACACACTAAAAACCACAACTATTTTTCGATAACCCCATAAACAAACTCACCGTAGAGATGTTTGTTCTCTAGAGGGTCCTGCGAGGCTTTGCCCCACGGGAACACGTCGTCGTGGCAGCCCCTAGGCATGCCGTTGTAGCCCGAGCCGATCACGTTGCCGCGGCGGTCCACCACGCAAGCCCCCACTTGGGTGCAAGGGTCTTTGCTACGTTGGGCTGCTAGGAGAGAGAGTGCCATGAAATGTTCGTGGCTGTCGAGCAGCGAGACGGAACTTCTAAAATTGTGATTAATGGAATCAAAGTGGAATTAAAGTTGTGTTTGCTTACAAACGCTGGGTGAGCTCGTCCATCGCACAAAAAGTTGATTGAGGTTATGTTTTTGTTACCATGTCACGTGTAAGAGTACCAACGACCAATCAAGTTACGCGTGTGTGTTAAGTTGGTTGCCTATACATGCACGGCCACCACCATTGAATGACGTATTAAATGTTACAATTAAAATTCAAAAATAATTACTTGTTTCCAAGACTCATACCAGTGGCGTAGCTAACTTCCACTGCGCCCCCCCGCAGTTTATTATGTATTTTTAGTTATTTTTTGCTGAATAATTTCACCAACAACAATGTTTTTAAAACTAACGATTGCCCACAGATTGCACTCGAAATATCTTCTTCGTATTTATTTGCCAACTTTGATGCTGCCTCCACAAATTCTTCGTCTGTACTATTCAACATTTCCTGTGGTTCCAGAAAAGAAAAATAGTTTCTGACGTTTTTTATGCTTTCAAACCTATCTTTAATTTGAATATTTAAAATATCAAGAGCAGGATAGAAAATGGTTGTTTTAAATTTTTCAGTGGGATCTTTTTGAAAACGGTATCTTCACATAATTCGTCATGAAACAGTTTTACTTTTTTATACGTTTATTCGAAAAAGAATTGTTAATTTTCCAGGTATCAGCACATTTCCTTGATTCCTCCATTATTTGTTCAAAATTGTCACGTATACTTTGAAATTTGTCTTTTAGATGTTCCATCCATTTACAAGCCTCATCTAAAGTAATATTTGAACTCTGTAAAGTTTTTGAGACCAAATTAACATTTTCTAAAATTTTGCATTGAAATACTAATAGAGCAACAAATTCAAATGGATCCATTTTTTTACGAAGAGCTACAGCTTCATCTATTTCACTTTTCTTTTTTGATGTTAAAATAATTTCAGCTCATAACTGTTGAGAGATTATATCTAATGGCAATTAGAGAATCAAATCTCGATGACCATCTGGTGGGGCATAACTTTTTTTAAGTTTTTTTTATAACACACTTATCATTTTCTTTCATCTCAATGTTGTTGTTGTTGTTGTTGTTGCCATCTCGGTAAACTCTCACTGAAATAGACGTATATAGCATTTATTAAATCATAAAATGCGGAAATTCCTGGTACATTTTTAACAGAATCATTAAGGACTAAATTGAGGTTGTGTATATAATTTTTCGATCTTTAAGTTTCTCAATTTTTAATCTTTCGATTTTTGAATTTTCCGTTTCTTCAATTTCTCAAGCCTTCATTTTATACTTTTGCGTTTTTTCATTTTGAGTTTTCAATTTTACAATTTTTCTATTTTATAACTTTTCCATTTTGTTTATTCGGAAAGTGGAAAATTCGAAAAATTGAAAAATCGGAAAATTAAAAAATTGGAAAAAATTGAAGAAACAAAAAATTGCAAAATCGATAAAACGGAAAATCGAATGGAATTTGTTTTTACGATTTTTTTACTTCGATTTTTTAATTTTTTTAATCTGTATTTCAATTTTTCGATTTTTGGAATTTTCTGTTTCTCATATCTAGGTTTATCGATTTTTTTGAGTTTTTCGATTTTTCCGTTTATCTTTTTTTTTTAAGTAAATATTTCTATTTTGAATTTTCCGATTTCGGTCTATTTCGATTTCTCGATCTTTTCAAGTCTCAATTTTTCGATTTCGATTTCTTGGTTTTTCGATTTTAAAAATTTTCGATTTTTCTAGTATATATTTTAAATTTTCGATTTTTTAAATTTTTCATTTTTCCCTTTTATAATCTTTATGTTTCGATTTCCCGATTTTAATTTTTTAATGTGTTTCAAGTTTTCCATTTTTGGGTTTTTCGATTTCTCATATCTCAATTTTCCAATTTTAAAAATTTTTCGATTTATCGATTTTTAAGTTTTCGCTATTTCAATTTTAAACATCGCAATTTTGAGAATTTTTCAATTTCTATATTTTTCAGATTTTCGATATTTTCATTTTCCCGATTTTGTAATTTTCATTTTCTTGATTTTTATATCACAATTTTTCATTTTTCCATTATCTTTATTTTTTCAATGTTTCTTTGGATTTTATAATTTTTTGTTTATTCAATTTTTTACATTTTCAGTCTTTGGTTTTTTAAGTTCTTGATTTCCAATTTTTTTATATTTCGAAGCTTTCTATTTTATAATGAAAAATGAATCGAAGAATGGGAAAGAAGAAAAACCATTCGAATTGAAAAATTGGAAAATCCAAAAATTGTAAAATCGAAAAATTATAGAATCTTGAAAATTGTAAAGTCCAAAAACTGTGACATTCAAACACCGAAAAATTGAAAAATTCCAAAAACGAAAAACTGAAAAAGTGAACAACTTTAAAAATTATAATTATTAGGAGTGTTACATAATTAAAATGAAAACTAGAAAAACTGCAAATGAAAAATTAAAAAGACGGAAAATTGAAAGCAGAAAGCTGAAAAAATAAAGAAAATTAAAAACCCACAGGAAAAATTGCAAATCGAAAAATTCACGAAATTAAAAACTGTAAACTCGTGAAATTTGCAAACTCTAAAATTTGAAACATCTAAAAGTTGGAAAAACAAAAACTGAAAAATCGAGAAATCGAAAATTTTCAAAAATCGAAAGATTGAAAAATCGAAATTTTGGAAAATCGAAAAACCGAGGAATTCAAACTGAAAAAGATCGAGAATTCAAGATGTCGAAAAATCTAAATATCTAAAATTTAAAAAATAGAAAAATTACAACAACGAAAAATTTAACATTAAAAAAAAACACAAAATCAAAAAGTGGAAAAATCGAGAAATTGAGAAATGGAAAAATGAAAATTAAAAAAAGCCAAAAATTGAAAAGCATAAAAAAAAATTAAAATCGGTTATTCGGAACGTAAAAAAAATAAAATCGAAAAATTGAAAAATTTTAAATTTAAAAATTCGAAAACTTGAAAAACCGAAAAACTGAAGAAATGAAAAACCAAAAAATCGACAAATTGAAAAATCTCAAAACTGAAAAGTCGAAAAATTGAAAAACCCACAAATCGATTTCCGGTAAGTCGAAAAATCAAAATTTAAAAAATTGAAAAATGAAAATATCAAAAAACTGAAAAATATAGACATTCTCAAAATTGAAATGTTGAAAAATTGAGAAATCGAAAAATCGAGATGTAAGAAATCGAAAACTCCAAAATCGAAAAATTGGAATACACGTTAAAAAGGTTAAAATCGGGAGATTGAAGTATAACAAGACATAAAATCGAAAAATGGAGAATTTTAAAATCTAAAAACTTGAAGAAATAAAAAATTGAAAAATGGAAAAGCCGAGAAATCGAAATTAAAAAATTGGAACATCAAAAGATCCGAGAAATGGAAAAATCGAAATAGTCCGAAATCGAAAAACCGGAAAATTTAAAACTGATATACATATTTAAACTTAAAAAAAACGATACATCAGAATATTCAAAATTCGAAAAATCAGATATATAAAAAAAGTGAAAAATTTTAAATTAAAAATTTGGAGATATTGAAAAATCCTAAAATTGGAACAACGAAAACTTGAGAAATCGAAAAACTGAAAAATCGATAAATTGGAAAGAAGAAAAATCGAAAAATCAAAGAATTGATTAATAGAGAAATTGAGAAATGTAAAAATGAATTTTTTTTTAAATTGCAAAAATTGTAAAACTGAAATATCGAAAAATTAAGTAAACTAAAAATCGAGAAATCAAGAAATCGAAAAATTGTAATTCAATTTTGTTTTATTTTTCCACAAAAATTTCTATGTCGAAGATAAAAATTCAACACGGATTCATAGACCATGGGAACACTGTTACTTTTTTTTTAATTTATGTAACATTTATTTGACAAAATTGTAGAACTGAAGAAACGAAAAATAGAAATATTGAAAAACTAGAAATCGAGAAAAAATTAATGAATCAAAGAACGAATTAAATCGAAAAATGTTCGTAAAGTCCAAAAACTAACATTCAAAGATCGAAAAATTAAAAAATTCCAAAAACGAAAAATCGAAAAAGTGAACAACTCTAATAAAAATTATAATTATTATTACATATCTAAAATGAAAATTAGAAAACCTGCAAATCAAAAATTGAAGAAACGAAAAATTGAAAACAAAAAAAATTGAAAAATCCAAAAACTAAAAAATTTCAAATTGAGAAAAAGAAAAAATATAAAAACTCGTTCCTCGCGCGTTAAAATATCTCGATTATTAATCACCTTTATTAACAAACTTGTTCGTTAAATAGCTATTAATTTACCTGATCTCATTTTCAATTCCAATGAAAACCCCTTCTTTGAAAATTACACATTTTAAAAAAATATATCGGTTACGTTACGGTCTGCGCCCCTGTTAACGCTGCGCCCCCCCGCATTGCGGGATCTGCGGGGGTGCTATTTACGCCACTGACTCATACAATATTCTTGCCACAGATCTACATAAAAAATAACCACTTATTAATAATAAATTAATTTGTCAATGTTTGCCACAGTAACGAAATTAATTGAAGTACAATTGATTGCTTATTTAATTAAAACCATTGTTGGTATTTTTTATCTATCACAATTATAACAAGTCGTTTACCTCACGAAAACACGACATTTAATTCACCCCTTTGTTTCTATAATGAATTAGTATCAAAAATGGAATCAACCGATTGGGGTTACATTAACCCTCTATATTTGTGGTGTACCACTTTCGGGATTTTTCCGCCACACAAATTCGGAGATAACGTCTCTCCAGTCTCGCTAAAATTTAAAATCTACGTGTTACTTTTAATCCCTATAATAATATCCATATCTGTGTATTCTTTAATCGGTAGAGAGAATTTCTTGTATACGAGTCTGGACGTTACAGTGGCCACCACAGATCTTCTAGCCGAAATAACTTTAACACTCCTAAACGTAGTTTTACGACTCCTATTCGTCTTTTGTTACCACAACCCCATAAAAACGTTCCTCAATAAAATCTATCGCATTTCGAAAGAACCACACTTCAAGTGTTACACGGTCCGCAATTTTTGGGTCCAGTTTTGTGGGTTTAATATCTACATGGTGTTTGTAATGGTGTTTGATGTCTATATATGGAGTTCCACGATGGGTTGGACCATCTACAAGTTTTATATTGGAAGAACTTTCATGATCTACGCTTGCAATATCACCCTTTTGTTCATAGTACATTCGGCTCTGATAACTAAGCAACTATTCACGTCTTTGCACCATCTACTGAAAACCATAGTAGGGAATCTGGTTTGCGAAAACGACGCCAAAAGTGGTTACATTTTAACAGAGTTTAAAGTGAAAGCTGCCACTAAAACGAATTATAATTGTTGCCATTTAAGGGAAGTGCGAAAATATTACAACGAAATTTGTGGGCTTGTTGACGATTTTAATAACATTTATGGGACAGTGATTCTTCTAGTGATGATTTACGTGATTGCTTACATTTTGAATTTGACTGATATGCTGCTGGTTTATAGCAATGCGAAGAGTAGGAACATCAATGGGGTTGAATATGGTACCGAGCTAACCCTTCTGTGCGTTTCTTGGATGATCACACTTCTAGTAAGTATGATGAATTTTTTGTTTGTAGATTGTGTAAGTGTATTTTCAGCTTTTTTCGTTCCTTTTGGCCAAATCCTGCTCCAATGCCGTTTCGGAATCAGAAAACATCTTAACTGTGTGTTTTATCTGGTTGAATGAAATCCCGACTATTCCCAAAACGTTCAAACAGCAGATGTTAAAAGAAGAAATTTTGTTGTTGGTGCAACAGGTGACGACGCGGAAGCCCAAATTTTCGGCTGCTGGATTTTTTCCCGTGGACTTCACGCTTCTGGGGTTTATTCTAGGGAGTGTCACTTCGTATACCATAGTTTCAGTGCAGTTTTTCAGTAGTAAAGAAAATTGAAAATTTTAATGTAAACGTTTTTAAAGTCACTATATTTAGCACAGTCGTTACAATAATAAATTTTGTTCCGTCTATTAAGCGACATTAGTACCTGTCAATATGAGACTAATTTTGGCACTTGTACTCCTCAATGCATTATTTTAGAAAAGAATATTAAGAATACGAGCGCAGCGAGCATGTTTAAGTGTTGTAAAAATTACTCGTTAATATCCTCGAGAAGCTCAATTTATTAATGATTAATGAAAATATTTGTGATTATCTGCTGAAATTGGGACTTCACCAATATAAACTTGAAGGAAAATCCCCTGAATTAGGGGGGACATTTTTCTAGTTGGCAGCACTTATTTCACGACAATCAAATTTTGATAGAGATAATTTCTTTGTATAACACGAACATATTTCACATGGTAATTTCTCGTGGAAAAATAAGAATTTCACAATTAAGCTCCGCCCCTCGGCTTAAGATGAATAAAAAAAATCATCAGAATTGAGATAGGGCGGGTGGGTGGGGCTTATATTTTGCCTTTTTTTTTCTTAATGTACATAGCCATCTTTTCGCAACAAGAAACTTAAAACATGGTTAAAATGGTACGATTTTGCAATTATGGGGCGGAGCCTAATTGCAAAATCGATATTTTCTCATACAAATTTTCTATTTTATTTTAAAGTTCATGTTATGAAAAGAAGTCTAGACATGTTAAAACAAAAAGGCAAAATATAAACCCCGCCCACCCACCCCATCGCAATTGAGACATTTTTTTTTTATTCTTAGAAAGAAAGAAAATGTGGGTTTTGCAATTTGGCTCCGTCCCTAGGTCTGCCGACGAATGAAAATTTCATTACTATTTAGGATCAGGAAAGGTATGGATCCTTGAATTTTTCCTTAATATACCTACATAGCAGTCTTTCAATAACACGATACTCAAAAACATGTCTTACATGGTCATTTCTTGTTGAGAAATAATAAGGATTTTGCAATTAAATTCCGTTACTTGGGCTCTCCACGTTTAAAAAAATAAATAGAGTGCGTCTACCCAGGGACGTACGGATGGAGGTTTAACTCTGCCTTATCAATTTATATAAATTACACACGTATACGCGACGAAATCATTAATTTTCTCCTAAAAAATAGGAGTAATAAAAACCAAAAATATGTTGCATTTGTATTTTTTGACAAAATGGTGATTAATGATGACGATTGGGTTAATTAAAGTAAATATCGATGTATTGTCAATTATTGTTTATTATAAAATATACTTTTTTATTTATCATATAGAAATATCTAATTATTATAATAATATTGTATAAAAAAATATCACGGCGTTACATACCTATGTTGAGACTCAGTTCAGACTGGTGTCGGTGTCGGTATCGATGTCGGTGTCGGAATTAGACATCCTATTCCGACGCGTCTTATACGTGTTCTATAATACGAAAAGAAAGGAGTTAAAACTCAAAAAATCATTACAATTGAGATAGGGAGGGTGGGTGGGGCTTACATTTTGCTTTTTTTCTTAATATACGTAGGCGTCTTTTCAGAACAAGAAACTTAAAACATGTTTAAAATGGTAAATTCTTCTAAACAAATATGGATCTTGCAATTAAGCCCCGCCCCTCGGTCTGACAACGAATGAAAAATTCATCACAATTGAGAATTAACATCGGGGCAGATCTGGGTGGAGGCTACTCCTTGGCTTTATTTTTTCCTTAATATGCATAGTATTCTTTGGACAACGCGATACTCAAAAACATGTTTTTAACTTCTCGTAGAAAAATAAGTATTTTGCAGTTAAGCTTAGCTTGTTTGGCTCATAACGAATAAAAAAAATCATCACAATTGAGACAGGGCGGGTGGGTGGGGCTACATTTTGCCTTTTTTTCTTAATCTGTGCAGACTTATTTCGACAACAAGAAACTTAAAACATGGTTAAAATGGTACATTTTTGAAAGCAAAGCATTTTAAACATATTTTAAGTTTCATGTTATGAAAAAAGACTACACATATTAAAACAAAAAAGGAAAATTGTAAGCCCGCCACCCACCCTATCTCAATTGTGATGATTTTCTTTATTCGCCGTTAAGCAAGGGGGCGGAGCTTAACTATATTTTTTCTTTTTTTTTACCTTAATATACATAGCGACCTTTTCACAACAAAAAACTTAAAACATTATTAAAATGGTACACTTTTGCAAGGAAATACGGATTTTGTAATTATGGGTCTAAGCCTATTGCAAAATCGATATTTCCTTATACAAATTTTTCATTTAAACATAATTTAAGCTTCATGTTATGAAAAAAGTCTACACATATTGAAACAAAAAGGCAAAATGTAAGCCCGCCCACCCGCCCTATCTCAATTGTGATGCTTTTTTTTATTCACCGTTAAGCAAGTGGGCGGAGCTTAACTGCAAAATACTTATTTCAAGAAAATAACAAAATATTTTTGAGTATCGTGTTGTTCAAAGAATACTATGTACATCAAGAAAAAAAGCAAAATATAAACCCCGCCCACCCACCTCATCGCAATTGTGATGATTTTTTTATACTTAGGAACGTAATACACGCTTAAAATGGTAAATTTTAGTAAGGAAATATGGATTTTACAGTTTGGCTCCGCCCCTTTGGCTCACGACGAATAAAAAAATCATCAGAATTGAGAAAAGAGGGGGTGGGTGGGGCTTATATTTTTTTCTTTTTTTTTTCCTTAACATACATAGCGATCTTTTCACAACAAAAAACTTAAAACATTATTAAAATGGTACATTCTTGCAAGGAAATATGGATTTTGTAATTATGGGTCGAAGTTTACTGCAAAATCAACATTTCCTTATACAAATTTTTCATTTTAAACATGTTTTAAGTTTCATGTTATGAAAAAAGTCTACACATATTAAAACAAAAAGGGAAAATGTAAGCCCGCCCACCCACCCTATCTCAATTGTGATGATTTTTTTATTCGCCGTTAAGCAAGAGGGGCGGAACTTAACTGGAAAATATTTATTTCTTCACAAGAAATTAAAAAAATATTTTTGCGTACCGTGTTGTTCAAAGAATACTATGTACATCAAGAAAAAAAGCAAAATATCAACCCCCGCCCACCCACCCCATCGCAATTGTGATGATTTTTTTTATTTTTAGAAACTTAATATACGTTTAAAATGGTAAATTTTAGTAAGGAAATATGGATTTTACAGTTTGGCTTCGCCGCTTTGGCTCACGACGAATAAAAAAATCATCAGAATTGAGATAGGGTGGGTGGGTGGGGCTTATATTTTGCCTTTTTTCTTAGTATACGTAGGCGTTTTTTCAGAACAGGAAGTTTAAAATGGTAAATTCTTCTAGACAAATATGGATCTTGCAATTAAGCCCCGCCCCTCAATCTGGCAACGAATAAAAAATTCATCACAATTGAGAATTAAGATCGGGGCGGGTATGGGTGGGGCCTAATCTTTGGCTTCATTTTTTCCTTAATATGCTTAGTATTCTTTGGACAACACGATACTCAAAAACATGTTTTTAATTTCTCGTAGAGAAGAAATAAGGATTTTGCAGTTAAGCTCCGCCCCCTTGGCTCACAAGGAATAAAAAAAAATCATCACGTTAGAGGTAGGGCGGGTGGGTGGGGCTACATTTTGCCTTGTTTTCTTAATATATGCAGACTTATTTCGACAACAAGAAACTTAAAACATCGTTAAAATGATACATTTTTGAAGCATATTAAAACAAAAAAGGCAAAATATAAACTCCACCCACCCACCCCATCGCAATTGTGATGATTTTTTTATTCTTAGAAACTCAATACATGTTTAAAATAATAAATTATAGTAATGAAATATGGATTTTACAGTTTGGCTCCTGCCCTTTGGCTCACGACGAATAAAAAAATCATCAGAATTTTTCTTTTTTTTTTCCTTAATATACTTAGCAATTCTTTCACAACAAAAACTTAAGACATTATTAAAATGGTACATTCTTGCAAGGAAATATGGATTTTGCAACTATGGGTCGAAGCTTATTGCAAAATCGATATTTCCTTAGAGAAATTTTCCATTTTAAACATGTTTTAAGTTTCATGTTACTAAAAAAAGTCGAAACGCATTAAAAGAAAAAGCAAAATGTAAGCCCGCCCACCCGCCCTATCTCAATTATGATGATTTTGTTAATTCGCCGTGAATCAAGGAGGCGGAACTTAACTGCAAAATACTTATTTCTTTAAAATAAATTAAAAAAATGTTTTTGAGTATTGTGTTGTTCAAAGAATACGATGTACATTAAGAAAAACAGATAAAATATAAACCCCGCCCACCCACCTCATCGCAATTGTGATGATTTTTTTATACTTAGAAACTTAATACACGTTTAAAATGGTAAATTTTAGTAAGGAAATATGGATTTTACAGTTTGGCTACGCCCCTTTGGCTCACGACGAATAAAAAAATCATCAGAATTGAGATAGGGTGGGTGGGGCTTATATTTTGCCTTTTTTCTTAGTATACGTAGGCGTTTTTTCAGAACAAGAAACTTAGAACATATTTAAAGTGGTAAATTCTTCTAGACAAATATGGATCTTGCAATTATGCCCCGGCCCTCGATCTGGCAAGGAATAAAAAATTCATCACAATTGAGAATTAAGATCGGGGCGGATATGGGTGGGGCCTACTCTTTGGTTTTATTTTTTCCTTAGTATATGCATAGTATACAATGAATAACACGATACTCAAAAACATGTTTTTAATTTCTGGTAGCGAAGAAAAATAAGGATTTTGCAGTTAAGCTCCGCCCCCTTGGCTCACACGGAATAAAAAAAAATCATCACATTAGAGATAGGGCGGGTGGGTGGGGCTACATTTTGCCTTGTTTTCTTAATGTATGCAGACTTATTTCGACAACAAGAAACTTAAAACATCGTTAAAATGATACATTTTTGTAAGCAAAGCATTTTAAACATATTTTAAGTTTCATGTTATGAAAAAAGTCTACACATATTAAAATAAAAAGGCAAAATGTAAGCCCGCCCACCCGCCCTATCTCAATTGTGATGATTTTTTTTATTCGCCGTGAATCAAGGAGGCGGAACTTAACTGCAAAATACTTATTTCTTTACAATAAATTAAAAAAATGTTTTTGAGTATTGTGTTGTTCAAAGAATACGATGTACATTAAGAAAAACAGATAAAATATAAACCCCGCCCACCCACCCCATCGTAACTCTTTTTTATTCTTAGAAACTTAATACACGTTTAAAATAGTAAATTTTAGTAAGGACATATGCATAAGCATTCGGTTTTACAATTTCAAAGTTAAATAAATTGTAAAATGTTATCCAGTTTTGATTTTTTTCTCCAAAAATCTGAATGTCTAAGATAAAAATTCAACCGGGGTTCATAAACCACATGTGCAGGAGTAACTTATTTGATAAAATTTAAATAATATTTACTAGTGTTAATTTTGGAGATGACGTCAACAAATTGTTGGTAGGGATAATTAGCCAAATTTTGATCATCTACACGTTATTCGTAGACACAATCGGACACTGGACATTACTTCATCGCATGTCGACAGAATTAATTTCTAAAGAAACTAATTAGCATGAATCACGATCCCATGAATTGTTAAAAGCAATGTCTTTAATGGACGAAATTTCTCTCCAGTGATGTCTAAATTCACGAACTATTCACACACTTTTGTAAAAACATGTCAAACTATTTTACTAAGTGGTATTCAAGAAGTGAACAAAACAGACTTTCGTTCGTGGAAGAAAACCTACTGCTTTGTGTTGCTAGTACTGATTTTTCAATACGTAATAGTAAGTCGGGTCAAAATTGACGTGTATAGAAACATGAAAACCGTCGACGTCTTTTTTGATGCCACGTCGTTCACAAACGAAAATATCGCCTGCTTTGTAATAGTACTAAACAAGTACAGAAATTTTGATAAAAATCAACATTTGTATACAATTTTGAACCAAATAAAACCTCAAGTCAAAATCTTTGAAATAGTCGTCCTTGTTGTAAGTTTTCTCTTGTATTTTTTACTTTCATGTAAAGCTAGCGATTACATTGTAACAATCACACTCTTCTTCGACTTTTATTCAATGGAATTAATTTTGACCATCCTGCTACAAACCTTGGACTCCTTCATTTCGACCTCAATGGACGACCTCTTCACCCTTCCGACTCCCGAAATCCAGCGAACCAACAACGGCGATTTGCTCATAACCGGGTGGGTTAAAGCTGCCCTAAACCACAAGAAACAGCACGACCCCATTAAAACCGTCCAGAAAATCAGCTCAATTTTGCTGGAGGTCACCCAGAGCTTGACCCTTTTCGGCCGAGTGTTCCCCTGGTCTCTATTTTTCGCGTCTTTGAACCTCGCTCTTGCTTTCTACCGGAATTTTTATGACTGCGTAATAGTAAACAGTTTCACTTGGGCGAACTTTTTAAAACTTGTCTACCTTTCCATTGTTTGGGTAAGTGCTAAAATTGGAATTTGGAATAATAATTAACCCAAATTTTAGGTTTTGTTGGAGGTGACGGTGCGTCGGATTGCGAGGAAATTTAAAGGGGTTTGGAATGGTTTGTTTAAATATTTGTTACACATTTCTGGTGAAGAGGAAGAAATCAAGGAAGAGATAAAGTTTGTGATGAGGATGGTCAGCGATTTGCAGAATGTGGTGGCGGAGAGTTGGGTTTTTAATTTTCTGACTAGTGGTAGTAGTTTGATTGTGAAGCTGTATTTCGTTTTAGGGTTAATCATGGTGATAAATAATTAGAACACCCTGTATATAAACGTGTTATAAATTTTATAAACACGCCTGCCGTAATTTATTATCGCTTTTTATTAATGTGAGGAATGTCATTCTCAAAACACGACGTAATAAAAATAGTGACAGTCACTTCGGGTGAATTAAAATCGATCACTTGTTAGTGTTTGTAGCAAAAGTAGCCATGGTGCCAGATTTACACGTACCTTGAATTAAAGACGCACCATGACACACTACATCCACCTAAAAATAGCAAAAATTTTGTCACTACTCCCCTTGGAAAACAAGTACAAGTCGTACCACAAAGCCCACGGAATTTTAATCATAGTGTGTTTGTTGGCAATGTTCGCCGGAAACATCTACTACCGAATCTACTACTACTACCGCTACATCAAAAACATCCGAAAACTACTTGACGCCATGATCCACACCTTCACCACCCTAACCAACGTCAACTCCATCCTAGTAGCCGCTTTTTTCCACCACAAACACTGGATTCTACTCCTCAAAAAAAGCAAAACCCCTTTACTCGTCACGACCTGCTTCAGCAACACCTTCTTCTACATTTTGGATTTCCTCTTCATCTTCTACACTTTCTGCGAAATCAACTACTACCGAAAAATCAACACCCGCATCATCACGTACTTGATTCCCTCCTACATCAACATTTTCATCATCCTGATGTCCATCCTCAACATCAACTACTACGCCAACGAACTCAAAAATATGTTGTCCACTTTTAGACTAAATTTGAAAAGCGAAAAAATCAAGCTCGACGAAATTATCGAAAAAGAAACCAATCCTTACATCGTTTCAAAAAAGTTTGCTTCTGAGTCCCGGACTGACGACCATTTCAAGTACTTCGTGGACATTTGCTACAAAATGGACGCCTTTAACAAGATCTACGGCTGGCAGATTCTTAATTTTGCCGCGGTTCTTCTCATTTTTGCCTATGATAGTTTGAGCACGGTGTTGAGGGAGTTCTTCAGGGAAGACCCGAGTCAGATGCACATTCAGTTGTTGTTGATTAAGATGCTCAAGTGTTTCAACTTCTTGGTGAGGGTTTCGCGGGTTTGACGTTTGGTGTCTAAGTTGTTGTAGATTTTTGGACTCTTGTTGATCAAGCCGTGCTTCGCTTTTAATAGTCAGATGGACAAAGTCGTGGTTCTTTGTCGGAAGATTTTGATCAATCTTCCCGAAACGTGTGACAATGGGTTTTGTCGGTATTTGAAGTTGAAGTTGGTTTTTTTGTTGAAACAGATTGAGATGAAGAAGCCGTATTTTTCGGCTGCTGGGTTTTTTGAGGTGGATTATGTTATGTTGGTGTATATTTTGAATGGGATTACGTCGTATTTGATGGTTACGTTGCAGGCGGCGTATTAGCAAAATTTTTTCTATTGCGTCTTACTCATTAAAGTTTTTTTTATGTTTATTGGCACTATTGTATGAAATTAGTTGTCATAATTTTTATTTAGACCTTACGCAATATCTAATTAATATTATCTGTTGATTTATCGAGTTTCACTACCGTTTCATCTTTAAAAATAAATACTCGTTTTGCGCAATTTAGCTTTATTGTTACGAGCATTTTTCTGAAAATTAAAAAAAATCACATTGTTCTTGTTATCATTTAAGTACAACTGATGTCAGCGAAACCTACTTATTTGTTAATGGAAGTACCGTTAGATAACTAAATAAATTGCATGTTTTCAAGTTTTATAATCTTATAAACTAGGGCAATATCATTACTTTAAAAGTAAATTTCATGGCCTACTACATGGTGCAAGTAGTACTATGGGCTACTAAATCCGGAAATAGTTACGGATTATTTAACCACAAAATTTTCCAAGATGTATTTTTGTGACAGTAAAAATATATTAAAAAAAATCATATTGTGACAGAAAAGCACAAAATTTCCAAGTTTTTAAACGAAAAGTGAAAAAAAAATCTCTGGTAGACTTTGAAATTTATTTTTAAAATAATGATGTTGGCAACACTAACGCGATCTTTGTGTAGTGTGACAGTTGACATCTCGGTTTTTCGTTTTTAAAACTGTACCATTCGATTTCTCGATTTTTCAAATTTTTAACTTCTGGATTTTTTGATTTATCAAATTTTAGATTTTTCAATTTTTCGATTTTGCAGTTCTATTTTTTATTTTTCAATTTTTTATCGATTTTTCGATTGTTCAATTGCGGGATTTTTCGATTTTTCCATTTTTTACTTTTTTGATTTTTGGTTTCTCAATTTTCCATCTTTCAATTGCAATTTTTTTCTATTTTTCGATTTATCGATTTATCCTTTTTTCTGTATTTAAGTTTTACGAGTTTCAACATTCGATTCTTAAATTTTTCCATTTTTTCAGTTCCCGAATTTTTAAATGCAGATTTTTCAGTTTTTTGATGATGTTCAGATTTTCATTTTCCGTCTTTTCTATTTATCGATGTTCTAATTTCTCGGTGTTTCGACTTTTCAATTTTCGATTTTTCCAATTTTTCGAAATTTCAGTCTCGGGATTTTCTAATCTATCGATTTTTCAGTTTTTCGATTTTTAAGTGTTTAGTTTTTCAATTTCTTAATTTGTTGAATTCACGATTTTTCGATTTTTAAAATGATTCGATTTTTCGATTTCCCGATTTTTCAAGTTTTCGGTTTGACACTTTCAAGATTTTAATTTTGAGAATTTTTTTTTCTGGATTTTTCAATTTGTTCAATTCTTTATTTTTTCGACATTTAATTTTTCGATTTTTTAAATTCTAGATTTTTCATTTCTTCGATTTTCCAGTTCCATTTTTTGATGATTGAATTTTTCGATTTTTTGACTTCTTGAATTTTGATTTTTTGGTTTCTAAATTTTTTAATTTTTAGATTTTTGAATTTATCGAGCTTCGATCTTTCGCTTTTTCGATTGTTTAATTGTAGGATTTTTTGACTTTCGCATTTTTTAGTTTTTTGATTTTTTTGACTTCTCAATTTCTCATTCTTTCAATTTCATTCTCCAATTTTTCGATTTATCGATTTATCAATTTTTCGATAATTAAGTTTTACGATTTTTCAACATTTCGACTCTAAAATTTTTCGATTTTTTAATATTTCGAATTTTAAAATTTTTCGATTATTTAATATTTCGATTTTTCAGTTTTTGGCTTCTCAATTTTTAAACATTTCAAGTTTGGGAATTTTTCAAATTTTGGTTTTTTCGAATTCTTTAATTTTAGATTTTTCGATTTTCCAATTTTTCAGATTTTTCGGTTTTTGCATTTTTAAAACTTTTGATTTTAAAAGAGAGAAATTGAACTGTGGAGAATCCGAAAATCGAAACAAGATAACATCGAAAAATTGGAAAAATTTTAATAAGACGATAAATTGAAAAACTGAAAAATTGATGAATCGAAAAATTCAAAAATCGAGAAAATGAGAATCCCAAAATTGAAATCCGAAAAACTGGAACATGGAAAAACTGAATAGTCGAAACTTCGAAAAATTGAAAAATCGATATGTCGAAAACTCAAAAAATCAAAAAATCGACAAATCTCGAATCAGAAAAACGAAAACATCGAAAAATTGAAACATCAATAAATCGAAACATTAAAAGATGGGAAATCGAAAAATCGAAAAATCGAAATAGCATTCATTCTAAAAATTAAAAAAGTAAAGTCTTGATGAATCCAGAAATCGAAAAACCGAAAACCGAACATTGAAAAATGGAAAAATAAAAAATTTTGAAAATCGAGAAGTTGAAAAATAAATGAAAAATGAACAATTAAAACATCAAAAAACTGAAAAATCTAAAATTTAAAAATTCAAAAAATTGAAAATTAAAATGTTGAAAAATTGAAAAAAACGAAAAATTGTAAAATCGAGAAATCACAACACAAAAAAATAAAAAAATTGAAAAAGTGATAACTCCAAAAATTTAAAAATGGAAAAATCGAAAAATCCCAAATCTGAAATGTCGAAAAACTGCTAAACAGAAAAATCGAAAAATTGAAACTGAAAAATCGAAGAAAAAAGGAAGAATAGAAAAATAGAAAAACTGAAAAATCGAGAAGTTGAAAAAAAGAAAATATTAAAAATCGAAAAATTGAAAAATCAAAAAGTCAAAATGTCAAAAAAAAAATTGAGAAATCAACAAGTCGAGAAATCGAAAATTTAGAAACGTCAAAATTAGAAAAATTGAAAAATCAAAAAATTGAACAGTTAACGAATTGAAAAATCGTAAAATGGAAACGTGGGAAAATTGGGAAATCAAAAAATCGACAAGTCGAAAAATCGATTAATCGAGAAATCGAAAATTTAGAAACTCCAAAATTTGAAACATTGAAAAATCGAACAATTGAAGAATTAGAAAATTGAAAAATCGTATGACGGAAATATTGGAAAATTGGGAAATTGAAAAATAGAAAATTTGACACAATTGAGTAATCGAACTGACAAATTGAAAAATCCCAGAACTGAAGTATTGAAAACTGAAGTAATCGGAAAATTGAAAATCGAAAATTGAAAAATCGAAAAATTTAACATTTAAAAAGGTCGAAATCTCAAAAGAATGGGAAATCGAGAAGTAGAAAAATCGATTAATCGAGACATTGAAGAAAAAATCCCAAAATTCAAGTATAAAAAATCGAAATAATCGAAAAATCGAGAAATCCAAAAATCCTACAGCCGATAAATCGAAAATTCGAAAAATTGTTACATAATTTTGATTTTTTTTTTTTTAAATTCAACACAAATTCGTAAACCAATTTTTCGAAATTGCAGTTTCGGGATTTTCTAAATTCTCGATTTTTCAGTTTTTCGATTTGTCAGTTTTTGGTTTTTTAATTTTTTAATTTCTTAACTTCACAAATGGTTCGATTTTTCGACTTCCCGATTTTTGAAGTTTTCGAAAAATTAAAATTTTTCAAAATTTTAATTTTTTTCAATTTTTTCGATTCTTTATTTTTTCAACATTTAATTTTTCGTTTTTTTAAATTCTATGTCTGTCAATTCTTCTATTTTCCAGTTGCATTTTTTATTTTTCAATTTTTGATGATTCGATTTCTCGATTTTTCGATTTTTTGACTTCTCGGGTTTTGATTTTTTGGTTTCTCAATTTTTTAATTTTTCGATTTTTGAATTTATCGAGCTTCCGATCTTTCGGTTTTTCGATTGTTTAACTGTAGGATTTTTTGACTTTTGCATTTTTTTGTTTTTTGATTTTTTTGACTTTTCAATTTTTCATTCTTTCAATTCCATTCTCCAATTTTTCGATAATTAAATTTTACGATTTTTCAACATTTCGACTCCAAAATTTTTCGAATTTTTAAATATTTCGATTTTTAAGTTTTTGGTTTCTCAATTTTTCAACATTTCAATTTTGGGAATTTTTCAAATTTTGGTTTTTTCGTTTTTTAATTTTAGATTTTTCGATTTTCCAATTTTTCAGATTTTTCGGTTTTTTCATTTTTAAAACTTTTGATTTTAAAAGACATAAATTGAACTGTCGAGAATCCGAAAATCGAAACAGGATAACATCGAAAAATTGCAAAAATTTTAATAAGTCAATAAATTGAACTCAAAAATTGATGAATGGAAAAATTTAAAAATCGGGAAAATGAGAATCCCAAAATTCAAATCCCGAAAAACTGGAACATGAAAAAACTGAAAAGTCGAAACGTCGAAAAATTAAAAAATCGATATGTCGAAAAGTCAAAAAGTCGAAACATTAAAAGATGGGAAATCGAAAAATCGAAAAATCGAAATAGCATACATTCTAAAAATTAAAAAAGTAAAGTCTCGATAAATCCAGAAATCGAAAAACCGAAAACCGAACATTGAAAAATGGAAAAATAAAAAATTTTGAAAATCGAGAAGTTGAAAAATAAATGAAAAATGAACAATTAAAACATCAAAAAACTGAAAAATCTAAAATTTAAAAATTCAAAAAATTGAAAATTAAAATGTTGAAAAATTGAAAAAAACGAAAAATTGTAAAATCGAGAAATCACAACACCAAAAAATAAAAAAATTGAAAAACTGATAACTCCAAAAATTTAAAAATCGAAAAATTTAAGAATGGAAAAATCGAAAAATCCCAAATCTGAAATGTCGAAAAACTGCTAAACAGAAAAATCGAAAAATTGAAACTGAGAAATCGAAGAAAAAAGGAAGAATAGAAAAATAGAAAAACTGAAAAATCGAGAAGTTGAAAAACAGAAAATATTAAAAATCGAAAAATTGAAAAATCAAAAAGTCAGAATGTCAAAAAAAATTGAGAAATCAACAAGTCGAGAAATCGAAAATTTAGAAACGTCAAAATTAGAAAAATTGAAAAATCAAAAAATTGAACAGTTAACGAATTGAAAAATCGTAAAATGGAAACGTCGGAAAATTGGGAAATAAAAAAATCGACAAGTCGAAAAATCGATTAATCAAGAAATCGAAAATTTAGAGACTCCAAAATTTGAAACATTGAAAAATCGAACAATTGAAGAATTAGAAAATTGAAAAATCGTATGACGAAAATATTGGAAAATTGGGAAATTGAAAAATAAAAAAATTTGACAAAATTGAGTAATTGAACTGACAAATTGAAAAATCCCAGAACTGAAGTATTGAAAACTGAAGTAATC